ATAGCAGGCAAATGCTTTGAAAATAAGGGCTTGGCTTTATAATGCATGGGCACTGCTTTTCAGTGGTCACTTGTCCTTGACATGTATATCGATTTTTGGTACAATTTAAGTGAAAAGAGCATGAGGACAATCCATTACCAGTCAAAAAAACACAAACTATTGAGAGGTGTGTGCCTGTGTAGGTAAATAGATACAGAATATTTGAGAGTGAGAAGACAAAGAGGGAGAAAAAGGACTAAATCAGTAAAGTGCATCCAGTTCATTGAATGCAGCATTCATTGACAACCCCAAAGATGTACAGCCCTCTTAAAATTCCAGAATCCAGACAGGCCTAACCTGGCTTTAATCCAAGCATTTGGCTTATTAGAACTGTGGATCCAGCCCAGCCCACCTAGTGGATAAATGGGATGCTTGTCCAGAGTGCTCAGCAACTCGTTTTTCACCCCCAACCATTTTATAACTCTGGGAGACTGCAGGGGAGGGGGCAGTTCTGTCCCATTGTTTCAAGACTACTGTGGGCCGTGCATTTCCATACCAGCCTTGCAACTGTGCTTTTTAGTCATTTGTGCGCAGGCACTTTTGCCTGTGTCTTGGCTTCTCTGCATATCACAAATAGTTTCAGCTGCTAAGTATTGTATAATGTGCTGCTGTGAAAGGATTACAAGAATACAAGAACAGTTTCTTCTGGTCAGTTGGTAGCCTTAGCAGGACTGAGAGTCTGTGACTGGTCCAAAGTCACCCGGTGAATTTTATGGCTTGAGTGGGGACTAGAAGCTGAATCTCTCAAGTACCAGTCCAACCCTATGTCACACTGGCTTCACAGTAGCAAAGTCTTTGGTTTAATCCATGTGTTATGTAAAAAAGTCCTTTGTTTGAGCATCTTCATGGGATGATCCAGATTTAGTATGAGAGGTGGAAAATGCTGCCCCGGTAAGTCTCCATACCATGGCACACTTTAGTACACCTCACAGCTATCACCCTGGTCAGAGGCGCCAGTGCAGAGGGTCAGAGAGGAAGGGTACTATAGTCTCCCCATCAGATCAGCTCCACTAGGGCTGGAAGGGCTCTGGGCCAGTCAGCCCTAGTGGCGCATCCTGATGTGGGAGTGGGTGGCAAATGCGCACTGAGCCAAGCTAGGTGCTTGTGCCAGGGACAATACTTGGCAGGGGGCAGGGGCCTTTTCTGTGGTACTGCCCCACCTTTGGAACCTGCTTTCCAGAGAGATGTGCCTGGCGCCGGCGCCGATTCATTTCGGCACCAGGCCAAAACCTTTTTATTTACCTGATATTTTAAGGCTTGATGGTGTTTTCAAGGTTAGAATTTTATCATATATTTCATATTTATTTTAATTGTGCTGCTACCATTGTGAGCCATCTTGAGACTTGTTTTAAATAAATACAGAAAATTAAAATAGTGACTTACTATTTATTTGACTTTTATCCTGTCCCATAGCCAAAAATGCTTCTCTAGATGGGTTACAAATACAGTAGTATTAAAAAATACATCATAAAACATCATATAAATGAACCAAAATAAATCACACATCAGACTCAAAAAGCCATCACATAAAGCTGCAACCATAAACATAGCTCATAAACCATTAAAAGGCCGTTGATGCAGCCATCTCACACTGCTTGGGGTGCTAGCCTGGATTGATTGATTGCTTGATAAATGTGAGCCCCATGGCTGGTGCCAGCTGCAGCCCCCCACAAATACTGGGTGCCCATGCCAGCCCTGGGTCCCATTATTGGACAGGGTGGGCAGCTGCCTCATGTATCTCATTTTGGGTGTCATGAAAGAATTACAGATTCTTAGTGATTCATCATTACTGTTGTCATTAGTGCGAGGGGTGGAAAGAAGCACTTTTGGGTTATATGACTTGGTTCTATCACAAATTGTAATCCGTTTCACCAACCCCATTCATGTTCTTTCACCTCTTCAAGGAACCCTGGGAATTGTAGTTCTCTGATGAGAACTGCCAATCTGACAGATGCTTCTCAACATCCTTCAACAGTGGTAGTGTTCTCAAAGATTCTTTGTTTGAAAGCTATGGCAGTGTGTCAACACACTTTCTAAACATTTTTATTTTAAAGTTGTATATTGCACAAAACTGCAGTTCTCAGGGAAGAGGAACAGAATTTAACAGAATCTTGTTAATCTGTTTTACCATATCTAAATGGGAATTCTGTGGCCTTTTAAAAACAAGCAGATTTATTGTAGTAGATACTCTTTAGAACCATCTCTTGCTTCTGATAGAAGCTTACAAAGCTTATGCCACATAAGGATTTCTCAATGGGCCAAGGAAGCCTCAGCTGTTTTCTTAAAACTACCACACCACTTTTAAGTCTGTAGTATGCATATATCTGAAGTTAGAACACTTAACCTACATAGGTTTTATTTTTCAATTAAACTTGTAAAATGAAGTGATTTATTATTTAATATCTTAAATAATTTTTATTTCACTCCTCAACAGGTTATATGCAATTAGCAAAGTAAGATGTCCACACAGTCTTCCTTTCCAGGTTCATTTGAGCCCAGACTGCAGTAAATGCTGAATCCTATTACAATGCCGGATTCCCCCTATAGTGAATGCTTGATCCACAGGTGAGGTTTCAAATAACCTAAATATAATAGCATCCTTGCAAACTGCTTGCTCAGAAAACTAACACTGTCACAGCTCCTTAAGAATCTAAGCATTGTCTCTAGAAGCCTACAATGGAATACCCACGCTTCACTGGTTCATAGAACAAACACACAGGCATGAAAGGGCGGTGCTTCCATTTGGGTGGCTGCTGGTACCACTGATCTTTAATACATTAACTGGGACGACGAGATTGGGCTTGTACTATGCGATCACTCTGCCCCATTCACAAGTTTGATGTGAGGTCCAGGTTACTGTATTTTCCAATAGCAACGCTCACTCAGCTTCTTTCATATTGTTTTTTTATCAGCACAGAAAATCCATTGAAGAAGGAAAGGCAAAAGCGGTGGAAAAACACGGGAGGATTACAAATGGATCATTATGTCATCTGGACCTCTGTAAAATTCCATCAACGAGGCAGAGCGATTGCATCATGAAAGGCTCAGCTCGAATACCCATAGAGTCTTAAAGCATAGTCGACAACTCAAGGAAAGCAAAGCAAAATGGTTCCCAATCCGCCCATTGGCCTTTTTGAAACGGGCAGCCCAAACCTAAACATGATTTCCTAGAGATTACCCAAAAGCTGCAACTGTATGTACTTCACTTGCAAGTCCCAATACATTTCGTGTGCACAGGATCGGGCGGTAAGTCTCCTGGAACTTACTCTCCCGCCCCTGTGCATCGCGCGGCAGCCTTGGGGGCAACGAAATAACGAAGAAGAAAGGAAGGGCGGAGGGGCGAGGGGTGGGCATGCCTCGTCCGTGTTTCCGGCCGATCAGAACTCGACCAAGCCCATGCCTCGGGGGATCTTAGCGCCGCAACAAACTGGGGCTACGGACACCCATTTCATTCAGCGGGATTTGCTTCTCGGTGTAGAGCTTGCGAAGCTCGAATGAGAATCTGACACATGGCGCTTACTTGGGAGTAAGTTCCCCTGAACTCAGTGGACTTACGTCCGAGGAAGAAGGAACGAGCTTCATCTTCGGGCTGCATGTAAGGCTTCCTTTGGTTGAGAGGAGATCGCGAAGGAAGATGCGGCAGGGGCCCCTGCTATGGATCAATGATGGGCAAGCAGACATGAACAAAGAGACGAGCAGGACTGTCCCGGTACCCCCCGGAAGGCACTGAGGACGAGGAAAGGGCGGCTGCGCCCACCCCAGAGAAAGAGTCCACGAGCTTTGCCCACTGCCAACCACTCTATTACCTTTCCTCCACGCTTCCTTTCTTCTTTATTATAACTTATTAGAGTAGCCCTACCCTGGACTACATTTCCCACCATGCCTAGACATGAAAGAGAGGGAGTGGCAAGAACAGAGACCCCCCCTTCCTCTTTCTCTCTCTTTTCTCCCCCCCGCAGCGCGGCACGTGCCACCTCTTTCGGCCAATAGGGGGCGTGGCTGGCACGGGGTCACGTGCCTTTGTTTGGCGCTTTTGTAGAGCGGGCAGGGCGGTTGGGAGCGGAGTCTGTGTGAGGCTGTTGCGGTGACAGGAGCAGGTGGGTCCTGGCGGGGAACCTGTTTGAATCCGAGGCGGGGCCGCTGGGAAGGGCGATGCGATCTGTCGAGTCCGTGCCTGCGGGAAGTGAATGGTCTTTGTTACCGAAGCGAAACGGGAGGTTTTGTTGAAGCGCGTGTGAGAAATGGCTTGGTGGGAGGTGTCTGAGCATCTCGGGCGCGGCTTTACTGCAAAAAGGCGCTTTATTTTAAGCGGCCTGGACTTTGGCTCTTTCAGTGGATTCCATTTATGTAAAGAAAGGGAGGCGGCGTGGCGCTGCGCCCTTTTCGAGACAAAGGGCTGCGAGCGAACCTGCCTTTGCGGCTCAGCCATTGTTCTCACTCCCCCCCCCATTCTCCCTCCAGTTTCGAATGGGGCAGGCGGCACTCTGCTGTCTGCTTGGCGGCGATGGCTATCGTGATAATCCGTCAGGGTTGCTCTGATTTACTTAATCACCCTGCTTTCTCTCTTGACTTTCCTCCCCCCCGATTTCCTTTCTGACAGGAGTAGCCCCTTCGCTATTGTTCGAGGGGAAGGGGCGGCGCCGCTGCCGCCGCCTTGTCGAGCGCGCCGACGGGGATTAAAAGGAGGGGGCGCCAGACGCTCTCCTCAGGGCGTCTGCAAAGCTCCTTTACGAGGAAGAGGAGGAGGGTCCGGGTCGGGCGCGTAGACAGGCTTACGGGGAGAAGCGCCGCATGCAAAAGAGGCTTTCTGGAGGGGAAGGAGGAAAGCGGGAGAAAAGCCGGACCCTAATCAAGGCGGGTAGAGAACGCGGGATCGCGATTGAGGTGGTTCTTGCCGCCGCCCTGTGCGGACTGTTTTGGTGTGCCTGGCAGGGGACGGAGGGAGGGAGCGAGCGAGGGGTGGTTGTTTCGTTGGGATGCCTGAAGTGTCTGTAAGCAGGGGAGAAGAAAGCGTGGAGGGGCGAGTAAGCAGCAGGTGCCCGGATGTTACCGTTATAGCCCAGCTCCCCTTCTCGCCCCCTCCCTTTGAGGACACATGCGCGCGCGCGCGCGCTGTCTCAGGCGGTTTGAAATCGGTGCGGTTCTAGAACGGCGCGTGCGGTGGGCTGGCCTTCGAAGTGGGCGCGGCTTCTCTGCCCCGCCTCCTCTTTTTCCGCTGCTTCGCGTTCCTCATGCTCGTGATTGGCTGCCGTTCTGCTTCGCCTGGTCCCGCCCCGCTGTGAATTCGTGGGGTGGGGTGAGCCGGGAGCGGCTTTTATTGGGTGTTCTCCGTCTCGGTGTATCGGCCGTGCTGTTAGTCCGTTGGTAAAAGGGGCTCTCCCTCCCCGCATGCTTGCTTTATTAGTATGCGTTCCTCTTCCCAAACAGTCTTGTTTATCTGGGAGAACAACTAAAATGAACAGCTTAGAGCCCAAACCAATTATACATTTCTATTTCAGAAAGTCGTATGTGGGCGAGATTAGGATAAGGCAACGCTAAGCGTTATTGTTATTTTTATACATTCGGATGTTTCCTTGCTTTATTCATGTCGGTGACGAGCAAACCATTCTAGATTTCTATCCTAGTAAGCCGCCCTTTTGCTTTCTTCCTCCGCAAAGGTTACAAGAACAATGGCTGTACTCAGATTTGCTGATCTAAAGGAGTGTATCATCTTCTGAGGCTTCTTGGGAGAGGGCTTTGGGGAATATAATAGCAATATAAAGATTAATAATTTTTAACCATTAGCATGGAAGGGAAAAAGGAGTAGTGCTGCCCAGGAACTTAATATTCAGGGTTAGAAATTAATTTCCAGTTTTTGAGTGCTAGCATCTTAGGAGCTTACGCCTGTAGAAAAAAAAAATGTAACATTTCCAGGTGCCAGTATCAAGTCCCTCAAGTGTTCAGGTACCCCAGGGTATTTCCAGCTCCTGCAGTGTCTGCTCTAGCTAGCTTGAAGGGAAAATTGGTGTGCCTTCTTCACAAGTTACTTGTACATTTCCCGGATGCCCACCCTCTGCTTAAAAATATTATTGAACTATATAAACTTAAAACTATTATAAAATTATACAGAACTGTGAGAGGGTAGATGCTGTCTAAAGTATGAACTATTCAGAATCTATAACATTTAAAATAAAATCTTGTGTTGAGACATCTTTATTAACAAGGCACTGCTTTGTTGTACATTGAGTAATATAACTACATTGCTTGTGTCATAGATGAGGTTGCTGTGACGGTATCATGGGAAATGCAGTCACAAGGATTGCTTTACTTCATGTGGCTATTAAACAGATTGCCCTTCAGGTTGGGGCCAGGCTTGAGGTGGAAATTAGATCATAATTTAATCCTTAGTTGCTCAATTTTTATGTATAACATACAGGCTGCTGTCTTTTAAAAATACAGTGCTTTGCATGCCTGTTCCAATCTTGAAAAACAAAGAGCTAGAAGCTAGTGGAAGACAAAACATAAATGTGAGCTTGCATAATCTTAAAAGCTAACATTACACATGCCTGAAAACAGCAGCTAAGGGTTGAAGAGGAATATTCAGATGAAAGTGATCTTACTGGTAATGCTCTGTATATTGTTGCCATTTGTCTAATAATGGTTCCATCTTCTTAGTGCTCACTTACTGGATTACCTGCAGCACAGTCTTTTGGAGTTTAGCTTAGCCATGGCTTCTTCTGGTAAGTATTTTCATTAGTCTATTGATGTTTGAATAGACGGTGCTTTTTCCCTTTCAGCAATAATTGCAAGCTTATTTTAATGAGATTTACGAATCATGCTTTGAGCTTGAAGCTCCTAAAGAAATACCGCATATGACAGCCTGCTGACTACTTAGATGTAATACATACATTACAGATACAGTCTAGAAAAACCATTTTGTAATTGGTCTTGAAGCCAAGTCAGTAGTTTAATTAACTTTAAAACCTAAAGTTCTTTGGCAGGTCTGGTTGATTAGTTGTTTTACTGTTGTCTCTGTTCTAACTTGGTGAACAGTGTCATTATTTTTTCCTGAAAGTATTCCAACCAGTGATGGAATGACTAGACACAATTTGAGTGCAATATTTAGGAAACATCTAATGTAAAGTAAAAGTAATTTTTCTTTCTTCTGGTCATTAATTCTTTGAAGGAAACATGAAAATGGTGGGGGTACTTGGAATTCTCTTGGCTTCCAGGGCCCTCAGAGCACTGTGACTTCAAGGTCCTGGGGGAATGGGAAGCCATGATCAACCAGTTGAACAGGTTAGATCTGTAGCAAACTTCCTTTAGCTTGAGAACTTCTTGAACCATTGCTGTGTGTGTCAACATAAAATAGCCCAGTTATTAATACGTAACTGTTAATGGCAATATCTCTTCTAGACATTCAGGTGAAAGAACTAGAAAAACGTGCTTCTGGGCAGGCATTTGAGTTGATACTTGGCCCACCATCAAAAGAAGCTGTTCCAGAGTTTCCCCTTTCCCCTCCAAAGAAAAAAGATCTCTCACTGGAAGAAATTCAAAGGAAACTAGAAGCTGCAGAAGAAAGGCGTAAGGTAAATATTTTTACAATTCTAAATGCTTATGTTTATAATTTGTAGGCCAGCGCATTCCACAAAAGTGTATACTTCAAATTGTAGCCTATAAAAACCCCTTCAAAACTATTACATTTTTTTGGAAATTCCAGTTACTGAAAACATCTGGGGGACAAAACTAGTTAAAGGAATGATTCTAATATAATTGCTGCAGTTGTATTTGAGTGGTTCATACATATATATTCATTCATCGCAGGAGTACCAAATGATGTTCAAGTAGCTTTAAACGGGGGAAGGAGTAACAAGGGAAAAGGGGACCTGCTAAGAGTTCGGTCTGTACCCTGATTGGAAGTAGCTTAACTGTCTCAGTCTGCAGCCACTATCAGTGATTAAAATAATATGTAAGACAGCCAACAACTGTAATTACGGACAGACAACTCTCAACTAAAAATGGAATGGATCTGTATTCTAGTCCCATGAAGCTGAGGTGTTGAAGCAACTAGCTGAGAAACGAGAGCATGAAAAAGAGGTGCTGCAGAAGGCAATTGAGGAGAATAACAATTTCAGCAAAATGGCAGAGGAAAAATTGACCCACAAAATGGAAGCTAACAAAGAAAACAGAGAAGCACAGATGGCTGCTAAACTGGAGCGCTTGAGAGAGAAAGTAAGTCTGACTTTCTAATTTCTCCATAAGGAGTGGAATATGAACTAAATCACTGGTTACCTTAACAACTGGCAAGAATAGTCATAAAAACTATTTTAACAAATGTTTATACAGTAGCAAACAACCAATATGTCATGCGTAATTCAGGGCTCAATCCTGTTATGGATATCCATAAGTCTTCAAACTCAGTTTATGAGCATCCAGTGCAGATTAGGAGGAGTAGCGGAGGCAATCTTTACCTGTGTCCTCTTGCCTGCATTTTTGCTAGATGCGTTTTCTCATCTGGCTGGGGCACCTGAGAGGGAAGAAGGCTGGAATGGCTCAGGTTACTCCAGTCTCCCTTCCACCCACTGAAATGCCCCCTTTAACTGTTTCCTAATACTGCTTTCTGGACCTTGTAAGGACAACACTTGACTAAATCACAGTGGATTGGGCCCATAGTGTACCTCCATGAACAGAAGGACCTCTGTTTGTGGAGAGACATGAGATCCAGTGAAACCTTGCTGTGATAGGAAGGGACATGGAACCTACAAACTGGCTTTTCCTCCAGCTCTCTGTGCCATCTTACAGGAGATTCTGGCAGATTCCACAACTCTCCAGAATATATTTTCAAAAAATTGCTGTAGGAAGGAGGCATTGTGAAAACTGCTTTCTTTCCCTTCCTCCAGTGCCAGTGGAATTGCTGGATGCAAATATGAATACATACCCACAGTGCAGATAGTTCTTGGGTTTGTCTTCGCATATTCTGGTGATTTCTACTGTAAAACTAGGGCTTTAGCTGTGGAGGCTACTCCTTTTTATCACGTGTGGGCAACTTGTCGCACTCCAGATGTTGGACTCCTACTTTTATCAGCCCCTGCCATTGACTATATGTTGTTTAGGGCTAATGGGAGTTGCAGTCCAAAAACATCTGGCAGCCATAAACTGCCAATCCCCATTTAAATGCATTTAATGCCAGCAAGCTGGGATGATAAAGATTCTCAGTACTCAACTTGCATTGTACATGCCCACTTGAGTCAACCACTTGACAAAGCTGGATGCTATAGAATGTTGCTTTGTGGAAGCTACAGGCTTGTAATTATATCTGTCTAGTCAGTAGCAACATAAAGGAATGATTTGGTAGGACCAAAAATTCTTGGAGTCCATTGATGTCTCTGCTTTGTCTTAACTCTGCTCTGTCAGGACAAGCATATTGAAGAAGTACGGAAGAATAAAGAAGGAGGCAAAGAACCTGGTGAGAATGAAAGCGACTGACTTCATCTTGGAATCTGACTTTTCTCCCCTTTGTCTAAATATCCAAAGACTGTATTGGCCAGTGTTTTTTGTTAAATTTCTAGAAACTGATGTAGAGCTGTATAGTTAGATCCAACTGTACACTTGCTTTGGGGAGCTAGAGGGGAGCCCTTTCATGTTCACTCTTTTTCTAAACTGTTGTCTTTCCAGTGTAGCTATCTTGTTGCATTCTTCTGCTCCAGTGCATTTGTTCCTGGATTGATGGCTAGTGCTGTATTCAGCTCTGACATTTGTGAACGGAATATGTAGTGTAATGTTCATGCTGAATCTGTTACACTTCAGAATTTGTCAGTCTTTTAAGATATTACTGTAACAAAGTGACTTAATAAAGCTGCACAGTGCTGTTATCACAGGTGACTGTTTCTGGAACTAGCATGACTAAAATATGCAACTCAGGCATAGCTCTGGCTAGAATGTTTTCATACAATGTTAGAATAAAAACAATATTCCTCTATCCGGTGGCTAGTGATAGTCCAGTGGCCGTTGCCTATTGTTCCAGTTTTACAATAAGACCTTTGTCTTGCACCTCAGCAGTTGTCAGCTGCTGTTTGTTCAAACAATTCAGAACCACCTCCCTCCTTGGATATGCTTGTACTTCCAACAAATAACTCCTTGTTAACATATGAGCATGATCTGTCTTTGAAAACATTTGCCTTTTTAAAAGTTTCATTAAAAAATTAGGAATATCCACGGATTTGCCAGCTCCCAAGTCATTGTTGCTGGAAATCTGCTCTAGTCTGAACTGTAGTAAATACAGACTGGAGTAAAAAACAGGCTTAAGTTGTCAAGGATATGAATGATGTGGTCTTCATTGTTGGAACATACCAATTTTCTGTTTTAAATCACTACTTCAAGTTAGATTTATTTGCAGCAGGAGGAAAGGCAGTTTTCTTTAATTGGAAATTCTGCATCTTTTAACAAAAAATAAAATTAATGCACTGTGGGTTCCTTGACAAGCCTGTAAGTAGCTCAGAAAATCTAATATTTTGGGGGGAGGTATTTCTGTAGTTATCACAACTTGATCCTAAATGTTGTTTCTTTAAAAGTAAGGTTAGGATTTAATTGAAGATATGCCATAGGGTAACATTACCAGTTTGCAATATGTGGGACGTGATGACAAGAACAATGCTGTGCGGAATTAAAGCATGCATTTATTTTATGCTTGAAGAAAAACTATTATGCTGTAGAATAGATTTGTCAATCAAATAGCTCCCCCATGTGGCAAAAATATTGGCAGCTTCAGAACTGCATGTCCTATATGTTGTGGGAAGTGGAAGCATAATAAGTTTAAGATAGACTTGAAGTAATTAAGATTCTTCATAAACACCTGTGTGCTGAACATATATTGCAATCACAACACTAGTCTTCAAAAATTACTCTTAAGTCTTTTAAGGAATATATGGCTTTTTTCTCAACTGCAGCACAGAGACTGGACCTATCCGTTCGTAGCCCTTCTGCCTACCTTGATATACTTGAGACCACCCCCCCCCCAAAGCTTTTGGAATGTTTCTTATTAAAGTAGTATGGCTGGTGCCACGTTCTTCATGCTGTATTTTTAATTGTATAAATGTGAAGCTGCTTCTTGTGCATGTCTGTGTCCAGATATGTGTGCTTGATCTACTTGCTCACTTCAACATATAAACATTTATAACTACTCATCTCTGTAACTTAGATTTAGTCAGCCATCAATAAATAGACTTAACTAAATTTGGTGCCTTTTCCTTGCTGGCTTCAGATAGCAAATGTCTTGCCGGTGAAATCTTGTAACGTATTTGAAAGTGTTTGGGGGACAGACAGAAGTTAGCTGAGGATGCAAGTGCCAAGCGATATAACTAGCTAACTGCTGTAGTTTCATATTAAAAACATTAGTCTTCAGATTAATTGTGGTGCTTAAAGCAAGGAATCTTCACATGAGAACTTCAGGATGCTTGTTTCAAGCAAAATAGTTTTAGGACTTGCAGTACAGTCCTCAGAAGATTAAATGGGCTTGCTTACAGGTAAGTGTATACAGGATTGCAGACTTACTGCCGCCGTTTTGTTACTCATAAACAGCTCTAAGCTGTTGCATAATCAGGAATATCCATTGTCCTGTGTTGCCTGTAGTCTACTAACATACAGTTAGAAATGTATTTTGCTTAACATATTGGAAAAGGGTTGTTTCGGCACCAAGATAACAGGGACCATAGCATAGCAGTTAAAAGCAAAAACCCAAAACACCAGTTTGGCTGCCTTTTACAGTCAAATTGTTGGCACCAAAGAATGAAAAATGGGTTCTATTGCAAAAGGCTTATTTCGTATATTAAATGGTTGGGATGGCAGTAGGAATTAGTGCAAAATTTACAACTCAGTCCTTTATAAACAGAAGTGATAGTTCACCCCACATTTTTTAGGGTTGGTTTATAACAACATAGTGTACTAGTCCCTAAGAAAGAACAAACTTTGGATTATTTAATAATTCAAGATTTTAAAATGTTCTGTAAAATACTGAGGAATCCTGGAAAATAAAGTATTGGACTGCGTATATGTCAACAGCAAATGTTTAATGGCATAATGCGGAAGAAGTTAAAAGTTCATGTAACTTTGATTCTAAGGTGCCAATGTAATCTCAGGATGGTTAACAATTGGTGCAGTCTGGTATATAAAAGGCTAGTACTGCAAAAGACCTGTTTGACATGAATTGGCTGAGTCAACCCAAGGTGTAAGAAAACGTAATGAGAATTGATAATAGACTGGTGGGAACTTCTGTTTCCTTGCAAACTGAGAAAAAGGCTTGAGGTTTATGGAGTCAATATTGGTAATGAGCCAATGCACTCAGAGGCAGTTGGGAACTGCTTGAGCAAGTAAAGAATGAAGGCCTTAAAGCTCTATTAAAATGTGCATCTATAATCTCATAGGGATAGTACAGACTCTCCCAGTGCAAAACCTCTAGTATCAATACCTCTTAAGATTTTAAGAACTGAAGAAGCCTTGCTTTTAAGATGACTGCCCTTAAGGGCATAATCCTATTATGAAGAAACTAAACCCCCGAATTTAGAAGTTTACAAGCATTCTGTGCAGGGTCAGGGAAGTAATCTGCCTCCCCATCCTGGTTTTTTGAAAAATGAATGTTTTGGGCTATCTGGAGGGGTGTTGTGCATGGGATCGCAGAGAGTTGGACATGACCTTGTGACTGAACAACAAGGAAAGTGTTTTGGAGAGGGAGGGAAGGAGACCAGAGATGTCTTGGTATAGCTCATATCCTGGCTTCTCCAGTTTCCTCTTCTTGCCCATTAAAATGTCCCCTTTTATGTTCCTGTGCTCAGAGGCAGCTGGTGCCTTTCTGCACCAGCTGCAACAGGGTAGGGGATGGTGGGTAAGCGCTCCAAATCCCTCTGAAGTCTGAGCACTATCTTGGATCTGGGAAACTGAACTATCCTGTAGTGCCTCATGCTGTATGTGAGGATTGCTCACAATGTACTTAACTCTTTCATTTGGAAATAATGCATTCCGAACTTCACACAAGCTCCAAATTTTCTCTGTTTTGTCTACTAATAGGAAAGGGGAGATGCTCCGCTCTTCTTTCTTACACTTTCCTGGGTGGGTCAAGTTTTAGTTGCTTTTGCAACTTGCTTGATTTTATATTGTCTTGTATAAACCTTTAAAAAGTGGAAGCAAAGGCTAAACTATGAATCATTCCTCAAGTCAGGCTGGACTTACAGGTTGTAGGTCTACAAGCTGGTGGGGTGAGTTGAAATTTAAAACTGAAACAGCAGATCCTTTCTAATAGAGACCTGGAAGTTTGGGGGACCTTGCTGTGCAGCACCAGTGTGAACAGTCACTGATTTGCCTAACAAATCATTCGTGTATGCTAAATGCAAATTCAGAAATAATTGTAACTTAACCCTAATTGTAATGCAGTACATCTCACCTGTGACAGCTAACTGGTATACCTGCCTGCTGCTCAAGTACGAACTGTCAGTGCACAACAGTTCTTATAGCACTTGATCTAGAAACCAGAACTGGACCAGAAAACCCTGAAAGATGCTTTCATGCAGAGGGCAGTTTTCTGGCAGATCTTCAAACAGAAGACTATCCTCTGTTTAAAAAAAAGACATATGGCCATTCTACAATGGAACAGTTGCCTGATGTTTGGCATACTTTTTCTTCATTAATTTGCTACTTCAACAGAGCTAAAGGAGTCTTTCCTAAACATGATTCCCTCCAATGTACAACTCCCATCACCCCAACTATCAGGTATCTGGGTGATGGTGGGAACTATAGTTCAGTAGGATAGCATCAAGTTGCAGGACTTTAGCTGGGAGGAGATAGGTCCCCCCTAAATATCCTTTGGCCCCCTTAAAAAGTTCACAGTTTTGTCTTTAAAAGGTCTGCAAGGCAGATGTATTACCAACTTTTTGGCACCCCCCCAAAAAAACCCCTTGAGGCTATAGGTCTGTGACAGGCTGGGGGTTGTGCAATACAGGAAAAGCCTTGAATGGGCATCAACTGCAGGATGTAGCTGCTCTTCCAATTTATCAAGATGTAGCATTTAAACCCTGCTGGGGCCCAGGACAAAGTACAACCAGTTTGCTAGGGATTTGGCCCCCTCCAGGAGTAGCTTCCAGGGGTGGTGCTAGGTACAGGAAAGAGCTGGAGCCCAGACACAAAGCACAAATTTCCATATGCCAGTTTACATATGCTGTAAAGTCTCTGTATGTCCTGAAAGGTCTTTACCTCCTAAGGATACCCCTATTCATAAAAAGGGATGTGTGGGCAGGGGAGAGGAGGGCATACGAGGACATAAAAAACCTCAGGTGGAAAGATTGGGTGGGTGGGTGGCTGGGGGCAACAGAAGGCGAAGCACATGTGAGCCAACAGCCAGCTCACCCAGGCGAGTCAGATGCAATAGGAACCATAAGAGCCCTGTACCTTCATTTTAGCAAGTGCCCATGGACAGCAGAATGGTGGGTCACATCTCCCCCCCCCCGCCAATTTGGAGCTCCAAATGAAAGATAATGGGCCATCCCCTAACATCACCTCTCCATTCACATTCCACCCCACGTTTTGCAACAGAGGAGTTTCAAATGCTGTGAGGCAGCTGGAGTGACCTCTGAGCACACCATCCAGGGCTCCATAGCATGAAGCAAAGGAAAGGTGGGAAATGACTGCCCAGAGAATGGCAGGCAATGGGGCATTAGAGTCGCAGGAGAAAACTCCTTTTTATACCACTGTGATGACAGTGCTCTGATTTAAGTGCCCATAAAATGCACAACTGTACACCCTCAGGATGGGTGGTGGAGACTCTGGACTGGAAACCATGTTAGAATAAAAGGGTGTAGAGGTATGGAATGGTGGCTTGATGGAGGGGGACAGGGGCAGAAGAATGGAACTATTAGTCGCTAGCTTCACAGCTGAAGTTATGCACATGACTGTGCAAAGGTCTATCAAACCAGTTTGGTTCAGGGTCTAGCCTGACCTTGCTGTGCCACTGCTGATCAGGTGCAAGGGCAGGCCTCCTTCCTGCACCTTGAACTACTGTGCACAAGAGAGAATTTTGGTAAGTGCAGCTTTTCTAAAAAACAGTGGGACAAAGGAAAAGCAGCACTCCTTGCACATTCCCTCTTGTCACGGGTCTTGCTTCTTCCTTTGCACCTCAGGGGCAGGAAGTGACACCAGGGGTCGTGCTCAGATACTTGAATATCCTGGGCTGATTCGCAGGACAAATGCACGGATTTGCTTACATCTGTTTGCACATGCTCTGCAGTCAGTCTCTGTGCCCGCCTTTAAGGAACACGGTCTCTTAAGGACACCTCCATTTGGGAAAAGGGATGAGCAAAGGGGAGGGGAAGGCGTTTTTATCAAAAAAAAAAAAGCTCAGGAAGAAAGATTAAGGGCGGGGGGGGGGCACAAGAGGGAAAGCACTGTGGGCGAAAAGTCAGTCCATCGGGGGACTTAGATCCAGTGGAGACCATCGGGGCCTCCGTCCCCTTGTTTCCAGCGGTGCCCACGAACCAGAGCGAAGGCGTAGACGGCCTCACGGAGCTTCGGGGCTGCCCGTGCCCGAAGCCCAAAACGGGGGGCCCCGGCCCTTGTGGGGCAGCCGCCGAGCACCGCCCCTGCGCGGCGCGGCCCGCATCCCCTCCCCAGTCGCCTCCCTCCTCCCGCAGCCTCCGCACCCGGAGTGGGTGGGGCGCTTTTCCCACCCTGCTCCACTTCGGGCTCGCCCACCTCCACGCCGCCGGCCGGATCCGCCAGGGGGCGCCGCGCCTCGTGGGCGCAAGTGCTCGGCGGCGCTTCTGGTGCGTTTCGCCTGCAGCTGCGTGGGAAAAAGCAAAACAGACGAGGCGGGTCTCGGGGAGAGGCGGCCGTTGCTGCAGAGGGGCGGCCTTGCCCGGCGAGGCTCGTGACCCACCCCCCGCGCTCTTTTTTCTTCAGCTCCTCGCCACCTTCCGTGTTCCAGACGTGCACCCTCTGCAAGAAAGCGCAGGAGGTCAGTAAGAAAAGGGGGCCATCGCGATGGGAAGGGGTGGGGTCCCCTCTCTTAAGAGCTCGGATTCCCAGGCTTTAGGGGGATCGGGGGATGTGTAAGAACAGAGCAAGATCTGTGGGTGCGAGTCCAGGAAGCATTTCAAGAGACTAAGCGAGGTCCGTGTGTGTCTTTGTGTTTGCAGGATTGAGAGCCTCTACGCTTGCTTGCTCAGAAGTAAGCCGCGCGCGGCGATCTGGTGAATCTTACTCTCAAGTAAGCATGCAAACTATTGCATCTTTAAAAAAAAAAAAAAATCCTTGCAGGTGAAGTATACATGGGAAGAAATCCCACCGAACTTAGCAGGACTTACTCCTGAGTAAAGGTGAACTAGATCCACCTGCAAGCTTTGACTCTTTGAAACTTTTGCCATCTTACTTGGTAGGCCATTCTGGGAGGTTTTGCCTATATCTGAAAATCCTCTTTGATACAGGGGCAAGCCGTGGCAGAAGTTTAGGATCGCAGCTCCTATCAGCCCCAGCTGGCATGACTGCTGGTCAGGAGTTGTGGGAATTGTCTTCCAGAACATCTGTAGGGTGCCATGTATCTTTTCTACTCTTGCAAGTAGGGGGTGATCAGGAAGAGGAGAGAAGCGTGGGCTGGGAGACTGGGGTTGCTCAAACCCTGCAAGGGGTGGGGTTCTTGGGCTTTGGGGCGCTCTCGTTCGCCAGGGCCGGGACTGTGTTTTCCCTGGACAGAGAAGCCCTGGGGAGGCACTGGTCGCTTTGTGTCCGCCCCTTGAAAGGGTCTTTCACAGCTTTAGGAAGTGCAAGCAGTGAACCAGAAGTGTTATGTGGGGAGGGAGAATGAACCAGGAACTTGCGGGATGCAAACAGAGTGTGAAGGGAGTGCTTATTTTGTATTATAAATATTTTAAAGGGTGTATGTGAATGTCTTAATAAAGGAAACCTTGAGTAAGAACAAACGTATTCCTCAAGGCAGCCTTCCTCCAACTGGGCTCTTTCCAGAGGTGTTGGATCACAATGCTCCTAGCTCCCTGGGATGATGGGAGTTGTAATCCAAAGCATCTGGGGGCTCCAGGTTGGGGGAAGACTGTTTTAAGTGGAGAGGGTGCCATGTCCAAGAAAATTCAAGCCACACCCTTAGCCCCTGGCATTATGTAACAGCACGTGGATGTTGTTTTGAATTAGTGCTGTTTCAGGGTAGGTGCTGGAGAAGGATTTTTAAGTCAGTGGATCATCACTCCTTCCTCTGACTCATGGTCTGAGGGGAAAAGAAATGTTTGCCTTACCAAAACTACCACTTAAGTTAGTTTTTAAGGTAATGGAAATGGCAAGAGAAGTTATTTCTCAAGAAGCAGAGAGGCGAGTGATCTTTGTTAGCAAGCGCAGGGCTGGGCTGAGCCGGTTCCTCCTTGCTCCACTGCTTTGCTTTGCTTTTGTTCAGACAAGGAGCACCGTGTCCATTGAATCAGTTAAAATTTATTAAAGTTCTGCTCTGGGTCTCTTATCACAGAGCAGAACGGGGGGAATAGGGGGTTTGGGGCGGGCACTTTTGGACTGCAACTCCCATAAGCCAATGGTCAGGGATTACGGGAGTTCTGGTCCAAAAGCCTGGGAGGACACCAGCTGGCCTCCTCCCATTAAGTGACCCAAAGGATGAGTTTTGTTCGGAGCTTTGTTAAGAACGTAAAAACAGAAAAGCGATGCTGGGTGTGATCAAGGCACACCTTGTTCAGAGCACTTTTCAGGAAGCCAGACTCCCAGCGAGCACAAGGCAGTCCACCAGGAAGGGGCTAGTGGGCCGCTAGTCCTGGGCTATAGCTAGTCTGTGGCATAGTGTAGGGGCTGGCAACCCGGCGCCCATGGTGCATCGGCTCCCACCAGACCGACAGCGCCCACCTTGGATTTGACCCCCAGACCCAGATGCACAGTGCCTGCCTCTGCTCAGCCCTGCCAAAGCCCCCGTGGGGAACCAGGAAGTTGGCAGGTTCAGACCAGTCTGCTGACTTCAGGGCTCTTCACTGGGGCTCTGGCAATGTTGATGCTACTGCAGAAGTGGGGTGAGGAATTCCAAGCGAGGGCGGGATGGGGAGGAGCGAGGGGAGCTGGAGGCGGGATTGGGAGCAAGAAAAGGGAGAATCCAGGAGAAGGGGGAAGAAATGCCATTTGGACCTGCAGGTCTGAAAATGGTCCCCCAGCTCTGGAGTGGCAGGTTCATCTCAGACTGTGGGGGGACTTAAGTTCTGAGTTCCACCCCGCACTTAGCCACGGTGCGCACTGCTTAAATGATCCTGTGGTCAGCCGCTGTCTCTTAGCCTAGCCTACTTTACAGGCTGGCAGTGAAAATACAATGTAGGGAAATACACACACACTGTCTTTGAGTTCCTTAGAACAAATGCCGTGCATAATAAAATGAAGGCAAATTCCCTTTAATGATTTTATCCCTTCTTTGAATAATATATTGGACCCAGTAGGGGCTCAAAAAGTAAATAACTCTCCAGTCCACTGGTTAAAATTCATCTCACAGTTAGAAGTGACTGCACCATTCTAGAATATTATTTTTTAAAATACTGTTTTGCATTAAAATTCCTGGAAAGTTCAGGGACTGAGCTAGAAATCGGGATCCTCGTCCTAATCTTGGACAACAGATGAACCCCCCTCCCCACGCTGGGTCCGACTGAGGCTCGCCTGATCCAACATTCTGTTCATGCTGTGACCAACCTGCTGTCTATGGGAAGTCCCCACCCATGTTCCCCAACTCATCCAATCCCAAAGGCAATATTCAGCCCTCATGACTAGTAGCCACAGGTAGCTTTATCCCCCATGAAATCTGATCCCCTGGTAGGGCCATGCAAATGGGTTGTTATATCAAGTTCTTCCTCCTGAATCTCCAAGGTTCAACTTCATTGAGATAACAGCAGATTCTCCTATCAACTGTCATCTGCTTTCTCTGCAGTTTTCCTCATTTTGTATATCTCTATTCAAAAGCATACAAATGCAAGTAGATAAAAAGGTACTACTTTGGTGGGAAGGTAACAGCGTTCATTGGTGGTTCCTTGCACTTCCAGTGTTTAGTCGGTGTTTAGTCGTGCCGGCCACATGACCACGGAAACTGCCTGTAGACAAACACTGGCTCCCTTGGCTAGGAAACGGAGATGACTGGACTGGACTGGACTGGACTTTAATGTCAGGGGGAAACCTTTAACCTTTTTATCATATCTCTTGTACTCAGCTTGTTAAAAAAAGCACAGCTGTTGTAACCTTTCCTCACAGCAGAGTTGCTCCAACCTCTTCATCATTTTGGTTGCCTTTTCTGTACTTTCCCCTACTCTACAATATCCTCCTCTGCTCCAAATGCAAAAGCAGAGCAAGGAAGAGTCACGGCTCATGGATGCCTCCTTAATGCCACTGCAGAAGCAAAACCGCCTCCTTGCAACCTTGTCCCTGGGCACCTGCAAGGTTTTCGACAGGCTAGATGGTATTTCTTGGAGGGCACACCCAGAATGGAAGCAAACGAATGGATTGTCCAGCATGACTGATGCATGACTCTCGGTCTCTGCTGGACGTATCTCAGGTCCACGGTTGTAAGTAGGATTAATCTCAGTGATTCCCAAGGAGTTCAGTTAAGCAAAGCATTGAAATGGGGACACCCTTTGCCTTTTGCTGTTGCTGTGGGGCCATTGGCAGAACTCCTGTGTGGCAACCTGCACGTTATCCACCTGCTTGCTGGAGACACGGCCTGTTTTTATCAAGCTGATGCACAGGCAGGCTCAGATGTGAGGGGCTGAATAGGTGCATAGGAAACGGCCTTATATTGATTTGCACCTTGGATCCATCTTGCTGGGGTGGCTGACACTTACCAGCAGCGGCTGTCCAAGGTTTCACTCAGACGGGTCTTTCCTAGCGCTGCCTGGAGATACCAGGGATTGAAGTTGGGACCTTCTGGATACATCCTATGACTGAGATGCCCACTCTGTTGCTGGCATGTGAATATGAAATGATGAACAGGGCCTAGAGCCATTTTCTCCCCCCACTCCCCCCCCCGCCCCGATAATGCAGAATTCAGGGTCACCCAATGGGCTTATTTCAAGACAGACCAAAGAACATTCTTCTCACACCAAGTGTATTTAGTGCATTCAAAGTAGTTTGGTTTCAACTGAGAGAGGCCTATGCACAATAGTACCTGGGAATGGAACCTCCATATTCAGAGGCAGCGTACCTGTGAATTGCTGCATGCTGGCCAGTGATCGCAACTGAGCTTGGTAGCAAGGGTCCAGGGGCCGCTGAGAGAAAACGTAAATGTGATAATTAATCTAGAGGGTTTTCACAGAGACTCAGCGCAACCTACCTCACAGGGTTGTTGTTGTGGGGATAAGATTGAGAGCAGGAGGAGTCATATTATGTAAGCTACTTTGAGATCTTTGTAAGAACAAAAGGCAAGATACAAATGTAATATATAAATAGATTTCCAATTCCATTAAACAGCAAGCTGTTTGTCTTGCATGTCCTGGAAACTTCTATTGTTTCCTATTTTCATACATGACTTTTCATACCCCTGCCAGAGAAGGCTAATCCAGAGGTGGGCCAGAGTTCCTAAGGGCCGAGATCCCTTTATTAGATGCCAAGCATGATTTTGCAAGTGCTCAGAATGGGGAAAATGCCTGGGTCCCTTCTACTCTGCACCAGGCAACAGAACTCTTGCTGCACCATCCTGGCTCTCTCTTCTCTTCCACTTTATGGAGCAATCCACAGTGCTCCATGGTAGTGAACCTGTTTGGGGGATGGAGTTCAGCACCAAAGCTCACATAAAGCTGAAAAGCCTCATTGACTGTAGGAATTATCCACTTCCCCTGCTAAGGGCTATCAGTTTTGCCTTTATTATCTAAGCTTGCCGGTAAATCTAATGATGATCAGCTAAACAGTAAGACATTGTCTCTGTAGATACTGAAAAGGCTGCACAATTCTTTTGTGTTGCATTAAGCTTGTGAGGCCAGATAATTCATTTTTGATTTGTTTAATGTTGATTATTTATAATGGCAAATTGTTCAGTGCCTTGCTTTTATTTTTATTTTAATCTGGTCATAGATTGCAGTAGACAGAAAGTGAAAGTTATTAATTTGGCTGCATTTGCATATGAGAAGGAGTTCTGAAGAAACAAAATAGCTTAGAAGAGGCCCATGCTTTACAGCAAGCCTCTTAGAAGAGGCATTTTACATGTGTGCATGTGCTAGCATGCCTCTTCTAAGGTTAGACTTGCTGTCTCCAGGTTTTAGAATGACTCTTTTAATTTTTAAAAAAATTGCTAATCACTCAGTGGGGTATCTAATCAACTTTTAAAAGATCAGTTTATTAAGCAATAATGGTGAAAATGTTGCAGCCTGAGCCAAAATTTGTAGTTGCTATTCTCTGTCCTGATTCAGATTCTAGAGCGAAGCAGGTGTGCACACACACACGTGCGCACACAAGTGATCCTCTCCATAATTACCACTTATAATAATAATTAGCAACATCTAAAACAAGAAGAATGTTTGTGGACCAGCCCTTCCCCAGCCAGGTGCCTTCTGGCTCTGTTGAGCTGCTGCTCCCATAATTGTCAGTCTGACAGGTCTTCTGGAGTACAGTAGTTGAACTTCTAAGCTGCCACTGCTCAGATAGACTGTGCCTCTCATTCCAGTGTACCAGACTTTCTGCCTGGCCTGCTGCTGACCTCTGGCTTTTTACCAGTTTCCTTGAAAGGGCCGCATTCATTCCAACTGGAAATGGAAATGGAAGCACTGCTATATTACACTGGGCTGGGGACCTCTTTCAGTGTCAGAGAAGGTCTTGGGGTCACATTCCAGTGGGGAGGAGTCAGAGGCAAAGGGATGGTGACAAAAATACGAAAACAACTTGGATATTGGAGCATAAAGTGCTTCCTGCCAGTGATGAAGACTTGGGACTGGTGGGGGGAAACCCACCACAAAGCTGGGGAATACCAAGTGACTGGAGGCTGGGGAAAGGGGGCAGAGCTGGGAAGAGGGTGTGGCCACCTGGGAGGTGCCCTGGGCTGGGGCAGGGCCCAGGCCTTCGGTCCCCATCCTGCCCAGTAATACGAACCTTGCACTTTTCTGCCCTGCTTTTAAGGTTACAGCCAGGGAAAATGCTCCTCTTTGCAACTCTGTCCTGGGCACATTTACTCTGAAGTCAGTCTTGTGTTCAGTTTCTCCCAGGTTGGAGATGGCTGGGGAGTGGCAGGACTCTTTTTCTGCCCAAACGTTTTTTCCTGAAAGGGTTTCTTTCTCCCTTTGCTGCAGGTTCTGTGGTTTAGTGCCATGGCAACCATTGTGTCCGAGAAACTCAGCCGCCTTTTCATCAGCGCCCAACACTTCTGGAAAGTCCCCCAGCTCCTGGAGGAAGCCCTGCCCTCCCTGTCCTGCACTGTGGGGGTACTGGACGTTCCCCGGCTTTTCCGGAAGCCGTACATCCACACCGGCTACCGCCCTGTCAACCGAACGTGGAGGTATTACTTCCTGTCACTCTTCCAGCGCCACAATGAGGCGGTCAATGTTTGGACACACCTGGTGGCCGCTTTGGTCCTGCTGGTGCGGTTCTGGCAGCTGGCCCGGACCGTGGACTTCCGCGGGGACCCCCATGCCCAGCCCCTCTTCATCATCGCCGCCTCTTCCATCGTCTACGCGACGTTCAGCGCCGTGGCGCATCTCCTGCAGGCCAAGTCGGAGTTCTGGCACTGCGCCTTCTTTTTCCTGGACTACGTGGGGGTCGCCACCTACCAGTACGGCAGCGCCTTGGTGCACTACTATTACGCCATCGAGCCGGCATGGCATGCGCGGGTGGGGGGCTTCTACATCCCGGGAGCCGTCCTGCTGGCATGGCTGTCCTGTGCCGGCTCGTGCTACGCCAAATACCGGTGTCCACACCTCTCCTCCCTGATGGGCCGACTCTGCCAGGAGGTGCCCTCCGCCGTGGCATACGCCCTGGATATCAGCCCGGTGCTTCACCGCATCTATTCCTCCTCTTCCTCAGGCCTCGCGGACCCGGCCGTTCTCTACCACAAGTGCCACGTGCTCTCCTTCCTCGTCGGGGCCTTCTTTTTCGCCTGCCCCTACCCTGAGAAATGGTTCCCGGGGAAGTGCCACTTCGTCGGGCAGGGGCACCAGATCTTCCACGTGTTCCTCACCTTGTGCACCCTCACCCAGGTGGAGGCGGTGCTCCTGGATTACGGCACCAGGCAGCCCATCTACTCCCGCCTGCACGGCGGCCTGGCCCCCCTTTTCTCCGCCCTGTGCCTTTTGTTGGTGGTTTGCTGCAGCCTCACGGCTCTGTACATGACCGCCAAGGTGAGAGGCAAGCTGCACCGGAAAGAGGAGTGAGAGAGAGAGAGAGAGTCGCTGGCAGAGAATCAACCCACCGGCCTCCTTGCTTATGTTCCCTTTGGGCATGTCCACACTATGGTTACTTAGAAAATCGGGCCCTTTGCCCGGGGCAAGTGGTGCTTTTTGTGGCAAGCGGAGCATGACCTGCTCCCTTGCCTGATCCATGCAATGGCTGGGGGGTGGATTCAAGATGACCAGTTCCCCTTCTGCAGTAGTACAGCTAGGACGGGGCCTTCGCACCAGAGCCTGGCTCCCCACGGCTCCAGTGGCCCAAGCAGCCGCACAGACCCTGGCAGGAGATGCGGGCCAGGTGTCGGCACCTGGGTCGGCAGGTATGTGACTCTACCGGGCTGGTGCCAGCGGTCACTGCCACCTTTCTTGTTTTAAAAACATTTGGAAATCAAGGCCAACTGGTTACAGGTCCACAATCTACTATGCCTACTTTTAAAATAGATTTTGCTTTCTGCCACAAAATGATACTTATCCCCAAGTCACATGTTTTTAGCACCAGGATAGCAGACACGGATTCCACATTATTCCGGTGGCCACGAAAGGTGCTATGACTCCAGTGAGTTCAAAATATGAAACTGCTCACACCCCGAGGCTCTCCTTTTTTTGATTCAGATTTGGCAAGCGGGGCTGTTGCATTTTTGCTCTAACGTGCCAGGAGTGGGTGGAGGAGGAGAGAGTGTGTTCTGTGTGCTTCGCAACTGAAGTCACACACACAGTTGGGTAAAGGAACACCCCAGAAGACCATTGTCTGTGCTCTAAAATGACCTAGCTGTACCACTGCTGTTGTAAGAGGAAATGCGCCTTTTTCCTGGACGTAATGGAAAACTTTGCTTTTTAAGAGGTCCGTCTGTCGTGCAGGAGAGAGCATGTCACTTAAACATCCCCTCCAAGCTCACACACAATTCCTAACTCAGCTTTCCTGCCGGTTTTCCAAATCAGAAGTGGGCAGGGTTCAGGCTTGCCTGGTCCTACTTTGTTTTTTTCCTACAGCCACAGGATCCACATATGGTGTAAAAGGCATGCACTTTGAATTCAGTGTATGGAGCCCAAAAATTTGGAGCCCGAACTACATGAAGCTCCCTGACAATCATCTGCTCCCGGTTAGCTGAAGCTTCATTCCTTCTGGCAGTATAATTTAAAGTGGGGAGGTGGGAAGGATCAATTTGTTGATGCTAACACTAAATAGATCAGGCACCAGAAATCCTTGCTGATCTATGCAAATCATGCATAGATGTTCCAGTAGATCTCAGTACGCCTGCTGCCCACCCTTGCTCTAAATGGTGGAAGAGCCTCAGGGAAGGGGGGTCAAGAACTGCTCTGCCAGGTCAGGGAAGCCCTTCCAGTTCCGGGACCCCAGAGCAAAAGCTGATCTTACTGCTTCGTCTGCACTGACTGAGATGTTATTTCAGCCCATGTGTTCTATGCAGCCACAGACCCAGGGTCCCTCAGCCCAACTTGAAGCTCTCCAGATGTGAGAGGGGTTGCGACTCCCATTGGCCACCCTGGTCTGTCACATCTGGGGAGTGTCAGGTTGGAGGAAGCTGCTGAGCCCCTGGGTGCCACCTGCCCTGTGGGGCAGATGTCTTCCCTGCTTCCCTTCCTCCTTGACTGAGGCTGCGATGTTCCAGAGAAGAACATCCCGGCATTCAGAGGAACATTTCCTTCTTGTGTGCTACCAGCAGTTCTGGAAGAAGCCATGCTGATGTGCCTTAAGGAGAAGGTCTGCATTTGAGTTTGGATGTGGAGAGCCTGAGTTGCTGTGTTTGCAGCGCTGGAGTCATTTGGACAAGTGTTACATCTAGGGATAAAGGATGGGCAGGGTAAAAGAGAGGCTTCTTCGGCTGACATGAAGAACATGAAAGAAGAACATGAAGAAGCAGCCATTCACAGCCCTGTGGTGGCGTGATGGCCACCCATTTGGACGGCTTCAAAAGGAACTGGACAACTTCAGGAAGGATGACTAACCAGTGGCTCCTAGTCCTGATGGAGGAATGCCTGTTGTGGCAGTTGCTGGGGAACATGGGGGGAGGGTGCTGTTGCACTTAGATCCTACTTGGGGGTTTCCCACAGACAGATGGTTGGGCCCTGTGTGAGCAGAATGCTGCAATGGGTGGACCTTGTTGTACTTAGGTTCTGGTAGGCCACACCGAAGGACTCTCAACCAGTGTTCTCAATTCCACAAGGATGTAGGAAGCTGCCTTCTAACAGGTCCAGCTATAGTCCATGTAGCCAAATGCTGCCTGTTCCAGCTTTACCCAAATTGGAATCCTTCAGATGGTTTGAACTGCAATTCTCATTGTTCCTGAACAGAGACCACGTTGGCTGGGCTGATAGGAGTTCCCATGGAAAGCATCGGTAGGTACTCTCCGCAGATTCTGGACTACTGCTTCTGCCAGTTCCTGACAATTGGCCATGCTGGTTGGGGTTGATGTGAGTTGTAGTCCAGAATGTTTGGAAGACACCAGGTGGGAGAAGATTGGTTGCTTCTAACTGGCAGCTGCTCTCCCAGGTCACGGGCAGATGCCCTATCCATCCACTGGTCCCTCACTCTTTTAGCTGGAGATGCTAGGATGGAACATGGGACCCGCAGCATGCAGACCGGTGCTTCTACCACTGCACTTTATCCCTTCTGAGCCTTCCTCAACCTGGTGCCCTCCAGATAGTTTGTTCAACAACTCCCAGCATGCCTGATCAGCAGCCATGCTGTCTGGGGCTGATGGAAATTGAAGTGCAAAACACTGGTTGCGGGGGATTCGGGTTGGGAATGGCTGCTTTGAGAGCATTTACTAGTACGAGGCCATGTACAGTGTTGGGGGTGCTGCATTCAGTGGGGCTTCCTCCCACATAAGAGCACGCAGAGCATAGCCTGAAATCATACGTCCTCATTCTTCCAGGTTGCGTTGCAATTAAACCGCCAAAATAACCGGGTGGAAATGATGCCATTGCCTTCGGCAAACCAGGAAAGAATGGGTTAGAGCCAGACAAAGGTGCTCCCCTGTGCAGGTTTAGGCAGACAGAAATCAGCTTGCGGGGCATGCCAGATGTGGAAAGTCCTTTTCTGTCTAAGCCTGCCTAGGATTGTGTCTCATCCGCATGCACATTTACCAGCCTGTAAGTTCCATGGAATCCAAAGAACCATACTCCTGAGCTGATGCACCTAGGACTGCGAGGTTGGATTTCCACTGCAAGCAAAAGGACGTTGCTTTGATGTGGCACATTTTTCATGTTGATTTCAGTGGGAGTTACCTGCAGGTAGTTTAGTCAGGGCTTGAGTAGCTGAGCTATTACCCCAGAGTAACTAGGCATTGAGACCCAATGTGGCTTCACTCATTTTTAAAATACAGCAACCGTCCTTTCAAAACATGTATCCAACTCAGCAGTCTTGAATTCTGTTCAGTGAGATGTCAATGTGCTTCCGTTGTAGGTAGGTGGGCCTGGCTGGAAACTGGCTGGTCTTTAATCCTGTTGAGTCAAAGGGGGTGCCTGAAGCCCCTCGTTTTCAATGGGACTGAAAGCCAGGTGGCATATTGAGGAGAATTTGAGGCCCTCTTGGATTCCCCTCCTTTCAAGAATCCTTCCTGATTATGGTGTTCTGATCTCCCCCTCAGTAGAAATCTAGCACCAGGGTAGGTGCCCTGGTGGTCTTCAGAAGCTTTGGACTGTGGTTCCCATAAGCCCTGGCAGCATGGGCAGCAGCCAGGAATTATGGGAGCTGTAGTGCAATACATCAGGAGATTTGGGGAAAGTTGGCCAACCTTGACTCTCTTTGGGCAGCTGCACTTGGACGTCAATAAGAATCTTTGCACAGTGGTCACCTTTCTCCCAGATGCATCATTTTGGAAATGGGATCTTAATGGCATGAAATGGCTGTATTCATTCTATAGAAGGAGAGAAAGAGATAATCAGTTTATATATGAAATAGGAGCTGCCGGGCTATTCTTGAACCCTCCTGCCTGACATGTTAGTGCTGTGTGCCCAGCAGATGTCTTACACTGGAGCATTCCAACACAGGTGCCCATCTGTACTGGAAAGTGATGTAATTCCCAGTGGAGTGTATCAGAATATATTCCTGGATGTGTAGAATTTGCCTCACACACTCATACTGGATATGGTGCAATTCAGTGTACTGCCTAATGATTAATTACAGAGATTCGGCAGAATTTTGCAAAAAGGAAACCTGGGAAGGTGGACAGATTTGTGTGTTTTCCTGCCTGTCTTATTTTTTATATATTTCAATTGGCCCAAGGCCATTATTTGTTTCTATAAAACACTTTTCACAAGCCAAATAATTTATTGTTGTGTTGTCTCCTTCACAGTAACCCTTTGAACAGTTGTATAGACTATAAGGTACTTACAGGTGTATAAGTACCTCAGGCTGTCGCAGATCTCCTTGCCGATGCCAGAGTGTAGGACACGGAATAATCAGTTCAAGTTGCCACAACCCAGATCCAGGCTGGACACCAGGAAGCGCTTCCTCACTGTCAGAGCAATACAACGGTGGAACCAGCTGCCTAGCGAGGTGGTGGGCTCTCCCACACTAGAGGCATTCAAAAAGAAACTGGACAGCCCTCTGAGTGGGATGGTGTGACTTGGAGTCCTGCCACAGCAGGGGGTTGGACCCGATGGCCTCCGTGGCCCCTACCAACTCTACTATGATTCTAGGAGGAGCAAGGCCAGGGGGCTTCCGCCATGCTGGGGTGGGACCCTTGCCAGTCGCCTGCATGCCTGCCTTCGGTGCTGGCGCCACTCGGGTCCTTCTGGAGCTCTCAGTGGCAGAAGAGCAGCTGAAGACTTGGGGCAGAGGCGGTGCAGGGCACGTCGTGGCACAGCCGGGCGCTTCCTGCTGCTCCCACGAGATAAGGTGGGGCACGCCTGCCGCTGAGGAAGCCCTGGAGCCGGAAACCTCACTGCGGGGGTGCCTCCTTCAGCCAGCCCACAAACCTTGCAATCCTTGATACGGGGCCGCAAAAGCGGCCCTGGGGCCTTGCCTTCTTGCTTAGACACGCAAACGCAGGGCGCCTCTCGGACTTCTACCCCTGAGCAGATTTGCAGAGCGATCCTGGGGCGGAAGGGCACGCACCAACTCGCTGTGGGCCGGTGAGAGGTGAAGGCACAGCTTCAGCCCCTGTCAAGTACTCTCTTATGTCAACATGGACAGGCCCAGCAGGTTTTCTCGAACAGAGTTGGTTGTCCATAGAAAGGTTTTTTTCTTAGCTTCATTGCCATGCAGAGGACGGTTTTCCAGGGGTCCTGCCACAAGGAAGGGAAGCTTTAATTGCCCTCTGACCACATGCTGCAATCTCCTTTCCCCTCTGCATATTTCTCTGCATGGCAATGAAACTTAGGAAAACAATAGTTTTTTCCATTATTATGGGATGATCTGGGACAGGGATCAGATTAATTGAAGATTTTATATTTGGATGAAAAATGAATTGGCTGGCTTTTCCTTTGGTGAAATTTAAATAAATCCTAGGAATTATTTCTACGTTTGTATGTCAAAATATACATCAAACATTCCAATTTTATGCAGATTGGTGTGCCGTGGATTTTGGCTGTAAATATTTTAAGTGCCTAGCACAGTGGTGGCGAACTTATGGCATGCGTGCCACAGCGGGCATGCAGAGCCCTCTCTGTCGGTTCGTGAGCCAAGTCGCCCCAGCATTGGCCCAGAAGCCGAGCATCGGGTAACAAAGCACACGGGCCATGCATATGCTCACAAAGGAATAGTGGCGCCCGGTGATGATGTCACAAGTCGTGACTCATTAGCCGCCACTGGTCCAAGCTTTCGCACAGCTGGTCAGTGTGCTGCCAAGGATATATATATAAATATATTTGCTTGGAATGGCTGTGAGGTGTTTTTTGTAAACTAAAACCTCAGTTTTCAGGTTTTATTGTGTTTAAAATGGGCAGAAATGAGCTGTGCAGAAAAAACTATTCATGGAAGCCTTTTCCAAAATTGCATTATTTTTGAAAGAACTTTACCAGTATATTAGGGTTAGGGGTGTGCACCAGGGTAGGGTTAGAAAAATGAGGTGCCCTGGCATGGTTTTGATGGTTGGAATGTGTTTAGAATGGGCAGAAATTGTGAGCTGTGCAGAAAAAGCTACTCAAGGGAGGCTTTGCAATAAATAAGTGGGTTTTGGGTTACAATTTGGGCACTTGGTCTCCAAAAGGTTCGCCATCACTGGCCTTGCTGTGGAACCTTGGGTTGTCATGTCTGAACCCACCCATGGTGAACACAGTGCAACCACAAAACATGGGTTTTTTTTATGGGTTTGTTAGTGCAACTGGGTTAGGCAATATGATAACCCATATCTTATGAAGAACCCACACTCAACCCATACTAATTCCTGAGTTTCCTGTAGTCTGATCCCAGGTACTGCCTGTGGTGTAGCCATGATGGACAGGGGAAATCAAGGATTGTTCATTGCTAATTATTCCACTGTTATGGACGCTGCATGCCAAATGTTTGACATTCTGTCGGTAGCTACTCCAAATCTAACCTTGAATGTCTGTCCTACGTCACTACTAAGCCCCATGTGGAGCCCAGCCCAGCTTTGCTGGGAAACATTTGTGTTTTGTATCTCCCTGACTTGCCCAGTTGCTCTCCAGGGCTGTTGCATTTTAGGTTACACCAGGGCCATTATTTCGGGGTCCACCCAGCAGAGCATCCTCACTGCACCCCTGCATTCTGGCAGAGGTGGGGAGTGAGAAACCTCTCAGGCTGCCTCCGTTCACAATCACTCTATCTGCCTGAAGCAAAGGTCATGGCAAGTCCTTGCAGAACAAAACTGAAGTTATGTAGTGTAGTTAAACTTTACTAAAATACCAATGCCATTACATCAGCAGGGTTCCAGTGCAAGAAAAAGCCAATTCTTTTGCTCATTTTATTGTTAAAGCATTGGCAAGTAGCACTGGCCTATAAGCGATGAACACATGCAAGAGGGAAACCAATTTCCTGGGACTCAGGAAAATGGTTAATTTATATTTCTTTGATTGCTATAATAGCTGGTAACCAAAGCGCTCTGGTAGTTCACAGCAATCCACAAACACAATGATAAACTACAGATACAGTAAAATACAGCCTGAAAGTTTTAGTGTACCAAATTTAAAACAGTTTAAACAGCTAAACCAGTTTCAAAACATTCATATCTAAGATCTTGTAAGTAAGTGGAGAAAGAGAATTAACTGTATTTTCAGCTTTTAACAGTTCAGTCCTATGCATTACTCAAAGCATGGTTACTCAAAAGTAACTCCCTCTGAATTCAGGCAGACTTGCTCCCAGGAAGTAGGGATAGAATTGCAGCTCTGATTATATTGGGGCACTGGAGAAAATTGTGTCTCAGATGGGGTTTTTTCCTTCAAAAAAACAAAACAAAACCACTTCAAACACCTTTTTATTTGTAAATATTTTTAAAAGTCACACATTTTTCAATCACAAAACATAGCCAACAAAAATAAAATAAGGGTACAGTCCTATACATGTTTGGACAGAAAAAGTCCTGAACACTCCTCTTGCTTAGGACTGCATTCTATGTGATCAAGAAGCCCTGGCATGGTGAAAGCTTTTAAAGTGAGGTGCAAGTGCAGCAAGTCAGAAACTACAAGGCTTAACTGGCACAATTGGGCTCTTGGAGTTGCCTGTGTGGCTGTCAGTCAAGCCTCCAGAATAAAGTGGATCAGGTGGTGCTGGGCCGGCAAGGACATGTGTGATCAGCTTTGTGCCAAAGCATGTTGCTTAAATAATCTTACATAATCTGGTTACCTGAAGGAGCGCTTGCATCCATATATGCCCAGCCGCCCCTTGAGATCGGTGGGGGAGGCCTTTCTCCGGGAACCCTCCGTGAAAGAAATTAGGAGGGTGGGTACTCGGAGGAGGGCTTTCTCTGCGGTGGCGCCTAAGTTATGGAATGCGCTCCCCAGAGAGGTCCGCCTGGCGCCGTCGTTATTTGTTTTTCGGCGCCAGGCGAAGACCTTTTTATTCAAGCGGCATTTTAACTGTTAATATTATTGGATTTTATCTGGCCAGGGCGGCTTATTTTATACTGTATTGTTGTATTTTTAATTTAATATTTATATTTTTAATTTATATTATAATTATTTTAACTTAGTGATGTAAGCCGCCCTGAGGCTTCGGCGAATGGGGTGGCATAAAAATGTTTTAATAAATAAATAAATAAATAAATAAATAAATATCTATAGGACTCACCCACTTGCTTGCTTGCTTGCTTGCTTGCTTATTTATTTATTTATGCATACGTGTATGTATAGGCCGCCTATAACTGTTGAGGCTTTCCTAGGTGGCTTACAATACATAAGGCTGCTTATATAGATAATACATTTTATCTAGAGTAAGTGCAAGGGGGCTCGATCTGTAAAAAGCCCCTTACTTTTCCATGCTGGGTCCAATCCTGACTCCCGCCCCCCCCCCGCCCCGTGCCTGCTCTGCAGCAGAAAGGGGGAAGGAACGGACATACCGGCCAGATAGCAATTCAAAATAATGCTTTATTCGGCCCTTCATGGTCAGGTCAACTATCCTGCACATCAGCCCTTCCAAAGCTGTGGCCTCCCAATGCACTGGACTACAACTCCCATCATGCCTCAGCCAACATGGGCACATGTTGGGAATTCTACTCCAACATGCATCGATGGTATCAAGGCTGGCAAAAGTTGCTGTCCATGCACGTCGCCTGGTCCTGCCAGCAGAATGACTTCGGAGCAACTTCCAGAGGGGCTTACTTTTGAGTAGACATGCCCAGATATTGCCCCGGAATCGCTGGAAGACAACATGTGCACTGGGTTGTTCTGCTCAAACGCTGCCTCTCTTCCTTGGTTCTGCAGGAAAAGCGTGATGGCAGGAAAAAGCACCTCCAAGCGGACAGAAGTCCTACAATTCCCAGCGTGCTCCAGCCGGCAAAGCTGGCAAGGGTGCTTCTTCGCATCTTTACACCGGAGTAAGGTTTGCACCTCGTGGCTCAAGCCGAGCCGAGAAGCGCCCGGGCGCAGCTGCAGGAGCAGGGGGCGGGGCAAGGCAGAGCGAGCGGCGATTGGGCCTTTCCGCGGGGCGGGGCCTGGGGCGCGGGAAGCTTGGAGCCGCTTTGCGCCTCTGCCCGCGGCGCGACCCATCCGGTAAGTCGGTTGCGGGGCTCCGCTTTCCTCGGCGTTAGGGGCGCGCCTTCTCGGGCACTCGAAGCCGAAGCCCGACCTCCGATGATGGCGTGCCATGGTGCAATATCGGACCGCGCCTTTGGGCAGCAGTACGCGCTGCAACTCCCGGAACGGCCCAGCCAGAAAGAGAAGGCGGTTCCGGGGCTTAGCGGGGCCTGCCTGGGAGCGAAAGCCCCGCTCGGCGGGCGCCGTTCCAGCTTGCCAGCCCGCCCTGCCCCGCAGCGGGCAGCTCCCTGTCCCCGCCGTGTCCCCGTCCCCCCCAGCCCCCCCTGCCCGGGTGCGGCAGCCAGCGAGCCAGCCCCGCTGATAACGGGGCGCGGGTGAGGCAGGGGAGGGAGCCTGCAGCGGCTCCTTCCGGCGGCGTGGCTCGACCCTCGCCTGGCCCGGCGGCGTTCCGCGCCCCTCTGGGGAGCTGGGGCTTTGGCGAGGGCCTCACGGGGGGCTCCTGTGGGCTGCCTGGGGGTGGGGGTAGCCTGGCAGGTCGGATTCTGCCTCTAAACTGGCCGTTCCTCAGTCCCAGTCCCTGGCCGAAGCATCCAATCCATAGGATAGGTTTGGAGCAGGTGGCAAATGGAGGAGGCATCCCAGTTGAGTGAAACCTGTTGGTTTTTATTTGCCCGTTGTAGGCCCCAAGCCATATGACCATGCGGTATTTGAACACTTTCTTTGCAACTATAAGGACTAGGAATTTGGTATAAAGCTTGCCTTCTTTCACTTTAGGTTGCCGAAAGTCACCATTGCCTGAATGCCCGAGGCAAATGTCTGATGAAGGGCAAAGGCAGAAGCTCTGCTGTTAAGCAGCAGGAAACTTGTAATGTTTGGTTGGATACTTCAGCACTGAAAAAGAGCAAATTACAGGTAAGTGTAATTCCAATTCGTGTTAATTTTATTTCTATACTGTTTAATAGCTGAAGCTCTCTGGTTAACAGATGAAATACAACATAAAATATAAAATTATAAAAATCATGAAAGTACAATATAAACTGAAAAGCCAAATCTAAAAACAAATCTTTAAAGTTGTAATAGTTTATACAAATTAAATCACAAGATCCATTAAGCTGCTGACATAATGCCTCAATTCAGTGCCTTGCTGTAGAGGACAGTCTTAATATGATGCTGAAAAGAAGTCAAAGTTGTTGCCAGGTGGGCCTCAGTGGGGAGCTTGTTCCATAACTGGGGGGCTGCCACTGAGAAGGCCCTTCTTTTTGTTGCCAGCAATGGAGCTTCCTTTGGAAGTGCCAATTGGAGGCTGTCCTCAGATCTGGACTCCAGTGTCTGGGAACAGCAAGGCTGGGCACCCGTTTTTAAAAGCTTGAAATTTTTAGGTGGTAGATCTTTATAGGGCTGAGAAAATGATGTAATTCCTTCTCACCTCAGGCAACCTGTATGTTTCCAGTCCATTGACAGTAAATATAACCAGGGTCCTTGCAAACTGTTGCAGTATATGGTTTCTTGCCTGGGGCTATCAGTGTCACACTGGATTTCTCAGAAACAGTGGGCGTATCTTTGCTTCTCCATAGAGAGGGCTCTTGAATGTGCTCCTTGCAGGAACCTGAGGCTTGCAGAGTAGTACCCATCGGGGAGGTGGGTGCTGATTCCTAACCTGTGCTGATGGCGAATGCAGAGGATCCCGAGCTGTGCTTGAGAAGCAGATGCAAGGGGCACCCCCAAAGGAATGTTATCTCATGCACAGACCTTCTGGGATCCTTAGGTCATCTTTGGAAGTGCTTTTCTGAGCACCTACCAAAGATGGCTAGTTAGGAGGCCATAAAAGAGAGTTCTCAGCTCTGCCATCCCATTATGGAATGCCTTTTCAGGAGGCTAACATGGCAGGTGAAAAGGTATTTCTTCACAATGCGCGTGCACGCGTGTGTGTGCGTATGAAGTTCAATGGCCCCGAGTGCCATTTTCTTGGTAGAATGGGGGTCTTCCCCACAGGGAAAGAGAGCTATGCCAGGATCAGAAACTTGAGTCTGTGGTGTTGCCCTATGGGAGTGGTGGCGATCCCATGGCACGCTTGCCACAGCGGGCATGCAGAGCCCTCTCTGTCGGCATGCGAGCCAAGTTGCCACAGCATCGCCCGAGCAGCCGAGCATCGGATAACAGCGCAAATAGAGGCCACAGGCATGCTCGGAAAGGAGTAATGCTGCCAGGCAACGACGACATCACAAGCCGCCACACATTAGCTGCAACTCGTCTGCGCTTTCACATGGCCGGTCAGCGTGCTCCCAAGGGGGGGGAGAGAGAGGGGGGGGGAGAGAGAGAGATTTGCTTGGACTGGCTGTTTTCAGGTTTTATTGCAGTGTTGGCACTCTGCGATAAATAAGTGGGTTTTGGGTTGCAGTTTAGGCACTCGGTCTCTAAAAGGTTCACCATCACTGTCCTATGGAGAGGTCTATACGTGTTGGGACCAGAAGCAGAGTCTTCCAGCAAGGGAAGGAAGCTGGACTTGTACTGTCCACCAGCCAATTTCTCCCTTCTCTAGTTGGTTTTGCTGTGCTGAGAACCTGCTTCTCAGTCTCATTGTTGGAGCTGCCCCAGGCTCGTTTGGCAGCCTTAGTCAGCTGCGTTTCTTTCTGCAGAGGCCTTTCTGGCATGCTCAGAGGAGTCCAAAGCTTGCAGAAATATCAATAAATAAACCACTTTTAAAAACCCAAAGCGTGCAAAAATTAAATAATCAAACAGCCTAATCAGGGGTTTTGAGCCAGCTCAGCACTTGTGGAATGCCAGTTGTGGGAAACCGAGTGGAATATCCTGACGGAGGGCCTTGCTGGCTGGAATACTGAGTAAATGACCTCCCGTTTGTTGTAGATACCTTTATTTCCAAGGATTTAAGATGATTTCTGACACCAGTCAATTCTATGCCATGTGATTAGAAATCAGTTGGGTTGGGAAGAGTCTAATGCAGGATGATGAGTGGATGAATGCTAACTTACTATTTCTTTCCCACTCAGAACCTAATAGGCAAGCCGGTGTTAAGAGCAGTGAACCGACCATCTCCTTGTTTGGAGCCAACAAAAGCACCTGTTCCATTCACCAAGCAAACCACCATTTCCACTTTCTTCAGTGCTCAGCAAGCAGGTATGCTTTTCCGTGGGGTGAGGGCAGCCCCCTAGTTTCTGTCTCATAGAAGTGGGGTCGGGGAGTGAATTGAGCTTGGGATTCTGCAGGGTAGCAATGAGGCTTGCAAGACCTTCTGCCTCTGGGGTTTTCTGTAAGGGTTGGATCCAAATAATTGGAATGAGTCCCTTTTGAAAGCAAACGAAACTGGCTCCATTTATCAGTTGGATTTGTCAGAAGGAGGAAACCTGGTGTTCAGTTAAATGGTTGTCATCTGTGTGTTAATGGAAAGTGATGTTGGATCTCCCAAATCTACTTGTTTCTCAAATCCTTCGAACAGCACAGTTTCTACTTTTGTGGTGTGTGGAGGACTCCTGTGAGTGAGTGAAAATGTTAAGGTCAGAACTGCACCTAAATGAACTAACACTGAACTCCGAGAAGCATTTTGGTCTGATTGAAGTATGTGTTTGCCTGGCACCCGGGTTGCATGTATGTAGCCCTGTCAGATGCACAGAAGCCAAATTCAACCTGCTTCTCTTCCTGATTGACTGTTTGTCTTTCACTGAGCATCTGGTTAGGACTGTGTGCATGCAGGTGCAGCAGGTGGATCGTGCAGGTAAACCTGCCAGAGTCATTTGTGCACATGTGATTTGTACCAGGAATATGCTCACAGGTGCCTAGCACAGAAGAAGCAGGGCGTTAAATCAGAACAAGGGTCCACTTAGTCCAGGATTTTGTTCACACAGGGGCAATCCAAATGTCCAAAGGAAACCCACAGGCAGGAGAGGCATGCTGCAGCACCCTCTTGCCCATGATCCCCAGCAGCTGGTGTACAGGAGCATACTTGCTGTGATGCTGGAGGTAGCAGAGAGTCTTCAGGACTAGTAACATTCAGTCATCTCGCCCTCCCAGAAATGGTTTAATCCCTTTTTGAAGCCTTCCGTCACTACATCCTGATGCGACCACTACATCTTTTGGCAGCCATCACGACCTCCTCTGCTAGCACAGCACAAATCATGGCTATATGCCATGCTCCTCTTCTCTGTCCTGTATCTCCCACCCATCAGCTTCGTGGGATCACCCCTTTGCGTTCCAGTATTATGAGAAAGGGAGAAAAATGCCCCCATCCACTTTCTGGATTGGCATGTATGAATGCAGTTACATAGTATATTGCCCAGACATTTGATTCTAGCAACTCTGATGTACATGCATAGAGAAGAGGAACATGCTGGCAAAATGATCCCTAAAGCAGACGTCCTTGCCTCACCCCAAAGGGAAATTTGAATCAAGTATGCGTTGCTCTTGGAACAGCCTGGAAGTTGGCTGAGGTTGCATGCTTAGTTCTTAGTTAATTCCATAAATATGCTCCTGTAAACAGACTTCTTCTTCTCCCTGTCAGAGTATAAAGGCCATTGTTCCTATATTTGTGTTTTACTCAACCCCTCAGCTGTTCCCCATGAAGCCCTGGAGAGCTCTGCCTGGTAGATGAGCCATAAAATGGGCAGTGGGGGAAAAGTCCCCAGTTCCTGGACTGCCATTTTGGGGTTGCCATTTTCCAGAAAGTCAGAGAAACAAACGTTCAGGGGAAGTCAGCGGAATTGTGATTAAGATACATAGAATGGATGACAGATGTTTTGAGAGGCCGCTGTGGCAAGGCAGCCTGCACTTGAGGCAGCTGGGGTGAAGCAGGCAGAATGCAAGGGTCAGATAATAATGCACACACATTCCATATGATTAGATAATGTTTATTGGCTGATGATTGCTAATAGTAAAACAAAATGCAATGAATCTGCAAGAGAGAGCATTATTATGGAAAAGCTGATTGGCTTCTTGCAATTGGGTAATTTGTGTGTCCCAAAAAACAAAACAAAACAAAACAAAACCCCACAAATCCATTTCAGTTCATTTGAAGATGTGACTATTTTAAGATGACTTAGCAAATTGTGGGTACAAGCCAGCCATTATATCTTCTAATCAGCTGTAAAGTCCAGTCTTCTCACAGCACAATTGTGCTCTCAACAAGAAAAATGAGATTGGTTTAGAAATCACACCTAGGTTAATAAAAGGAAAGCAATTGTTGGTTTTTCTTTTTAAAAAAACGGATTTGGGGCTCATTGTTATATTCGGTTTAGCAGAGACCCATCTCCTCTGATTCTGAGAGCCAGTGTGGCACAGCGGTCAAGTGCTGGACTAGGGAAATGCAAGAGCCAGGTTCTAATTCCCGCTCAGCCAGGAATCCCACTGGATGCCTTTGGGCCAGTCACTCAGTTGCAACCAGCCTCCTCCGCAGGTTTGTTATGAGCTTTGGGTTCTCACAAGAGGGAAGAATGGTGGGATAGAAACACAATGTAATAATTAAAAATTAGGAATCTCAAAATTAAACCGAGTCTAGTGCAACATGTTCTGGTTCAAAGTCAAGCTCAACTAGTAAAAGCACCAAGGAACCACTGGAAAGCACATTCAGGATGATGCAAAGGGCAAAAAACCAGCCGCCACACACAAACCAGCTGGCTTCCCGTGTCTTATGTGTTTGTGGGCTTTGCAACTAGGAATGAAGATGTCATTTAATTCTTGCAATAATATTTATGAATTACTCAAGCAAAGATTCTCAGACAGCCAGATAGCTGAAAGGTTTCATCTTTTAAAAATAAAAGCAACATATGCTGTGGTTTTGGGCTTGGCACGATGCTTCTCTGATTGCTTACTGAAAGAAATGAAGCAGTGCCAAAATGTTTGCTATGTTTTGATGAAGCACTGGACATGGTTACTCAAAAGAGTCAGATGGACTTAATGTTCAGTTTTGATGAATGCTGCCAGAGAATTTCCATGCACAATCTGGCCAGTGCTTTTCTTCTAATTATGGCTGCTGAAGACCATCTCCAGATGTTTTGAACACGTTTTCTTTGTGACTTTGCAAAATGACCTCCAGTACTCATGGATTAGCCAAGTGTCAACCACCTTTTTCTGAAAGAAATGATAACTAACATTGACTGGAAAGGAGAACCCCAAGAACTGAGACATTGGAACGTGTAGCAAGGTCCTTGTGTCTCTTGAAGCATGCCCAAAAGTGGCCAGAATTTGGTCTTGTGTCGTGCATTTTTTCTAGGATTTCCCATATAGGCAGGCATCATTCACTGCTATCACTGGAAAGTCACAATTGCTCCGCTATGAGGTTTTTGCTCCATTAGGAGGCTAAAGAATGTTGCAGGTCAGTGATGGCGAACCTTTTAGAGACTGCCCAAACTGCAACCCAAAACCCACTTATTTATCGCAAAGTGCCAAAACTACAATAAAACCTGAAAACTGAGGTTTTCGTTTAGAAAAAACAACTCACAGCCAGTCCAAGCAAATATATATATCCTTGGCAGTGCACTGACTGGCCATGCGGAAGCTCGGACGAGTCGCGGCTAATGAGTTGTGGCTCATGACGTCATCGCCTTCCGCTGCTGCTCTTTCCGAGCATGCGCATGGCCCCTGTGTGCACTGTTATCTGATGCTCGGCTGCTGGGGGGACGCTGGGGCGACTTGGCTCGCATGCCGACAGAGAGGGCGCTGCGTGCCTGCTGTGCCATGTGTGCCATAGGTTCACCACCACTGTTATAGGTGTTAAAGGTGTCATCACTATTTGACAGTGTCAAGAAGGATGTGGAAACAAAACTCCCAAACAGTTGTGTAAAAGCTGCGGTTCAAGCCCAACTCAAATAGCTTTCATGAAATCAATTAGGAGGTGTTTTGAACTATTTCTGCAAAGGTTTCAAAGCCAGAAACCATTGGCAATTTTTGTCTCAGGTACTTCATGGCTTAAAAAGAAAAACGGCAGAAGTTTGGATCTCAGTTGTTAACAATTGACTTGACATTATCTGAGAACTAGCGTGACAGAAGGAAGGCTTTTGATGGCTTTGCAGCAAAAGAACCTCTTGAACGAGATTAAACTAAGCGGGTTTTACCTTGAATGCCAAAACCAAGATGCCTGTACCCTTTTTTACAGTGGGAATTTGATGACTAAGAAAAAGTTCTCAGACTTCTGGATAGTTGTCAAAATGTGTCTTGTCTTGGAATACTTCAGTTGAAAGTTGATCAGTGTTGATAAGAGTATTTTAAATGAGGAAACTATTTCATTAGTGTTGAATTTCCGGTGCTGTTCCAAATTGCGGAAGACTCAAATCTGTTGCAATTGGTTGAAGGATTGTTGCAACTGATCAGGTGAGGTCCCATCGTACACAGAGTACTTGAAGATTAAATGCCGTAAGCAGTGAAAAACTCAGAAGAAAATTGAGGGAGACATTCAGCTCCTTGAAAGTGCTAAAAACAAAACTGAGAAGCCAACAAAGAATGTATTTCTGGTCAATTGTTAAGAAAAAGAAAAAGCATAATGGCTGTGTATCTTTAATTTCTCTAAGGAATCCTAGTTCTCTAGTTTCTTACTTGATTTTAATTGCAATTTCAAAACAAAATTTATTACATGGCTTTAAATTTTTGTTAAAGGACTCTTCAGTGAAATTTCTGTTTTACATAATGTTTAGCATAGCTTAAAGGAACAGAAATATTACCATTTATCATGGTTTAGAAATTGTTTCTTGAAATTTCCATCTTAGCAACATTTTTAGTGCAGGTTCACAACTGCATATGTTCACTTAATCATCAATGTTTACAGAAGCTTGTACTGAAGTTGCATCTTTCAGTCCTTGCATAGTTTTAAAGCATTTACTAAAACTGTTATTTAATGTAATGTAAGCTATGATTAATTTTCATGCCAGGTTATTTGTATCTGGTGGTCAGGGAAATTTAAATACATTGGTCAGGGAAAATCAGGGATATGGAAAATGAAATTTTTAGTGGCAGCCCTGTTATTAAGCAGCGGCAGGGCTCTCGACTGGAATCCCTGATGGGTCAGTGGCTTTAATTCTTTCCCCAGTGACCCTGTCCCTTAATTTTGAGAGGCAGGCAGGCAGGCAGGGGAGCTTTAAGCCTTCCCTTGAAGTGCTTTGGGTGGGTGGGTGCAGAAAAGAGTGCCTCCCCCGCCGCTCCCAGCCAGGCATAACATGCAATAGTCACTGGCTGGAGCTGATTTGATTTGGGTGCAGTTCTGTGATTGCTGGAGGCTGCCATAGGAAAAAGCTCTCATCTCGGAGCCAACTTAGGAAAAGTCCCTCCCTCTGCCCTTGCTCCTGGTGTGGTTCTCTCTGCACAAACCGCAGCTCTGGCATCAGAAAACTTTGGGGTCAGGGGTGGGGTGCAGGGAATGTAAGCAAGGCCCAGCCGTCCACATGCACCAGTTGCTGAGGAGCCTGGGAAGGAGGAGGTCTTGCACCCATCCTGCTTAAGGGATGCTGTGGGCAGCTGGTTTGCTACCATGTGCTGGACTAGACAGAGCTTTGGTCTGATCTGGCATTGTTTTTCTCATGTCTTCCAGAGAGTCCTGGCAGTGCCTCTGCAAGCCAGTTTAAAACATTTAAATGGTTGAAACTGGCCCTCAAAGTATTTTGCGGGGAAGTGAAGCAAGCAGGAACTCCTGCACTCTGTTGATTTCAAAAGGTTATAGGCACCCACTGTTCACTCTGTTAAGACATTTTGTTGCGCAAATTGAAGTTACTATTCAAGAAGGAAGTGAAATGTTTAGATTCAGTAGCTGTATATTCTCCCCGTGAAGGCAGAAAGTTACCAAGAGGAAATGACTGGGCTTTAATCATTTGCGGACATTTGCAGAGCTTTGTATAAGACGGTTTATTTTTTCACTCTTCATTGCACCTTTCATTGTGAAGACACTATAGAAAAACACACAACAGCATTCAAAAAACCTTTGCATCTCTGTTGTATCAGTAAACCCCAGTTAATTCTGAATATCTCAAAAAACAGGAACAGCAGGATGTGACTTTGCTTTCAAGTCAGATTCTGAGGGAGAGGAGAAGAGCTGCTGCTTGTCTCCCACCCCCCTTCCAAGGAACAGCAGGAACTGAGAGCTGCTGAGTTACTGCAGAAAAGCCGTACTCCACGTGTTGCTTTGTCTACTATTTTGCCACTCAAGTGTAGCACTGGGTACAAGACACAGTCCTGCCCCAGCATTTCTGTTATTACTTCCTTCAATTAACCAAAATAGTTCTTAGGTTGGCTACAGTTAACTGTGTCTGCAACTTCTGTTAGCTAAGGCACGCTGCTTTTTTATGAACCAAGATGGAATGTGCCATTCTGTCTTGCACTTAGTACAGCTGTTTGGGGCATCTGCATGAATCATCATTTTGGCCACAGGCAGCAGAAACAACTCATGCATGCAATTCTCCTTGGGCGAGTGGTATTCTCTGCAGTGACTGTGTCTGTGTGTCCTCACCTAGTGCTGGGACAAGGTGAAACTACCTGTCTAGTGGGTACTTTGGGCTTACAAAAGACGTTTATTCTGTCTCTAGCCAACATTGCCTACATTCGGCTCTGCATTAGGGTCTACATTAGTTTGAACTTGCCATTCTAATCCAACTCTATGACCCGTGGGGCTCAATTTAGATACAACTTGTTCTTTCAGAGGAAAGGAGAACCAATGCAGATAAAAAGCTGTCAGGTCCTTCATCCAACAGTGTCTCCAACCTGAGAGACTCTGAGTTGTCCAAGGGGGCAGGAGTCCCATTACGAGCTGCTCTGCTCCAGCCACTAGAACTGCAAGAGCCTGCAGAGACGCCACAAGGGTTCAACATTCCTCCTTCAAGTTCTGCTACTCCGCCCCAAAGAGCGGGATGCATCTTCCCATCTTCCAAGGTAAACGTCTCTGCTGCAGAACTGCTCTCCTCCGGCTCCACTCAGCACCTAGGAGAAAAGGGAGTTCTTGATCCTGCAGCTGCCGATGCACCTTTGAGAGAGGGAAATGGTGTCTGGAAGAGAGAATCCTTGTTTTCTCAGAGTAGCCACAACCTTCCAAGAGTTTCAGCTAGACAAAGAACCAAAGTTCAGAGAAAATACAGATGTCCATCCTCTTGCAGTGATTTCTCTGACTCTGAGAATATAAATCCTCAACAGGAGAAAAGTGTAATAAAAGTGAAGACTTTGAAGAGCGTTGATAGAACTGCATCTGACCTTTGTTTGAAAACCAGCAATGCCACTTCTGATTTTGGTAAAGGACATGAGACCACCCAGGTAGACACACCCCGTCTCCTGTTCACACAGGACACTGAAGGTCATAAAGTCATTTCTAACCACTTTCCCCATGGACAAGGCAAACTGTCTTTGCACAACAGACCTCCCTGGAACAAAAGCAGCACAGTATCGAGTCCATCCTGTAAGGACTGTTTTGGGGCTTGTTTTTCTGCAGAGAGAGGGCCTCACATAGCTCCAGGCATGAGCTGGTCTGTTCTAGCAGACATTAGTCAGAAGTCAAGTTGTGACTTGTTATTTACAGAGGATTCAGAAGGCAATAGAGTCATTAAACACTAACTTATAATTGCTCTGTGGGATAAATGCCCCCAGTGCCTAGTTACAAAACAAATTGATGCAAGCTTGATGTTTAAAGGTACTTGCTGTGTGTGTGTGTGTGTGTGTGTGTCGCCTATGCTGGGCAGAACATGCACAAGCTATTCTGCATGCTGGCTGGCTTGCAGTATGGAGGCCTAATAAGAAATACGTGAAAGGAAGACCATAATGGTCCAGGGGCTTAACATTCCCGTTGGCGAAAGATGTAGCTATGTCCAGCAGTATAAGTAAAAGAACCTGCATGAACTGGATGGGCATGGCCTTCTGGGCTTGCTTTTATTACTGAATTTTAAGTCATGCCTCTTTGGAGTGTGGGAGGCCCTATACCAACTTGTTTCTGCTTTCTGGTAATTTTGTTTTTTCTTGTAGAAAGGGACATCTGGTGTTCTGCTTCTCTTTGTGTAAAAGCTGATGCTTAACACCACTGACCAAAAAGAATTAAAGTTGCTCAGTAAGTTGCTCAGGTTGTTCGTTTAAAAAATAAGCTACATGGTTTCTTAATGTCTCCTGTCTTCATCTAGTAATAAGCTGATATCTGGCAGAATGACAGTGCTACCCAAACTCGATGCGATTCATGTGAAGGGGGTGACGCTATGGCAGAGGTTCTGCTCCACCAGGAGAGGAAAAGATTGGCCTATGAAAGCTAGCCTATACTGCCTGGCAAGAGTCTGGCAGGTAGAAAAGCATCATTGGCTGAACTTCCCAGCAGCAGTCACTGGTGCAAAGCTGTGAAAACAGGATAGGGAAGTAGCTCTCTTAGAATTTCTTGGATCGAAAATCAGTCCATTAGCCTGAGACAGGACCAATCTGGACCCATCAGCTACAGCATCCAAGCTCCATTACCCTGCTCCTTCTCAGCTTCACTGATATGGTGCTTTTCTGCTGTACGTATTTGCTCTAGCTCAAAATACAATACAAGGAAATGCTGTGCATTGCTTCTAACAAAGGGCAAGCTACCTTTGGTTGGTATGTGTTCTAACTTTGCTTTTGGAGCTTTTTTCCACTATGAGTCCCAATGAGACTAAAAAGAGAAATAGCCCTCTTCTAAACTTATTTCTAGAGGTATAGATACATTAGCCAAGTTAATTGACACTTTAAATGACCTACAGCCTGCATGAATCCTTTAGGAAGACTACTAGCACCCTGAAAATTAACCAGGTACTCCTGCCCGCCCCCCAACACCGACCTTGCTGTGTAAAAATACACTGGATTTCACGCCATCACCCACTGGACATCTAATTCACTCTTAGTTGAATCCAGCCTTCTCCAATTTGTTGCCCTTCAGATGTTTTAGATTTCAATTCCCATCAGTCTGAGCAAGCCTGACATATGGTCAGAAATGCTGGGATCTGTAGGCCAAAGCATCTGAAGAACTAGGTTGAGGAATACTGGGCTAATGCATCACCACGTTTCTTATTGTAAAATACAAAGATAAGCATTAGTCATCTCTCTCTGAGGGGAGAATAGTAACAATTTCAGAAGGAAGAAAAATACATTAAGTAGAAATCTGCTGTATGTGATACAGGAAGCAGATAATGCTGTGATGTAAGGGCTTCAGATTGGTGATCTAAAGGAACAAGATATTCTCAGATAACCACCAGTGAGCAGCAATACCAAAGTCACGGTATACTGACCACTTAAAGTGCACCCAGAGGGCTTCCAATACATACTGTAACTATATATTCTTACTTTCTCTTCTCTGCTTCTGTAGGTTTGCAAGCAGCTCTAGAGGAAGAGGTGTAAGTGGTAATACATTTAAGCACGCGAGACCCTCTCTCCACCTGGTTTGTGTGTGTTCCATAGTGACCTATTAAGCATCTCTCCGCTGCCTCTAGGAAGGTGGTCAACATACCAGTCTATGCCTTGCGCTGATCATCAGTGTGGGAATAGTAATTTCATAAGCTATTTGCTCGAGTGAAATTCCCCTTCCAGAGGGATTTTAAATTAAGCTATTTTCTTCTTTTATTCATTCAGTACACTTGACTCTGTGCCAAGGGAGAAGAACAAGCAGTACAGTTTGTATTTCTTTCCTTAACTTGAGGGGAGGGGAAAGAAAGAAGGCTGATGCAAGGCCAGCGTCTTCATACTCTCCCCGGCCCAACAGCACATGACATTTCTTGTCAACAGAAAGGCTTCAGAAAACCGACATAACATTCCAAAAAGGAAACCTTTACCTGTAACGTGAAAGGAAAAATTATATCTTTGTACCAGTGGCTTCAGAATTACAAACAGGTTGTTTTTAACTTGCTACTAAGTCAGTTGGTGGCAAATGTCACTGTCAAAGTATCTTGCTTTAGTTCAAATTGTGGAAAACTATCCTTTAAAAAAAGTTCTATTGGCTATGTGGAAAAACATAGCAAAGTGATGGTTTCTTGCACCTAGGAGTTATTTACACTCACGCGCGCGCACACACACACACAAAATCTAATCCCTAAAGGATGCTTGATGCTCAAGGAAGGCTTTTGAAGCACAATAATTTGCTTTAATAAGCATGATGCTAGTTCTTTTTCATGTTCACATCTTCATCCTTCAAAGCAAATTTTCTTCGTAGAACTTCTGCTATAAGAACTGCAGGATCTTCCTCTTTCAGTAAAGTTCTGTTCCTAAAAGGAAAACACAAGATGATGGATATCAGCAGGCACATGGAGAGAAGTATTTTAATTCAGATTCTCAACTGCACACTACTTAAATTACAAAACTTTTCCTAAATTTCTTCCCCATTTTCAGGTTGGTCTACTAGCAATTTGGGTCTTTTTGTAGGACTACAAACAATGTTATGAAGGAACGGAAGAAACATGAGAATATCTGGTATATGTGTTTTTAAATGGTCAAACAGAATATGTGCATGCCAATGAAAAACATTTTTGTACTGGGGGGAAAGGAAGAAGGGTCCAAAAATGGTTGAGTGTACTATATCAGGGACTGATACTGTCTTTGTTGGTGTTCCCAATCTATTCTTATTTTTTATAGCTTCCTGTGCATATTCATACCTCAGGAGCATAGTTAGGGGGTGGCTATCCTAGACTGTTGTTTTTTCATCGAAGAATCATTCCATAGGTGTGGAAGGAGAAGGGATATGGCTCCACTGACCATGAGTGATATGACTGGCACTATTCCGTAGGTACTGCACTTGTGCTCTAGTTCCACACAGAAAGTGTGCTGGATACCCAGTAGAGCTGCCAGGTTGCTGACGGGGACGGGGCGTTATGCTCACATGACTCCAGTCCTCCATCAGCTTCACTGGCTTCCCATTGAAGCCCGGGCCCAATTCAAGGTGTTGATTATGACCTACAAAGCCCTAAACGGCTTGGGTCCTGGCTACCTGAACGAGCGCTTACGTCCGTATATGCCCGACCGCCCTTTGAGATCTGCGGGAGAGTCCCTTCTCCGGGAACCCTCCATGAAAGAAATTAGGAGAGTAAGTACCCGGAGGAGGGCTTTCTCTGCGGTGGCGCCCAACCTATGGAATTCACTCCCCAAAGAGGTCCGCCTGGCACCGTCGTTACTGGTTTTTCGGCGCCAGGTAAAGACCTTTTTATTTAAACATCATTTCAATTGTTAAAACATATGATCTGGCCGGGGCAACTTCTTCTTCCTTCTCTTTCTCCTCCTATATTTTTATTTTATACTGATAATTTTAATTTTGTATTTGTAAATCAATGTATTTTTTTGTATTTTTATATTTAATGTTAATTTATTATGTACTATTGTATTTCAATGTATTTTATCATGTTGTAAGCCGCCCCGAGGTTTCGGCAAGGGGCGGCATAGAAATGTTATAATAATAATAATAATAATAATAATAATAATAATAATAATAATAATAATACCACCCCAATGGAGAGAAATTTCCTTTTCCCCCACAAACTAAACCAATCATTTAGGGAGAAGGCTAGGCTACCTTTCCTGGGAAGCTAATTTTGTACTTGAACGTACCTCATAATGTAATCTCCTCACAGCCATCCTGGCATGGTATATTCCAGGAAGTACTTTATCACATGGTTTTACTGAATGCATGTATCTCTTAAGTTTCCACTTTGAACCCGGTGATACTTCTAACATCTCAGCATCTCATACATACTAATAGCTGGAACTATTTCACAATGGATGAGCAGGAGTTATGAAATCTTCATTCTCAAGTAGAATTCATAGTAACACCCCTAGAAATTGTTTCAGCAAATCTGCAAGACAGAACTTCAGACGCCTCTGCTACTCTGCCTTAATCAATAAAATGCAACATAAAGAAGGTGAACCTGAACCGATAAGATTCAGAAGGCAGGCCTGCCTAGCAGCTGTAACATCCAAGGGTCCAGTGGTGGTGGGGAAAAGGACGTGACCAGAGATTTAGTAAAATTTCCCTTAAGTTTTTCTCTCTCTCCACATACACCGTGCTGTATTTTGCTTTGTCCTTCTAAAAGAATGGAGGGAGGGGCTGTCTCTTGGAACAGAGACATAGCCAGTAGCTGCATTCACAACAAATTAACTGGCTTCAGACAAAATAATACATTCTAAGGGTTGAAATGGGGCTATACTGTTGTCCAAATACAATCTTTCATAGCTTTATTGTGTTAACTGAACAACACAGTGACAAAAGTCAAGGGGTCTGTTTCAAAGACTCACAACTTTGAAGGTCTAGATATCAAGCAAATTAGTCCAATTGCACCTAAGCTGAGAGCAATTCAATGATGCTTTCTAGAGGTATGCCTGCTCAGAGCTGATCCAAGACAGAAAGTCAGCTTCCTAAACCTCGTGTCCTCCAGACAGTCAAGCTGTGGGCATCAGATGGGGCAAGGATGCCATAAAAGATACCAGACACATGCTGAATTGAGCCATATGAAAAGAGAAGACAAAGCACACCTCTTTCAGACTACTTTAGAGACATGCTAAAACACCAAATACTTTTTGGACTGATAAACTCAATACGGCCATACAACTTTAAAAAAACCTCACAACTGGAGGTCTGTCTGACCCCCAATATTAAATCAGTAAGGTGCTTTTTACTAGCTTAAGAGATTAATCTTCAAGTATTCTATTAACAATAGAGACTGGCACAGCAAATAAAAGTTTAGCAATAGGAAACAAAACATCCATGATTTCATGAAATTTGTGAGTTTGGGATATTGGCTACTTGAGGATGCTACACATACAAGCACACAGCATAAATTTGTACCCAAACCATGTGAGCATGTGAAAGAGCCTTGTTTTGTTCGTGCCACATGTCTAATTTCAAACACGTTTTCTCACATCTGTTGTAGCTCTGGTTTTCAACCACATTATTCCCCTGATATGCTAGGTAATTCTGTTTACCAGTTTAATTAACTTGGGGGTGAAGCAGGAATCCCCATGGATAAGCATATTAAAAGCTCTGCTACAACGTATTTCTCCTGGTAGCTTCTTCGGGCAGTAGTGTTCTCCAAGAGAACTTAAAATAACTTGTCTTTTAAGTTCATGCTGGAAAGCGATTGAAAGATGCCAGTTCCATTTTGCTCCAGACTTTATCAAGCTTGCACTTACTATGCTGGTCTCAAACATGAGCAGTACTCTTTGGAGTTGCTTTGAGCCCAAGAGATACAGCATTTATGGGGTACATGTCCAAACAAACAAGCTTCTGTATCCTCCTTCACCCCCATTAATGTGACAGACGAGTCGTCTTTCTAAAGACAATAATGAATTGGTGCCCATAAAGAGGAAGCATCTAAGGTGCCCGTAAGCACACACATGGGCAGTCACATCCCTGTATCCTGTTTTAATCAGTCTAGTTTCATAATCGCAATCACTAGTATAAATTAGAATTGTCACTTTATGCATAACTGTATGACAAATGGGTAGGTGGGGAGAAGTCTGCCCACGGACTATTCTTTTAGTACCATGCTTGAGCATCACAACTGATGCTTATGTTTGTAATCCATATAAATCCACCTGCCTTAAGGATCTACCTTAAGCCCCCCCCCGCCCCCAGATAGGTGGCATAGGAATCCCCAGCCTTTTAGACACATATATTTGAAATGAGACAAATTCCAAATCCCTATAACACATAAACAGAATAGGGTGCTTTCACATATCCACATGACTTTTACCTTAACAGTCCAAATTCATGCCATTTGCTTTAATTGGGAATTTGAGAAATTGCTGCAAGCGCCACCACAAAATGGCTTCCCTAGATAGAAGTGGCTGGTCACATAAAGGCTGCAGTGAGTCCCTGGCTAGTGAAAAGGTGAGTCATTCACTTGCAAAACAGCACAAGCAGAGGAAGGGTTTGAACTCCAAACCCAAAACCAACTTCCAATAAATCCACAACGAATTGCCCATTTATGGTTGATTTGTGAATTCAGGCAGCGTAATCCTGCAAATTCTTACACCAGGTCATCTAGCTTTCTTTCTAAAAGGTAGATTTGGAATAGATAAATAACCTCAAAATCAGCCATACAGAAGATATTAGAAAACATCAAAGTCATCTTTGTGAATTATATTCTAGATGCCAATAAAGTTCAGCAGAAGAACTCGAAGGACAAAGCAGCTCTCCTTTCAGAATAAAATATATTTCCTTAGGAAAGTGGAGAAAAAAAACAAGAACAGATATTGCAGAAGCTGGACCACGTAAGTTACACTTTAATTCAGTGTTCCCATGGTAGCACACTGCTTATTGCCAGAATTAAATTGTTCTGACCAGATTATGCATCAAACGAATAAGGAATATTATAATTAGTTTAAAAAGCCCTTTCCCTGGACAATGAATTCTACATTTTGATACCATCTGCCTGTTGAAAGTCTACAAGATTCAGAAAACATATATGAGAGGATGCAGATGAAACAGCAGTGAAAACTTTAGAATTAAGATGTTTTAATGTGCATACTGATTTTATTGCTGCTGCAGGGTATATTAAAATTCTGCAGAAACCAAAAAGTCCCAAAGTGGTGCTGACAAATATTTCTCCACTATTTAGGAAATATTCCAGCTTACTTATGTGATTATATATTGCATTATTGCCAATAATCTCACCATTTCCCCACTGACCTCGGGCAGGTACACAATGCTAGAGGACACCTCATCTGTTACACGTCAACACTGTGGTGAAATTTAAAGGAGGGTGGATAAGAAAATCGCCCAAGGTTTCCTATTAAATTTCAAAGCTACGTAGTCATTTTAACCCACTTCCAAGTCCAGCACTCTAATCTACCTGTATTGTAGCACACATGCATTGTCTCAACTTGTGTTGTTTTTAATCGGTTACTGTTTTTTAAACCACTGTGTTGCTGCTAGGTTTTATTTTGGTTTTTATTGTATACTGTAGTTTTAAAATTTTAGGGTTTTATATCCTATTTTAGCATTCTGTTGTAAGCTGCTTGGAGAGCTTTGGCTGTTAGGCAGTATAGAAATGGAATAAAACCACGAAATAAAGTAATAGTGAGGCTTTCTGCCTAAGCCCACAGAGCACTTTCAGGCTAAGAGAGCCCAATATCTTTACACACATGCTCCAAATAAAGACTCAAGCTCTATTAGGGTACAATCCTATAGTTTCTCAGACAATGATGGAGGATTATTTGGAGTCTTAGCTCCAAGAGCCTGCAATCCTGGAGCAGGGACCCTGAAGGCCAAGACCCTTTCTTTGCACCTGGTGCAGAAAGAATTGTGCCAGCTACCTGTGGCTGCAACCAGTTATGTGGGGTGTAATTTTTTTCACATCATAAAAGTCTGCATTTATTCCTGTTTGGGCTGTTATAATGTAAAGAATCATATTAGATGGGCTAAAGATAGGATCTAAACTTGTACAATTTATTCTTCGCAGGAAAGCACTGACAAACCATAGTGTTCAGTTGCCCAAGGGGAAACTGAAAAATAAGATACAACAACCGTTTCCTGCACACAGTGCAGCTGGGTTCTGGCTGTGTTTGGACCAGACTTAAATGTGGGCGTACTTCCTCTCAACACCAACTTTGTTCAATAGCAACAGAAAGAAAACTCAAACCAAGACACCGATCAAGGTTTGCTTCACTTAAGAATACAAGAGTTGTGCTGAACCAGGCCGAGGGTTTACAAACACTGCCCATGGGAATGTAACAGCGCCATCTTGCCCACGTCCTCCACCTGCTGCCGGCTGACCCACAACTTTTGTGTAAGTGAAAGAGACTGTTCAACAAGTTGTTCTGAATCAGATATTTCTCAACAGGAAATTTAACTGATAAGAGAATGAGTGATGGTGGAGATGCTACAGTTTCCTGAGTAAAATAAAATTAAACTGCTATATTAGCTCTAATATATTCTGAATACATCAGGCATAGCCCTTCTTGTTAAATAAGAACATGCATCATAACATATACACTATTGTCTTTACATTCTTAGAAATATTTCAATAAAACAGTTGGAATAAAATAATTTCCACATAAAGCTTTTAATGTGTTTGACTATAACCTTTAAAAAAATACTTCGCCATTTCCCCCTATTTCAATTCAGGTATTTTGTAGCTATTGGGAAAACTTTTGAGATATTTATACTGCACATTAAATTGACATGGATCACATTTTTAGTTCTGTTTACTAGATATGTTTTGTATTCTTATTGAGGGAAAATGCACATTGGAGATAAAACAAACATGTTAAATCAGAGCATTGGAAACTGTTCAGTATATGCTGGAAAATCTGCATCACTGGTTACAACTGGGCCTTGGAAGCAGGAAAAGGGGAGTGCTAGAGGGCAGGAAGAGGAGGGGGCTGGGGCCATGGACTTCGGCCAGCACCTCGCAGCATCCTAGCCTCGTTCCTTCCCCTTGTTTGGCACTTTAAATAGACAGCAGGAAGTGGCCATGTCGATAAAATATCCACATTTAGAGGCTTATGTGCATGGAGCGCGCCTGGGATAGGGCTGCATCCTTAGTGCATTAAGGGGAATTTTGAAGGCAGAGGGGTAAGATGCAGACCAACAGCAAGAGTTGGGCACTATGCCTGACCATTAGTTATTAGTTAGTCTTCCCATCAGAAAATAAAGAGATTTTTGGGATAGAAAAAAGAGCAAGACAACAAAACCAACGAACTTACAAGTCTTTGTTCTGTTTCATCCTATGAATGTCTTTAAGAATGCCCATCATATCCGCAAAACTGCTGGCCTTTGACAGAGACACCGAATCTTCATCGTCAGAATCTTTTGGGTCTGCTTTACAACACTCAGAGGTTGCAGAACAAAGCATGGACACAGACGGAAGCTCTGGGCTTTCTAATTCTGCCTCCTCCTCTGTGATATCACTAATGACAAAGGAAGTTGTAGATTGGAATGAGGATCCAAAACAAGGTAAGGGAGAAGAGACATTTGAACTTCCTGGAGATAATAAATCTGGCGTTAATGAAGAGGAAGCTGAAAAAGAGAACAATAGATGCAAACATAAACCTAATGCCAAATTAAAGATTTTATTCTGTGCAATAGAACACATGCTTCTGAGCCTCGGTTTGGCCACACCTGGCATAATCTAAGTGAAGTTCCTCAAGTTTGTATTTATTGTTTTGTTGTTTAGAGTATTATTGTATTTATTAATTGCATTGTTGTGATCTTATCATGTGTGCTTTATATTATTTTAATTTTGATTTGTAAACTGCTCAGGAAGCCTTTGAGCTAATGGGTGTGGTAGAAATATAATAAATAAAGTTAGTTTCGATAGACTCAGGAACTCTGTTTAAAATTCTGTGGGAAAGGTTGCAACCTCATTCTCTTGACATGTGAAAGAAACAGGTAGGAGCGTGTGAGCCTTCGCCTTCATGGTATAGCACTGTTTCCCAATTGGTTCTAAATACTGTCCCCTCTATTTATCTTGATGGATATGATGGCTTGTATAGAATGACTGTATTTAAAGGCAATACTGTAAAAAGTTTGCATGTATCTCACACTATTGGGATCAATGCCATTGAAATAACAACTGTTGTTTCACCTACCTGCACTTTCCTAATATCTTGAATGGATATGTCAGTTAAGCTCTTTAGATAAATTATGATTTATTTTATTGTCCATTAAAAGCTACTTACTATGATTAGGTATACTGATCAGGTATATTTCTATTAAATCGGAGAGGGCCAATAAAAGCTGTCATTCATTCCACAAAGCTCTCCTTCAAGGGAAAATCCAATTGTAGAAATGAAGTAGTGATGTTGGAATATATAAAATTAAATTACCTTAGGCCTTGTGCCGTTTTTGCCGCTAAGGATCAATTTCAAAGCAATATGGAACAGAGAGAAAAGATGCCGCTTCTAGAATCAGCAGCCACTCAGTATAATATAGGTCAGGGGTCTCAAACTTGCGGCCCACGGGCCAACTGCCGGCGCCTGGGCCGGCCGCAGGATGAGCGGCCCACCACCACCGTGGTGGTGGAATACTTGATGCAGCCCAGCCTCACCCAGACTCTACTTCCAGCGGCCCCCAGGTAAGTTGAGTTTGAGACCCCTGGTCTAGGTATACTTGAGTATTCGGTAGCAAAAAATACTGTCCACCTTTTTATTTATTGCGATTTATATCCTGCCTTTTTCCTACAAAGGGCTCAAGGCAGCTTACATCATCTCTCCTCCTCCATCTTATCCCCACAACAACAACCCTGTGAGGTAGGTTGGGCTGAGAGTCTGTGACTGGCCCACAGTCACCCAGTTGGCTCCATGGCCCATGGCCGAGCGGGGACTCGAACCCAGATCCTCTGAGCCCCAGTCCCAGGCTCTTAACCACTACGCCACACTGGCCCTTTTAAGCTATAATTGCAGTTTTTTAAAAACACGAGTGCCAATCATGAGGTATCTTAGTTATTCCAAACACGGGAGTCCCGCTTGCCACTCCTGGTTTTATACTAGGCCTAGCGGTCCTACACACCCCATCCAGGCTTAACAGTGGGCCATGGCTCAGCGAAACAGGACACATGGTGTGGCCCTCATGCTCCCCTTGCCATCAGCACTGCTGGTGCGATGCGCGGAAGTGGCGATGCCGGTCAGCACTGGTGGGTAAAGCACCGCCCCCTCCCCCTCCCCTCCCCCAGGTGACCTCGCAGCAGCCGCTACTCCTGCTTGGGCACTTCTAGTGGCACCACAATTCCAGCAACAGTGGCCAGTTTGTGGGAAGAGGAGGAGACAAAACGCTTCTCCTCAGCAAGGCAATGCAGAAGCAGCAAAGCCGACAGACAGGAGTCTAGGAGCGGGACCCCACCAGCAGCTAGCAATGCTAAGGCGTCCTCCCTGCCTTGACAGCCGCGCAGCAGGAGGCATTGCGGTCTTTGCTCCTCGCCTCCAGCAATGTGTGTTTGTGCGCAGCCCTCAGGGCTAAGCAGCTCATATACACCTGATCAATCTGGATTTTATAAACTCCTGTTGTCCATCTTTACTTTCAGTAGGGCAGAAAATGCTTTGTACTTGCCAAGTTAATCCTTAGGAACAAGTCTAAAATTGTAACCAATTGCTCACACCAGACTCAGAGGTCCACTGAGCAGGGAAGCAGACAGATCAGACCTTCCCCAAAAAGTGAACTAATTTTTCACCCACCCTACCACTTCTGCTTGTAAAAGCAGGAATGTAATTTTTGAGTTATTTGCTTGTCTTCTATACCTACTCCTGCAACTAGTAATACATTAGGATATCACCTCACTCTTTTTGAAAGTGGGGTTCGTACCTGAATCTGCAGCTACAATCTTAGCAATCTGACTTCGCAGGTGACTCAACTCTTCTTGGAGTTCTGTAGTTCGATTCAAAGCAGGTAAACCTGGTTTCTTCAAAGCCAACAACTTTTCTTCTTGCTTTCTCAAATTCGGAACCGAGGCATTCCGCTGAATAACAAAGAGTGGAGTGGGTTTCCACTTGTGCTTCAGGGGCCGAGTATCCGTTCTAGAAGTCAAGAACCCAGAAATTCTCATGAAGGACCTCAGAGAATAAGAGAAGTAGTCCAGGTTCAACAACCTGGGCCGCTTCCCTTCTCTCCTTCCCTGCCACTCAAAAGTCCATAACTTCACACCCAGCTGAATCCATAAACAAGTACTGTTGAACACTCCCCCATTCCTCAAGATAACTTCACTGCTAATGGCCACTGCAAGTCGTTAAGGCACCACCTGCAGTGTTTTCAAATCACTTGAAACCGTACTTCAGAGGAGGCCGTTCACAACAGAGTCATTATGCAAGGGTGCACACTCTTTCCTTGCCCATTATGGCCCATCTCCACCTGAAAGGGGACAGCCAGTAACGCCGTTCTTCACTCAGATTTTCTCTCACTCCAACAGCACCCTCTAGCTTTTTGTGCAAGAGTCACTCTCTGTTCATTTTTGTTGTCACTGCACCTGGGCACCATTCAGTGTTCTAAGTATTTCTGAATGCAAAGCACCTTGTAATCTAGAGCTACTATGATACATTAAAAACAATTGTTCTTCATAAACTTTTTAAAGCAATGTAATCTTGAATATATCCAAGGGTAGGCTTCTGGTACTTGATGTTAGCTTTCTCCACCTCACACAGAGAACCTAGAATTCTTCACCTGGGAAAGATCTACTATGAAGGAGGAACAAAAGACAGGAAGCCATCTCGAGATAGCTTCATCTCTAGGAAGTACTCAATTGATGAAATGGGACTTAATGAAAACTGAAGTCAACAGGAGTCAATTGGCATGAGAGGAAAAGGGGAAAAGAAATACCTGACTCTAGCATATGTTTCTTCATCGTCTGAAGCGATCCACGCAACATCTGCCAGGGTGGGGACAGGGGGAATGTCATTTAAATAGAGATCTGAAACATTTGGTAATGCCTGAAAAACAGAAAGATCATGACATTAGCATAATTATGTAACTCTATGAAAAATCCAACATCAGCTCTGCGGTTGGCCCTTATAACTGAGTCCCTGTAAGTTTAGGAGATGAGTGGAACCTTCAATGCCATCTTGCCATACATGCTGCTCCCTGCCAGGAGCATTCTGTTCAAGGTTCTACCCAGCCAGCCATGTCTTTCTCCAGGAAACTACAACCTACTAGGGATGCAAATAACTTAATTTACTTTGCTCCATATGGTTGGTTGTTTGTCTTCTCCAACTGACAGTCAAGCTCCCTTGACCCCTGGCAGGAGTGGACAGTCCTCATGAGTCTGTTTTTGAAGGGAAGAAAAGTTGCGTTCTTTGGGCGTAGCTTTTCCTTTTTTGGCTTTTCGTGCGCGTCTGCAAACTTTAGGGTTCCCTGAACATGTTAGTGGCTCTCTTCTGACTTCCCTTCTGTTCGCTAGGTGGCACCAAGTTTGCTATTGGAGGAAGTCATCGGTGGGCAACTTGTTTAGCACTGGCAGGCATTCTGAAGTCCACCGAGAGGAGTCTTCCCCAGCTGGGACCCTCCGGAGGGTTCGACTGCAACTTCGTCCAGCTATTCCGATTTAGGGACCATGGCTAATTTTCATAAACATGCTGGGCAGGACTTGCAATCAGTTCTCTTGAGGCACTACTCAAGACTAGAGGCATCAATTACTGGAAAGAAGGGTGAGGACCCAGAAGTTGGGAGACCCCTGTTTCCATCAGCCAACAACCAGCATAGCCAATGGTCAGGAATGATGGGCAGGGTGTATTTTTACATTCCAACAAATGCAAACAGCATTGTAAATTACAAAGTTACATAGCACTTTACCTTCAGTAACAAGAAGTAGAATGACAAGAAATGTAAGAGAACTTGTTTGCATCTGGCATGTTTGCTGCACTTCCTACAACAGTTTATACCTAGTCGGTTTTGAAAGTAATGAGATAAACTTATGTCACCACAGAATAAAGCCTTCAGAAGAGAGAAATGGAAAATGTCCAAAACATTAAACTTCTTAGACAACAAGTTGCTACCTTCCTCCACAGACTCCCAACATAACTGGTTCTTTATCAATAAAAATCAACCTCTATTAACCAAAAATCTGGGGCAGAAAAGCAGGACTCCCCAGTAAAGACAGTAAAGGTGTCTTTTCCATCAGTGAATGAAGTTTCTGTTCAACAGTGTTTTACCTGAAAACATGCTCTAGGACATGGTTTTAAAGGAAGATTTGTCCCAATTCTTCTCACGAAGCTGCGTGATGAGCCACACGGTTTGTTCTGCCAAATTGGGATAGTCTGGAGAGGTCAACAAAATATTTAATGAAATTGTTTATCTAAGCAGTAGTGCAATTCTAAATATTGCCTCTCCAATTTCATGTATTCAACACTGCTTGCCCCAGCTGGAGAACAAGAAGCACAGAAGAATGCCATGTACTCATTGCTGGGGATTTCTGTTCTCACAAAGTGATGAGAAATGGATCAGAAGTTTGGCACAAATCCCACAGGCTCTCCTAACAGCTGATGGCAACCCTTTTGCAGTGGCAGTATGTTGATGGGGACTGGCACCAAGACTGTGCAGGCAAACTGGCAGGAGGTAGCAATTATTTCCCCCTTTAGCCCAGCCCAGCCCAGCCCAGCAGGGATCTGAATTCTCATTACTCAGCAACACCCTCATTTTGATCCAACATTTAAAGTTTTCTTGGAGTTGCCAAGGTCACTTTGTTTAAGGGAAAGAGACCGTCTATTTTAATCCATTAAGAAATCTGTAAACAGCTGGTACTATAAATACATCCCCACATACCCTAGAGCTGCAGCCACCTGTCAGCTTGGCTCTTACAATGTTCAAATGCTTATTTACATGAGTTTACTGATGCCCAATGGTTGTGAAACATCCTGTTCTGTATTATAACATTTAGTGCTACAATTTTAATATGCTGTTTCATGTTCTGAATGTGAGCATATAGTCTTCAAAGGCAGCAGAATAATGGAACTTGAAGAAGGCAAACTCCTTGTTGGAAGAATAACCCTGCACTTCTTCATGGCAGTCAGCTGCTGTGTAATTTTAAACAAAGTAACTGATACTTTTCTTCAGAACTGCTCTGATAAAACAAATTGCCCAAAACGTGGGTCAGGATGCATTAACGCAAAGTGACAAGACTTCTTGTCAACACAGAGGACTTATTATGGTGACAAACTCCTCTGTCTTCATACGCTAGAGAGAGAGTTGTGCACCAGAAGCCTCTCCCCAGCTACTCTTCCTGCCTCAGCCTGCCCTGCCCTGGACGTCTCACACCTCTAGCTGACCCAGAGCCAGCATACAGAGCTGGCTCACACTGTTAGGATGGCTGGCAGTGACTGGGGCACAGGAAAGCTAGTTAAGGGCCAGGCACAGAAGGGGAAATGCCACACTCCTGCAGGGGTTGCAGCAGTGGTTCTGGGGTTGCACTGAACTCTTGCTGCTCCGAGTCTCTCCTCTGCTCATTTGCATTTCCCCCACACACCTCGCAGCCCTGATCTGCTGCTGCTTCGGTGCTTCCTTCCCTCTTTTTAATGACCTCTGCTCCTTCCGTGCGTGATCTGTGTGCAAGCACACACCGGCACCAGAGAGCTCCTCTGACTGAGTTCTATGATACCGTCACGGAGGGCCAATCGCTTTCTCCTCTGAACTGTGGGCGGCTATGTTGATTATGCTTAGGGTTAGCCTAGACAGCCAGGCTACCTCACCTTGTTTTGGCACAGCACGCCAGGACAATTAAGTAGGCAAGGCGTAACAGAGCAGGGAATCGTCCCACCCATCCTGGCAACAGGGGCTGCTCTTTCCCCATCTAGCCTGATGATTATTAATGCTGATGGGCTACTCTTTGCCACCGCTTTCTTCTGGCCTCAGCCCTTGAAGGCTGCCTGTGGCCAGGACTGTGTCTGCACACTGCGACTTCCTCAACACGGTCATATACCAAACCCCAGGACAAGGTTTCATGCATGTACAGTGTCCAAAAGTACTTCAGCAATTAAAATTCTATAAATTCTTGGATTTAAGGATTATTCCACGTTTGCTGAAACAGGAGTTATGAAAGAACAGTCGAATCCACAAGGTAATTATTCTACGGACAGCAGATTTAGAAAACTGGTTTTACAAGACGTATTGCAGGAAAGAAAAATGTGAAATATACTTACCAAATCTGCCTCCATCTCAGACCAAACAGTAAGTAGAAATAAGTCAAAGGCCAAAACTGTACTTCCACAAATTATGTATTAGCTTCATAATACTTCACCTTTAAAGAAAATTATGTATTTATTATGCATGAAGACAAGGGCATGTTCCACATTTGTCTGATTAAAGTTAAACTGCATATACCAGCCTTCCTCAACCTGGTGGCCTCAAGCCACATTGAGCTGTGACTCCAGGCACCCCCGAGTTAGCCAGGGAGTTGTCGTCCAACACAGCTGGAGGACAACCGGCAAGCAGTTATAAGAGCAATACTGATCACATCTTAAGCAGTTAGACAATCATGCTTCATAATTAAGCTAGCTCACAGACTTCAGAGCCAGAAGAGATACCATTAATTATGCAGTCCAACATAGAGAGGGCAGCATAATGGACTCTATTTATATAAGCCTTCCTTAAAATCTAACGTGACTGATTTCACAAGTCCCCCTGGTAATTTGCTTGCCTGCCCAACTCTTGTTACAATTAGGAAAATGCTCAAACTATAGGAGGAATGCTTTGAATTACAGTAAGTTTGCCTCTCTTCTGCCTAACAAATTGTCAGGTCCCCTTTTAATGGTGTCCCAGATTCAAGCAGTATTCAAATACACCTTCAATAAAAGTATAGCTTAATTATATCAGTTAACACACACGATAAACTTAGTTAACAGTTCAATAATCAGAACAAAAACTAGGATTCTATGCCATAAACATGGCAGTATTTCTGAAGATTCTCTTCTAGCTTTCCAAACGTCAATCTCTTTAATTGTTTGCAAACGGCCCTGCAAACACAAGCAATAAAAACCTGGCAAAGGAGAAGCAAAAGGAACAGCTGATGAATCTTTATTGCCTACTAGACTGGATGCTGAAAGTTCATTTCTTTAAAATGGATGGCTGAAGGGATGCAAGACCTCTCCATTCTGTGACGTTTTGTCCAGTTAAAATGAAGCAAAGGATTAGGAACCTCATAGAAGATTGCAATTGCTATTTGAGAAATTCTCCTCCCATACCTCACCAAAACATGGGATTCACAGGATAACCAGAAGGTACTAAGCAGGACTGTGTCGTTGAGAAGCTGTTGGCCAATGTCCCATTCACCACGGATCAGCAATCCAAAACTCTGCAATTATTCCAGCCTTGATCCAACTGCTCTCTATAAGATAAAAACAACAGAAACACTTATGTACCATATATATATTTAACACTGAGATCACCTATGGTAGTGATGGCAAACCTTTTAGAGACTGAGTGTCCAAACTGCAACCCAAAACCCACTTATTTATCGCAAAGTGGCAACACAGCAATAAAACCTGAAAACTGAGGTTTTAGTTTAGAAAAAACAACTCACAGCCAGTCCAAGCAAATATATATCTCTCCTTGACAGCGCAGTGACCTGGTGCCGCTACTACTTTCTGAGCATGCGCATGACCCCTATGTGTGCTGTTATCCGATGCTCGGCTGCTGGGGTGATGCTGGGGCATCTTGGCTCGCGTGCAACAGAGAGGCCTCTGTGTGCCCGCTGTGGCACACGTGCCACAGGTTCGCCACCACTGACCTATGGGAAGTAAAGTGCTTTAAAAACATCTTCCCAACTCTGTGAAACATACTGTATTTCATAATTTCCTCTCTTCCAGCAACTTGTTTGCATGATGTCCCATTGTCATTATTCAGTTCCTAAAACCAACTAGATGAGCAAAGTAATATATTGGCAGCTCCAAATACAAGATATAGGCTTCTGGTTTTACCAAGTTTCACTGGACAGTGGGCACTCACAATTTTTGCTTTGAAAGCATGACTGATACTCATCAGTGACTTTCATCTCCTGTCTTTCAGGACAAGATCAGATAGCATTTTATATCATATTTCACAAAAAAGTAAAAGCAGCCATGCTGGTCTTTATTATGTATGCAAGCTTTCAGGTTCTCCAGAACTCTTCCTCAAGCTAGGAACTAAACAAAGTAGGCTGATGGAAGCTGGCTGATGTTGAACAAAAAAATGTGGGGAGGAAAAAAGAAGTTGCAGTTTAAGTTTGGAGTCTATGTTTAATCAGTCTTAAAACGAACTGCACAAGAAGGCTGCAGAAATTCAGATTAGGCTGCTGTACATGGGTGTTAAACCAAGAGTAAAATTCCATTTTGGAATAGCACTCAGGAATTGCATTCTAGAGATGGGCGTGACAAAATGAACAGGGCCAAAAGGCTAAATACACAAGCACATTTTAATTCAAAGCTCTAACAAGCAGTAACTAGGCATGGAGGGAAAGACTTAAGATGCCGGCAAGTCTCTAAATGGTTGGTGGTCAGGGGAAGGGGGGTTTGGGCATCTGAGAAACCCCAGCAGGCTGGACTGGGAACCCTGGAGGGCTGGTTCCTCAGATTTTCCCTCCCTGATTGAAACAAGCTATGATAGTTTCTGGTTGGATCCAGGACAGTGGAATGAAGAAACAACCATCACACACCACTACACAATAAAAGCAGCCAGGCTGACACATATGGAAGACATTCATCCCTGTGTTATTTGTCACAAGGTAAACTGGAAGTGATTATAAAATGCAACATTGTCCAGAGTTTGCACAGATTTCATGAGAAGAGGCACCGTGATGCAAGCTGCCACTGGGTTCAAGTAACAGGTCCGCCAGCAAATCTGTCAAGTAACTCACAGCCTCAGCTCACTCATAATTAAAGGGAGAAAAGCCACTACTTGCACCATAGATATAAAATATAAATATTGTAAAGCATTTTTCACAGGTGCATTTTAATATTGTAAATGTAATATTACAAATATAATGTATAGCTATTTTAATAAGCAATCATGCATAAATTGTGACATGCTTTAAAAAATAACATAAGCTCTGAAAAACGCCATACAATCTAAAGGGAGGAAATCAAAGCACATTAGGGATGAAAGGAAAGGAAAGGAAGCTCCATCATGAGAGTCCAGGTTGAAGGGATGAGTCTTAAGGAGATACTTAAATGTTTAAAAAATGAAAGAAAGAGAGTTCAATGTCAGCTGGAAGGAACCTGGACTGCAAAAGGAATAAAGAAGCAAGGTAGGATAGGAGAGTCAATCCAAGGCAGAACTAAAATACTAGTACCTGGGATAGCCAGCTAGATTTCCTAGTATCTGAACCAGTGTGTCTATATATTCCTCGGATACATTTGCTATAACCTTCAGAAGAAAGAACCCATCACAAAGCTACTTGCTCAGCAGCAACAAGTCTGTTTAAACATCTCAAACAGAAAGCCTTCCAGTAGCTTCTCCCAGGCTGAGCCAAGGTCAACAGACTGACACAAACTGCAGCGGGATCAGGGCTCAGCCAACCAAGGATAACGACGCATGACAGACAGGGGTTCTTTAACTTGTCACTCCGCCAGGGGCACAAGTGGAGCTGGTGCTTATCTGTCCCCAGCTCACGTGCTGTTTATGTTGCGTGCAGGCGCTGGTAGGTGCAGGAGGGAACTTAACAAAGGGAAGCCAAACTGAGATTTAACAAGGTCAGCAGCAACAACAACAGATCAGAAATTATAAGCTACTCCTCAGGACAACTCAGCTGCTTCCTCAGCTGAAAAGAAGGCACTTAGGTTTTGCTCAGCGTATATGGATGAATACAAGGTAAGGGTATGTTCCACCCTGTGCGTGTGCACGCATAAGAATGATAAGAAAATATATGTTTCAAGTGTGCCTCTAATTTCAGCCCATAACACCCCTCCCACAACTATGTCCCAGGTATAAAGAGACTGAAAAACACCTAATTAACACTACAAAAGCTATGCCATTATTGTTTGGAATTTCCAGTCAAGGAAATAGAAAGAAGTCACCATTTTAATTCTCTGTACACCCACTTGAGAGTAAAATCTATGAAACTCTATGTGACATCTTCCAAGTAAGCACACACACTTTATTCCCTACCAGAAGCTTTTTTTAAAAAAAAGAAAAAACTTAAATCTTAGAAAAGTATTCTGCTAAAAAGCCATGCAGATAACTTTCTGCTATTAACAACCAGAGATACAGCTCTTTATATTTATATTTATTTTTAAACGTTTTTCTAACCTGTCCACCACTAGTGTCTCTGGACGACTTACAATATATACAGTAGTCTCCCACTGAAAGCCTTGATCCATCAAATGTCCTCTCCCAGAATCTCCATGTTGGTGCATATAAAAGCATCCTGCACAGAATGACAACCTTCCCAGACTGTTGGCACCTTAAAGCCCAACACATTTATTTTTATGGCATCAATGCTGCAATCCTAAATATTTTTACTAAGGAGTAACTTCCATTAAACACAGAGGGGTCAAAGTTCAAATACGCATACACCAGACCTTGCCATAAGTTGTTCCCACTACATGAGACTATGGGCTCAACTGAAAAAGCTTGGCTGGGTTGGGAATGCTGGGAGCTGTAGGGCATTTTTCTGTCCAAACACACATACGGTTGTGTCCTAAATTTACAATCCTATACACAGTTACCTGGAAGGAAGTTCTGATGCAGAGAGATTTACCTCTGAACAGTCATACACAGGAATGTCTCATTAAGCACTGAATAAACAGTGTTTGAGGCAGTGTACAGCAGTTTTATTTTAAAAAACTGTTTCTTCCAAAGGTACAAAAATAGTAATAAAAGTAGCAAAAAAGAACCATGCACCAGAATCATGGTTCTACTAGAATTGGTTTAGGAATCAATTCTAAACCAATCTCAGTGAGCAATCTCGGTGAGCAATCTCAAGCCTAAAAGTCTTTCTCCTTGCAAGTCCCTGCTGATACTGTAGTTATTTTTTTGCTGGGGAAGAAAAGAAACTCTCCACCACAACAGACAGTTTCATGGCAACCTTGAAGACAGAGATCCTCAAAGCGCTAATATAGATAATGTAGTTTATTTACTGATTAAAGCAAAGCGAGCTTTCGCAGACTAAGATACTGACACAAGCCAACTCCCACCAGACGACTTTAAAGATTTTCCTGCAAAGGACGGCGCACACCCCGACTCCCTTGGAAACCGCCTGCTTAACTATTTATATATTTTATCTGCACCCCGCCATTTCTCCCAAAGAAAGCGGGAGCTTACAATTACAGGGCGAAAGAGGTGGAAAGACAGTCCGCACTCGCTCGGGGTGGGGAGGGAGCGCCGTCCTCCATTCCGACTCCAGACAGCTCCACAGGTCGGGCCTTGTGCACTTACAGTGCGGGGACCGATGATGCCCAAAGTTCCCTTCCCCGTCCTCATGACACAAATGGAAGCCCTACTCACAATACGCCACCCCTGCCCGAGTCCACACGTTCTCCTGACACGGCTCTGCCTCTCCCGTGACAAGGGCCTCCCCCGCCCCGCCTTCCCCTTCCCCTTCCGGCGACTGGAGACCGTTATTTTTTCCGCCAGCCCTACCGCAGCTCAGCGCGTCGCCTCAGGAGGAGCGCAGGGACGACCCGGACGCGGAAAGCCGGACCTGCCCGAGGCCGCAAGAAGGAGCCGCCGCTTCCCGGAAACGCCGCGGCGTCCTTCCGCTCGGAAGTTGCCCACCGGCGGCGCCCACCCTGTCGCGCATGCGCATTGCGCGGCGATGCGAGGCGCGCGTCTCCCCCGCTTGCTGCCCCGCTGCCTGGGTCGAGGCGGTTCGGGTCCCGCCCGGCAGAGCCGTGCGTGGGTCCTTCGGGGAGGAGGGATGCGCCCGCCTCTTTGATGTCCATGGATTTATCAAAGGGGTTATTTTGCATTGATTGCTCCCCGTCTTTTCTCTGCAAGGAAAACCTGCGTGGTGGCGTCGCGGTTCGAGCACGAGGCGCGGCCTCGGGGACCAAGGCTTTAGCCCCAGGAGCAGCCTAGCCTAGCCTACTTCACAGGACTGTTGTGAGGATAGACTGGAGGGGCGGTTATGCAAGCTGTCCTAGGCCCCTTGTGAGAGGAAGAAAGGCAGGGTATAAGTGTAATAATCTTCCTGCTCTTCCTCGTTTTATTTCTTTTTAATATATCCCACAGCCTTCCCCTTCCTTACCTACCAGAGGATGGACATGATCATGGCTAGACTGCCAATTTCTGTTTAGGTATGATAAGTATACCTATACTTAATACCTATACTTAAATATAAAGTGATTTTCCATCACCTTCCATATCCTAACACTAAGGCTGATTATAATGGCTATTTTCTTGACTGTAATTTTGTGTGTGTGGAAGCCCTATGGATATTCCTTGCTTTGAGCTCTGAGCAGCACTTGTTACTGCTGCTTCCCAATGCCAGGAAGCATAGAACTTTTTTTTTTCCATTTTTTTTTCTGTTTTCACATAGGATTGCACCTTAACTGAATTAGAGTGAGTCTTACTCCCAGGTGAGTGGATGCAGCAGCCTTCACTAGTCTGGTAACCTCTGGATATGCTGGATTAGAACTCCCACCTTCCCCAGCCATGCTGACTACTGGGGACATGAGACTAGCACATAAGAATATAAGAAAACTGCTGGATCAGACCAAAGGTCTGTCTAGTCCACACACAGTGGCAAACCGGCTGCCCACAGAATGTTGTGCTGCTTATTTATCTTACTCATTTTTCATTGTAAACCATCTTGAGACACTAGTGGTGGAAGGGTTGAAAAAGCTTTCAGTAAATAAATTTTAATAATCCCTCCAGCAGGAGGGGTGCAAGAGCTCTGGCTGCCCGAGCTCCTCTGCGATTGGTGCATGCAGGCATGCTGTCTGGTAAAGGAGGTGGCTGTTTGCCAGTAATGCTAGTAGCCACTCCCTGTCCAATCCCCCGTTTAAGCCATCCAGATCGGTGGCCATCACTTCCTGTGGGAGTGAATTCCATAGCTCAACTATATATTGTGTGAAGAAGCACTTCCTCTTGATTGTCCCAAACCTCCCAGGCAGCTAACGGGATGTCCCTGGGTTTGACTGTTATAGGAGAGGGAGAAACGGCTTCCTCTCCATTTTCTCCACTCCATACATCATCTCATGTCTCCCCTTACTTGCCTTTCTTTCTAAGCTGAACAGTCCAGATTGTTGCAGTTGCTTCTCACAGACGAAATGCTCCAGTCCCCTGCTAGTTTTCATTGCCCTTCTCTGTACTTTTCCCCATTCAATAATGTCACTGTTCAGGTGAGGTGACATCCATTACATGTGCAGAACTCCATGCTGGGGAAGTCCTGGGCACAGGACTGTAATTTGAGGGTGCAAGCCTATACTTGCTGCTCTGGGAGCAAGCCCAGGTAGCCTCAGTGGGATTTCTAATTAGGTGTGTGGAATCTGCTATGACAAGATGAAGCAACAGCCTGGATGGCACTGAAAGGGAATCAGAGACATGCATCATGACAGTATTTCCCCAATAACAAAGGCAGCATTCAGCTCAATACCAGTTTACAGGCAAGACAAGAGGATGTGGCAGTCAAGTTTTCCTTGTGTGCTTCCTGTGGACATCTGGTTGGGCACTAGAGGAACAAAAGGCTGTACTAGATGGCACTTGGCTTTTTCTGCAGGGCGCTTATGTTCTGTCTCCCACACACACACGCACAGAGGCACAAAGAGAAAAAAATATAAATAGCAAAGCCACAAGACGGAAATGCAAGAGATCTCTGTCATTTCCATGCAAAGCTCAAATAACCACAAAAACAGAATTTATTTCTGTATTTTACGGCTTCTGCCACAAGTCCTTAGGGTACCACAGGACTCCATGTTGTATTTGCTGTAACAGATGAACACAGTTGTGAAAACTCCAAAATTCTTCCCAGCATGTAGTGTTCTACGCTCCAATTGACCCTATTTACCAGGAGCTGCTTCTATTTTTTTGTACCTGGTAGAATTTCTGTATCTCTTTTGTCTGTTTTTTGTGAATGCCTTTTAAAAATATAAGTACCTTTCTTCATATTTCAGTGTCATCTTCTGGTATTTTCTAGAAATACATGAGTAAGTGGCAGGCCCTACACGAGGGAAATCCATGCATTAATACTTAATGAATAATTCCCATTTTGCGTGTTTGATTCATTTTGAAATTCTGGTAACATATTGTAGAGCATTTTAAGATTTAGCTTATATTTAGCCAACTTGTAGCCCAGTTGTATGCTAACAGGACGAGAATGCCTTCAGCGATATGTTTATGTGGTTGGTTTGTGCAGTGGTATTTCTGAGGATAAAGGAATTAAAAAAGGTTTTCTGTTTTCACCAAAAAAGTCTGGAAGGTAGGGTATACTTTTATTGTGCTGAGCTGCAGTATGTAGTCCCTGGAGAGGAAAATTTACCTAGTTTCATGGAATGACACAAATAAGGATTCTCGCTATAGTGTGATGGTGTCCATTAACATGAATACACATGCATTCTTCCTCTATACCTGTCCTTTATGGAATGTGCTGTGATGTTGTCTCTACACATGGAGCAGACAAGAGTTGTCATAGAGTTCTAACAGAATGGACTTCACCCCTTCAGACTGTAGGTAGAGGATAGCATTTTTGAAGGGTGCTTGTGTAAAACAAAACACAAAACAAAAACTCAGCTCCTTGCAAGCTGAAAACTAGCAGAGCAAGGAGCAGGCGAGATTAGAATTTACTTCCTGATGTGCTAGTTGTTTATACATTCAAACATGGCATTCCTTAGCTGCAGTCTGAAGTAGTATAGCAATTTTCAGTAATTTATCATATTATTGCACTTGCATGCAATGCAGCAGCACAAGACCAGATGGCTGGAGTATGTAAGACTAGTGTGGGAGAAGCTGCATCTATGCAGTTTCTTATTACTCCTGAACTCTCAAACAAAAGCTGGCAAGACACTTATAAGACCCTGGCAATGAGTAACAGCCCCCTATACATATATTAAAAGTTCAAACACCAATCACAAATAACTTTTATTGAATGCTAAAAATATATCTTTCACTGCATACTAACATTGGAATTTTGCCATTCCCTTTTTACTTTTCAAATCTAATCTATATTGATATTCTGTCAAAGTATAAAATGCAAACATTTGGGTTCTCCATGTTTTATTACTAAAAACTACTACTACTATAGGAGGCAGTATTGAGGACTTTTCATACAAGAATATACTAGGAATTTTGCTAAAACATGGAGCTAATGCTAGCTAAACTGGATGGTATATTACCACAGGGAGATTTACATTAGTGAAATGAGACTTAAATATTTAATCATGTCTTTTACATTGTCCTGCATAAGGTTCATCATACTCAAATACATCTGTTCAGTTTTAAAATGAGCAGGAAACGTTTGGAGTGGACATAATGGAGGTTAAGATAATAAATAAATGACTTATTTGTAACACAAGTAAATCGTATTGCAGACTACATGTTTTCTGCATTTTAGGTAATCATTAAAATCTCTTCCATGCCACAACAACAAGTGTCCAGTAAACCTCTTCTAATACAACTTTCTTAACGTAACAGATGACATACAGCATCAAAAACTCACACTTTACATCAAACTGCCCCTAGAAAATAAACACTTAGCAAAAAAATAAACTGTAACTGTTAAAAAACAAAGAGAATGAAAGGAAAGGGTTGTTTTTCTCCAGCAGTCACCTGTCAGAAATCAAGCATGACCCATTTCTGGTTTGAGGCCAGGCCATCACAAAGAACAGATGAACAAAGAAAAAAGCAACACTTTCTGTTTTTTTTCCCTTTGGAGTTATCAAAATTATCTATAAAGTTCTTGAAATATAGATAGAATATAAATAGGAAAAGCTTGGCACATTTTTTAAAAAGTTAAGACAACAACACTTTTTTTAAGTCCATGGCTCGAAACAAGAAGAGATGAAGTGGTCACACAAGAGGCCCATTAGTGCTTTTCCACTGCAATCTTGCATGTGTCTCTACAGAAACTAGTCCTATTAACTTCAGTGGAGCATATACTCAGATTTAGGTGGGTTTAGGACTGCAGCCTTTAAAGTACTTCTCAGATCGCTTAGAGTTGCAAGTAGTGGTTTTGAGCAAGCCAGCGCAAGCAGGGAGGGTCAGGTTGGCCTTTTGAAAGGGGCAAGAGGTCCCTAGCACTTCCTAATACTGATTGAGAAAGCGCTTCCACAAGAACACGAAAACTTCAAGTAAACACAACAGGGCTTACCAGGTAGGGAGAAAACTCTCACTTCAATGTCAGGGATGTTAAAGCAGATAGCCAGATAATCACATTGCGAACAATAAATATGCAAAATACCTATGCATTATCTGCATGAGGGGGAGAGAGGATGGTCATGTGAAAAGCCTGGCCCAGTCAGTGCATGTGAAACTAGCACAACCTCCATTACTACAGCAAAAGAGGAGTCAATTTCCAGAGCTTTGCACGCAACGTAGTCTTAAGCCCTATCACAAGCCCCTATGGATAAAAAGGATCTTGGGTGGCAAACCATTGGCTCATTTATTGTGGGTCTTGTGAGGTGCTACCAGTCTAGAGTCGATAGGACTGGACTAAATGAACCATGTGTCCTACATCTACGCAGGTGCGACAGTCTCGGGTTGCTGTTTTCCAGCATTTGGTGGTTAGGAATGCTGAGAAGTAGTCATTCCTCTACAGAAGAAACACTTGCTGGGGGAAACATCTCCTGGTCCCATGAGTTCATCCGTGTCTGTAGTCCTACTTTGTAAACCCCACAGTGCCTGGGAAAGGCCAGTAAACAGCTTGACAATAAGAGCAAATGTTTTATCATTCCCTTCTGAGAGCTGTGAAAGAGCCTGTCACCATATATTTAATTTATCCTTAAATTACCAATTTGCTCTAGTAATTTAACTAGTTTTTCTTTTAAATTAAAACATGGAAAAAGCACAGCATTCATTTATGTCTGTGAAAATTAAAAACAACAGCAACAACTACTCTCAAAACAAGAGAAATGGCTCAGTGAAAGGGGGGGTCACTTGCTCATTCTAATTTTTATGGTCCCATTATCATAGGCATTAAATTACTTTAATATCCATGGATTTCATTGTCACAAAACACTGAGGGTTATTAGCATAAATGCAATTTTAGGGGACAGGCTTGAGAATTAGAATACTCAGAAGCCCAAGCACTATATTCAGACAATAAGCAGGATCCAAATTTTATTTAGATAGACCAATTGATTTCAATTGAAGTAAACTTTAATTCACGATTGGACAACCTGTAGCCTTCCAGATGATGTGATAAGGCGTTGAAAAGAGCCAGGTCCAACAATGGTCATCTGATCGTGGGGAAGAAATGGCTAGCAGAAGGCATTTCCCCACATCTGTTGGTGGGCCCATTGAAGCAGATCTGAAGTGCGAGTCATGAGCTGCTGTGGATAGGAGATGAAAGGGAAGTCCTGTTGGAAGGTTTCTACCCACCAGGGTAGGAGGCTAACCCCTTTCTCTGTACAGGGTTCCTGGTATATAATTCCCCAAATCCCAATTCCCATGTGTCTCACAGTGGAAAATATACAGGTACTGAAACCAAATAGTTGTTGTTAGTCGCAAAGTCGTGCCCAACCCATCAGGACCCCATGGACAACATTCCTCCAGGCTCTCCTGTCCTCCACCATCCCTCAGAGTCCACCCAAATAATGGGGATAGTTAAATCTTCCCCACTGGGGCATTTGCTAATAATTACAAAAATTAATGATTAAAATAATTTCTTACATTAATTAAGACAAATTAATAAAACCACAGAACCTGCCTACTCAGAACCTTCCGTAAATGCTCTTGAGGCTGGTTCTAAAGTAATTCAGTGTTACGAAGCAGGCTGCCTGCTGAACATCAGCTGAAAAGCATTCAGTCTACTCTTAACATTTGCTGAAAAGCCTGGCCTAAGCATAATGTGCTCTTTTCAATCCAGAAATGCTGATGTTTAACTAGTGGCAGAAGGCGATTAAACACTGTTGAGGGATATGAATACCTCTTGCAAACCCCACCAAAACCTGCTGAATTGAATTCTTTAATACACATATAGGCTGGTGTGACAGTCCCTGATGAAATGCAAATTTCATATAAGGTGGGGGAAGTTTGGGAGTAAAATTAATGCTGGGAAATAAGGAAACGGGAAGAGGGAGAAAGGAGCCACCGTTGAAAGGTATTCTTCAATAAATTGTCGTCCATCAAATGAATGGAGAAACAAGCTGTGCTTCCAGGAAAATATTGTCAGACACCTTGACTGGCTCTACCAAGTGACTGCTTCTGATGGCTTTTGTCCTCCACAGCTAGCAAGAGTCCTACAATTGAGTTGCTAGAGGTCTAAAACATTCATGGGGAAGGTAAGGATTTTAAAATCAACAGCAGATGGAGGAAAAGACCAACTGTTTCCTAACGTGTCTTCCCATGTGTCCGTCTAAAGTATAATTTTTCAAGTTCACAGTTTGGACTGTGTATGTTCTTAAGGATTCTTCATTCATTTGCTTGTTTTAAATATACTGGGCATTTTAGAAGGAGCTAAAAAAAAATCTAGCCAGAGGAAAATATCAGAATGTTCCAAACTTGCAAGCAGTGTTTGCAGTACTGACATTTCATGGCTGAAGAATTATTATGATGTGCAGTCAAGTAATCTCAGATATATGGTGACCCTGTGAATGAAAGCCCTCCAAAATGTATTGTCCTTCAAAGCCCTGTTCAATTTTTGCAAACTCAGGGATGTGACTTCCCTTATGGAACTGGTCCATTTCATAGTCGATCTTACTTTTCTTCTTCTCTCATCGGCTTTCCGCTGCATGATTGTTTCTCCAGAAAGTCTTGCCTTCTCATGATGTGTCCAAAGTATGACACTTTCCATTTTGTCATGTTTGCTTCCAGGGTAAGTTCTGGCTTGATTTAATCTAGGACCTACTTGTCTTTCTGTTGGTCCAGGGTGTTCACAATTCTCTCCTCCAGCATCATGTTTCAAATGGATCAGTTTTCTTCCCTGTGCAGCTTTCACACCCATGCACAGTAATCAGGGATGCAATAGGGTGGATGGGCTTAGCCTTGGTCTCCAGTGAAACATCCTTACACTTGAGTATTGTTTTTAGTTCCTGCATTACTGTTCTTCCAAGTCTCAATCATCTTCTTATTTCTTGGCTGCAGTCTCCCTTCGAATGGGTAACTGCAAAATCATTCACAATTGCGATTTCATCAGTGCTGGCCTTAAAGATGTATAATTCTTCTGTGGTCATGATTTTTGTTTGCTTAATTAAGGAGAATTAGGGTGATGCAACCCTAGAGCCTATCAAATCTTGTGCAAGCTTGTAGCCATTGCTTTTGAAGATTGCAGCTTGAACTCACTGCTCTTTGAAGTTCTTAGGTGTGTGCCCTGTTCATATGGAGTGCCCACTTGGCCCTATAACAACACTGCCTAATAAGCCCTTCAGATTTCTTCCCTACTTTTCCTGATTTTCATGTTGAAGAACCCCAAATTCCTGGTTCCATGGACAGGAAAATGCTATTGTGCTCATATTCTGCTTGCGGATTTCCTGCAGGCAACGGGTTGGCCACCTTGTGAACAGAGTGCTGGATATAATTTGCCAGCCTCTGGAAGCGTTTGCGAAGAGAGCCCTTTCCCCACTTCCTTGTCTGTACTGCCATAAGGCTCCCATACTTATTAAGGAGTAAGACCCACCAAACCCTGAAATCTAATTCTGAATAGCCAGGCAAAGCATTGCCCTAAGGCTGCAGTCCTCCACCCTTTGCTTGGGAGTATGTCCACTGAATGCTACATCTGAATAGACAGGCATAGGGTTGGGCTACATATCATATACACTGACTACTACACAGAAAAATTGGCTTTGGAATACAAAAGCATTTAAATCTGATCTTTCTCTATGTACATATCAGCAGCATAACAGTTTAATCTGGCCCTATGGATTCAAGTGTCTATTAACTAGAAATAATGGGAAGCTGCAGGCATGAGTACAGAAGAGCAGCTAAGGAAGTATGTACAGGAATTTCCTTTGCTGATTTCGGAAGGAAACAGCTTGTGCTAGGCAGCTGTGGCTATTTTTAGCACTTGTATCGTACATGCAGCTGTAAACATGCATCTGCCATGTGCACACATCTCCATTTCATGGGGCCATGTTACAAATTCTGAACGCAACTGTAAAAACCATGTGACCTGACTGCACTTGGCTGAATTATTTCTCCTCCGCCTCCCTGCTGCTCTTAACCAAACGTTCGTCCTGTGCTCTCATTTTGCTTTCTGTCCCTTCTTGCCCGTTTTTATCCCTTGTGTCTCCACCCTATAAGGATGTGCAGGTGTGTGAAAACTGGGCATGGTCCTCAAAGTTGAGGGTGTGAGTAACCTAAAGGGAAGCATAAAGTTCCTTGAAGAACAGTGCAGTAAAGCAGAAGGGCCCTGTGGCCCCCACAGTCCTACCTGAGACTTGACTGCAATGAATGTTTTTGAGCAGAAGACCCTCCCTGATCTGTATCAGACAGGAAGTGGCCTTACTCACGGCCAGGCAATTTGTCTATGCAGCCCAGTGCTGTCTGACTGGCAACAGCTTTCCAGAGTCTCAGGCAGAGAAGGATCATTCTTACCACCAGTTAGCTGGGATGCTCTTTGATTAGAGATGCCAGGCACTAAACCTGTAAAGCAGGTGCTTCAGAACGGACCTACAGCCCTTCCCCAGTCTGCTGGGGTGGCAGCATCCCATTGCCCCAGTCTGATTCAGGGAGAACGAGATAAAGGAAACAGGGCTGCTTTGTTCTAATTATAGTTCTCTGTATAGAGACTTTTAGGATAGAACTTTTAGGAGAGACATCAGGGGTGTCCTGTGGTTTTCCTCCTCCATGCTGGATTGATAGCCCAGTCCACAAATCCTGCACACGTTCAACTGCAGAACAAACTGTTGGTGATAAGCTAGGAGGGCCACGAGCAAAGAGCAACTTCAACCGAAGGGAGCGGGGCTGGAGATACACTGTCAAGGGGTATTAGAATGAGTGCATAGAAATGAGGTTTATCGGATTCATGTATCGCAATGTATTGCAGTCTTTTGGGATGAGTCTGCTTGAATATGAAAGGGGTTTTTATTTTAGGCTAAACAAAAATTTACAAAATAGAAAAAATGGTCACATGGAATGAATAGCTCCATTTGGAGGACATTCCACAGGCTGTGAGAAATTCCTGGAGTGTGGGAATAATGAACTCAATCAGTTCACTGAAAGTGAAGAAAAATCTGTTGGGAAAAACGAGTCATGTAAAACTATCCATGAATATTATCCGAGTGACACGATCTCTGAGAAATGCAGTGTTGGGATGCAGCCCTTCCACTTACGTTGCACGTCGGCTTTCCTCAGCCTGACACCCTCGAGACATGTTGGACCAAAATCACCTTGTGGTGATGGACGACGGACGTCACAGTTCAACATTTGTGGAAGGCACCGATCAGGGAAGACTGTTTCTGTGCTTTAAAACATTAGAACTGATATTTGAAAACTGGGGTGAAATTGATCAACGTATACTAAGGGCCAGCAACCGTTTGATCCAGGGCTAAATCTGCCTCTCTAAGGAATAGCTAAAAATGAAGAGGAAAAAACCAGAGCCTTTAGTGGCCAAGATGTTTCAGTAAAGGGTCCTCTGCTTCATGCCATGTAATGGCACCATCTAAGTCGTCCTGCGGACCTCAGTGGGAGTGAGTGTAACACAGGTTTTGTCTTACATCATCCACATGGATTCTGATCCTGAAGTTTACATGGGGCCTACTGCAGTTACCTGAAGTCAGATGCAGCACAGATGTTCTTAAATGTGAAGCTTTTACTACATATGAACAATTTAATGTCTTGAAAGGGAGCTGGCTCCAGGGCTGATACAAAAAGATGGCATCCCCTTCATGAATCAACAAAGCAGTTCCCAAACATCTTACCATGGGGATCCACAACAAAGGAATTTAGACTTGACTTGAGATCTAACTTGCTGGCCTTATACCAAAGACTGTCTTAGAGATTTGTGCTGCACCATCCTGAGCTGGCCACTTGATGACTTACTTCAGAACAATCTAACAATGTGCCAGTAAGTAAGAGAATTGCATGTTCAGCTCCTTGCAAGAGTGGTGCTGACAATAATTAGTAATACAGATACTACAGCTTGGTATTTTCAAGGGCCACTTATGTGTCTAGAGCCCTTGCATTCAAGGACAGTATTTACCATTCAATACTTCGTCATGCCTGAGCTCAAGGAGTGCCAGGAAAAAGAACTCTTATATCTTTGGAGTCAACAGCAAGAAATTAATTTGCCTCTCTATTTAGGCTTGCAGGAATGGCTTTGCTTTTTGAAGTCCTTCCTTCAGGAATTGGAGGTAGGTTGCTGTTGAGGGATCTTCAAAACTGGTGGAGAAACTAAAGATCCTGCTCTCGTCCTCTTCAGGCTTCACAGAAGTAATATCCAGGAAGTAGTTGGCATTGATATGATGGACCTGGGAAACAAGATGTGTTTAGGAAAACAGAATTTCAGTCCCCACATAAAGATCCTTTCCTCCCAGCAGTCAGAATGGATGGAGGAAAGTTGGGAGGTTTAGGGCAGGGTTAGTCTGTCTTGCCCTGCATTCCCAGAGAGAAGACACTAGATCACAGAAACCCTGCAGCAGCTGCTTCTGCAAATGTGGGCAACAATTAGGCAACACACTGCAGTTGTAAACAAATGTAGAGGCAGCTGCAAGGAGGAAAAAAGGGCTCCTCTATCTTGTTTATCTCTCAAAGAGAATCATGACAAGACAAGAAGCACTAGCTAGCCCTCAAGCATCCTTGGCAGCTTATAGTGAAGCTTATAGAAAGATATCTGCCCACTTTTCCAGTTTTTTTAAAAAGGGAGGGAGAAGGAAATACATGCATTCCTGTCTCAAATAATTTCTCTAGTAAAATAAAGTAGGGTAACCCGTGAACTGGTTTTGAGGGTTTGTAGAATTTGGGAGAAGAAGGAAAAACGTGAGTTGTAAGATCCTTCAAGAGCACATACTGAGAAGTTGTCTCAGTAGAGTCTGGCTTTATTGAATCAATACGTAGGTTAGATGCTTACCAGAATCTCTCAGGGCTGCCTCACCAGGCCTAATCTGTATGCACAGAAAACCAGAAGCATAAGTACATGCTTGACTAGAAGTGCACCAGGGGTTCCAGAAATTGTGAACATCTACACTTTACAAGATGAAGTATAAAAGCCTCACGAGCCTTCAGCCTCTGCTCTTTCCTTCCCAAAAATAAAAGCTGGTCCAGCTCCAAGACATCATCAAGTATTCATTGAAACATTCAGAGCGTATTAAGAAGGAGCATTTCTTTTTCTAGAATCTTCTCTTCTGAGCTTTTTTTTTTTTTTTTTTTTGAGGGTGAGACACCAGTCACTGCAAAATACCTTTATGGAATGGTATGCAGGACTGAATTCCATTTTGGATAAACTCTCTGGAGTTACATTTCAGTGGTAGGTGATGCTAGCTAGCTAGCTTGCTAGCTAGCTAGCTATGTATTTATTTATTTAGAATTTTTGTATGCCGTCCCATCGCATGAGCCTCAGGACGGCTTACATACAATAAATAAACATAATACAAGTAGTGCAATTAAAATCCAGATTCATCCTGGCTGCAAATTAAAACCTATAGATGATATTAAAAATTGTTAAAATATTGCTGAAATAAAAAGGTCTTGGCCTGGCGCCGAAAAACAAGTAACGACGGTGCCAGGCAGACCTCTCTGGGGAGCGCATTCCATAAGTGGGGCGCCACCGCAGAGAAAGCCCTCCTCCGGGTATTTAGCCTCCTAATGTCTTTCACGGAGGGTTCCTGGAGGAGGGCCTCTGCTGCCGATCTCAGGGGGCGGGAAGGCAAATATGGAAGAAGATGTTCCTTTAGGTATCCAGGTCCCAAGCCGTTAAGGGCTTTATAGGTGATAACCAGCACCTTGAATTGAGCCTGGACTTCGATGGGGAGCCAGTGAAGCTGGGAGAGGACTGGGGTTATGTGAGAATAGCGCCCAGTCCCCGTCAGCAACCTGGCTGCTCTATTTTGCACCATCGGAAGTATCCGGACTTCAAGGGCAGCCCCACGTAGAGCGCATTACAGAAATCCAATCGGGAAGTAACCAATGCATGTGTCACTGTCGCCAGGCAATCGTTCTCCAACCAATACCAAAAATACCAGGGAATTTACGGCTGCATGAAAGTAACTAGGAGAGGGATTTTAACTTTTCAGAATGGTGAAAGGCTACACAAACGCTGGGAAATCACCAAAGAGTGGGTGGTTGGGGGAAAGAGGCAGGGGGCGCAGCCATCTGGCTAGGCATGGAGGGTCAGACGTGTCCTCTGAAAGCAACCCGCTCCAATCTCACCTTACAGCTTTGTTCTGGAAATGCTTTGTGCTATTCTGAAAGGAACCTTTTTCCACATCTGAGGGACACAAGCACATCTTTGATCCTTGGTTCCTATTTCAACCATATTGGTGGAAGACAAGCACCATTCCAAAAGGCACCAGCAAATTTAAAGAAGAGACATATAATAAAGTACTAATAAGATAGAATGGAACTGGAACCCTACCACAGTTCCATTGGGCAGGCAGATCATTATCTCCACAGGGAAATTGTATTTTTCGAGGTGCAGCTTGGCAAGTTTACTGTTGACTTCATTCTCTCTCTTTGCCTGTGGAAAATGCATGTTTTAAACCACATATACTTGTACAACGCCCTTACCAGATCTGACACTGGGGTCAAACAATCCCATTAAATCACAATTTAAAAATGGAATATAATGACAAGTTTACTGTAAAAAAACATGAAATTGCCATATAGGTGACCGTATACAGCATAGAGGGGCACCTATCTGGGCTCGGCAATGACGCCCGATTTTAATTGCTAAGATATTGCTCAGACATCCCCTGCAAATTTCTGTTCAAAATCTTTAGGGGGTTTGAGTATGGGAAAAGGAAACAAAATGTCAAATGGCTGACATTTTCTTAACTGCTGTATTGGGATAAAATATCTACTGCATTGCTAAATGAAAGTTCCTTACATCGACAGGTAATTTACATCTCATATCTTAGCTCTTCAGTATGCCAAACACAGCTCTATTTGCTTTAATTGGGGTTTGATTAATCCCAGGGCTACCATTCTGGCACATGCCCCCCCCCAAAAAAAAACAGTATAGGGTTGGGTGAATACCAGGATCTTACAGAACAGCCATCCCCTTTATCTGATGTCCTCATTGGAGTTGGGTGCCTTAGAGAAGGTCAAACATATAGCACTAAAAAACTGTCAGGCATCAACTGTAGGGAGATGTAAACTCTGTTTTCTTCAACTGAACTAAAAGAAAGATTAGGACTATACTTCATACTGTGAGATTAGTTAGCTAGGCGTCCGATCCTGTCCCAAGTTCCCCATGACTGGCTGGGGAACACAGGAAACTGTAGGATTTTTTTCTGGCTAAACATGCAAAGGAAATTAAAGATGGTGAGTGATCAGGTTGTCATATTTTCCTCTCTCCAGCTTTTAAGAATCGTTTAAGACTGTCCTAGCATGGTACTTTGCACCTGTTTGGGCTTTCATTTCTGTATCCATACTTTGGAGGAGTGTTTGATCATGGCTACTTCAAGGGTAGGGAAAGAGGATGGGGAAGCTGCAGCGTGCCGCCAATTCCTCCATCAGCCAAGCTTTGAACACTGGAGAAAGACGATGAAGACATTCTTGTTGTGTTGAAAAAATGTCATTGCTATTATCCCAGAACTCCAGGAAGCTGGTACAGTTGCAGCTCATTCTGTTAGGAGTCATCTTAAATCGATGGAATCCTAAGTTACCTCCTTAAAAAACTGTGTCACTGCCCATAAGGGTGCAATGGCCACTTCCCATGGAGTATTGTTACAACAACCGTGCAACAGCATTACATGTATATCCCACCTTTCTTCCCTCGCAAGGAGCGCAAGATGGCTCACATCTCCCCCTCTCCCTTTCATCTTCACAACAACAAGCCTGTGCGGTAGGTGAGACTTAGAGTCTGTGACTGGCCCAGGATAGCCTAGTGAGCTCCGTGACTTAGTGGGGACAAGAACCCAGATCTCCCAAGTTCCAGTCAACACCCTAACCGCGGTTTTACTCTCTGCCCATGCTGGAAACTAATCTGCATGCTCTTGGACTTTGGGAACAGCTCGCTCAGACTTCACAGGGCAGGTTGGCAGCATGTATGGATCTATTTCCCCATTTATGGATGGGGAAGCTTGTGGAGCCTCGATGGTGGGCATCTTGTGCTCCGGAACCAGCCATTGCCATTACCCCTGAATAAGCACTGCTGGACGCTGACCTGTAAATCCTCCAGCTCCTTGACCAATGACCAGGTACTGATGAAATTCTCGTTCAGGAAAGCAAGGATGGGCGAACTTTCCAGGACTGTTTCCCGGAGAGTTCGCCCCGAACCTGCCGAGGAGGAGAAAAAGCAAGGATAAAGCAAAACGTTCAGGATGAACTTAAGTCAATGATAATTTAAGCGCTAGTAAAATGGTGGCAGAATATCATTCCCTGCAGGGCATTTCCACCTCATGGGGGAACAACTGCCTGTTGGAGGTTGTTATATTGACCCTTTTGTACAAAAATTTACATTTTAAGTTGTCCTACATTTAGTGTAAATTCCTTGAGGCAGAGATGTCTTCTTTTTTCAGTAGTACATGCTGATGACATAAAACTATTAAAAACAACAGGCCCTAGATGGATCATTTTCTTTTACTGGGAGTTTATTTACATTTTTTTTAAAATCTAAACATCTTTATAGATGTTTTGTTAAGAAATGCGATGTGTAGATTCCATGAGTTAATCAAGGTAAGAGCCACAGCGTAGGAAATTGGTTATTACAATGCAGGGCATTCTCTACTGGTTTCTCCACTCATGTTCTCTAGCATCTTCTGCTCAGGAGAAGCAGGTGGGGTAGGAAGGTGACTTGAGACACCCTGACAGAATGTGTCAGCCACAGAATCTATTGCTTACCTCAGCAGGACTGATCGTCCAGCGCACCCCACAGCAATATGGAATGCACAAGTTTACTCTCAGATTTGGCCCTCTCAAAGGCTTGGGTGAAGGGAAGGTAGGACACCTGGAATCCAAAACAACAAGAGAGGTTGAGCAAAAATGCTGGGTGCTCTTTTGCACTGCACACATCAAAAACATTTTCTACTTTTGGAATGGTCCTTGTACATTGCACCAGTGTGGGAAAATGCACCTTAATTGCACTCAACAATTAATGTGCCTGCCTAGCTTGGCCCTTATACCAGCCTTCCCAAACCTGGTGCCATCCAAATGTGGACAACACTCTGGCTGGGACTGATGGGAAATGCTGTCCAGCACATCTGGCAGAAGGGGAAGGCTGCCTTACTATTGTAAGAGGTTTGTTCCAGCTTGCCATTTGTCTATGCCTCTCCTACTCTCCTTGGCATAGGCACAAAGAGAAAGGTTTAGAAAATTCTGCAATTCTCTAGGAACATTCTCTAATCTGGAACATCACAGATGCCTATCCTATGGACCCAGTACATGGATAATGCAGTCCAGTGATTCTTAATGCTAAGTTCCATGGGATACTTTTGGGATGCAGAAGCCATAATGTCTATTTGGAAGCACTTCCTTTATGGCAACAACAGCAGCAATGAAAAGGAATGGCAGTCCATAAAGACCAAACAAACTAGCACAACAGGTAAGAAAATACCAGGCTGCTAGAAATCGCATTGCAACAAAGGGGAAGGTGATGAAAGCTACAAGCTGTGGATTTTATAGGTCAATGACAGACGTTGAAAAAAGAAGGTTGTTCCTCCTCTTGCTTCTTCCTCTCCTTCATTTTTCTTTTCTCCCTACCCACCTCACCTTAATTTAGACTGTAAGTTCCTTAGGGCATTGATCTCTTTTGCTTCGGCGTCACGTCAGGTACACTCACAGTACAATTTTTCACAGGCTTTAAAAAAAACCCTCCCACCTTTCTCCAGCTGATGAATTAGATATGGAGGGATAGTTCTGGCTGCTGTGGAAACGCAGATCATATTTCATGCTATAAATTCATTATTTGCTTCAGGTTCTCAAGCCACATGTGTCTTGTGTGTTTCTCGATGATAAGGAAACGACAGTCCTTAAGAGTGTTGTATGCCCTGCTTTGCTTCCAGCAGCAAAATGCTGGAGAAGCACCTCCATCATTTGCTTCTTTCCAGACAGCAACAGGGGCACCTAATGCAAAGGGTGGATGATCCAACACCAAAAAATCCAGCTGCACTTAAGAGATAGGAGCTTGGTCACAGACTTTCCCTGTGACCTTTGCCATTATTTGCATCCATCCCTCAAAAAGTGTCCTGTGCATTTATTTAAGAGATCCCAGAGACCTGGATAAATTTGCTGAGATGAATTGTTAGCAGATGTTAAACTGCAATGCTTAAGGAGCAACCAATTGCCCCTGTGGCAGATGCCCATAAGCCCCCAAACCTGGGGGCTTAACAACATCCAACTGCAGGAGCAAGATGCAGTGATAGCAATCGCCACTGTGCTTTGATCACAACGTCCATTATTAGAGTTGGGGGGAAAGAGGCTGCGACACCAGGAGGAAGTGCCAAAGGCCCGTGACCCCAGCCTCTCCCTTTGCCCCCCCCACCCCACATGCCACCTTTTGGCCTCTCCAGGGTCTAGTTGCAACCTCAGGCAGCAGGGAGCAAACTGCACCATTCTTTCTGCACTGGCTGTGAGGGGGCTGGCCTGAGTACCCAGCCTTTGGAACCCGAGATCACAGGATCTCAGAGATGAGGCGCAAACAAATCTTATGGCCTCCCAGACTATGTCAGGTCACCTTCACAACCACCCAGTCAACTGGGGGTGTCCCTTGTCTCGGTATTTCCTTACTGAGGCAAGGACAGAATAACTTATCTGCAAAGACGGGAGGATCTTTTCGTACTTTCTTAAAGGGATACATGGCAACTTCCAGTTTGCCAGCTGCTTCTTCCCAGCTTATTTCTCGTTGCCAGGCAATCTCTTCAAATATGAACTGAATTGGGCCTTCTTCTCTGCTGTCAATCACATTCCCATTTTCATCATGAATCACAGAAGGGATGGATGGTCCCAAAGACTCCAGCTCCATCTGCAAGACAACGGGGACAATGAAACTATGGTGCTCGCCAACAAACAGGCAGCAGCTACAGGGATTTCTCACAGTGAATTCCAGTGCACGCTGGGCAGTGTTCATACATTCATATTGTGACCACAACTTATTATGCCATGAGATCTCAGCATGGAATAATCATTTTTTGTACAGTTAGCAATCTACCCACAGTACTAAAACAATCCCTGAGCTGTAGCTGGTGCATTAACCATGGTAATGATCTAGTCTTGCTGAGACTTGAGGACAGCGTACATAACATTATAAAACGAGAAATAAGATGCAATGGTTGAACCAAAAGATAAAGGGTGTTAAAAGTATTCGATTAGCAAGCAAACCAATTAATTATGAGTAAATAAAACACAAAAGTTAAATGGCTGAGCAAGGAGGTGCATTGTGATTTCAACATTTGGAAAAGTACTTTGAAAGGAAAGCAAGCAAGCTATGCATATGGCTGTACTGAGCAACTGAACTCTGGAGCAAGCCAAATATGTAAAAAGAAAAAAATCATCATGCCAATCTGCCTTCTTACTAGAGGGCCTGCTGAAGAGGCTAGTCCTTCTCCAGAAAGGCCCCCTCAGAGTGGGGGAGCCCAGGGTTGCAGGAGGGCTTTCAGAAGCAGTTCGGGTTCAGTGAATGACTTTATTCATGTACAGAGACTCACCTTCTGGCTATACATACTTTGTTAGCTGTCAAGCGAAAAGAAAGAGCTGTTTTGCAAAGAGGCTGCCTGTTGTTTGAAATGAATGAGGGAAAACCCGGCTCCCAACACTGCCTACAATCCACAATGGAATCAGTTGCCCAGGTCTGGACTACATGGCAATCCTTTGTGGGTCAATCCACCCCTAGAACAAGCCATGGATTATCAAGGTGGCTTCTTGCCCCCAGTTAAGTCATCGAGCAGAAAATGGTTATGTGTTTGAACAACCCCATTAACTCTCTGTGGTTAGTTACCTACGATGAGTTGTCATGTTGCATGAACCCAGTCAAGCGATTCCAAACCATGGTTTGACTGCATGTTTGGAAGCTGAAATTATAGGCTGACGTAATATATGAACTGAACCAGAGTTAAGTATGCCTCTGTAGCACTGCAGTGAAATCTGCCTCCCAGCTCAAGAGAACCTGCTGGCAATAAGCAAGGGGGAAGGGGCCCTGCCGAAACTTCTCAGCTACAGAAGCTTCTCGGATCATGGCTCGTGTGTGTTACACTTGGAGACCATAAAGAAGAACAGGAAGAAATTGTCCCAAGCTTGCACTTGAGTGACACTATCTGATTTTTTAGACTTGACTTGTGGCACACAAGCAAATATTGGCCACCCCTGAGCTAAAGCAGGGATGGCCAGCTTTCAAGCCTGAGGAATCTACTTTTATTTTTTAATCAACCTTGAAGGCCCAGCTACTAGAGCTAGTGCAAAATAGTAGTTTAAGACAGTTGCTTAAGAATTAAAGATACCTCTGAACACATGCTCAGCCCAGGTATTGGTGGTCAGTACTAGAAGAAAGTACTAGAAGGTAGTTCACAAGGCCTCCCACAGTAAAACCAATTCCCGAGTTTGCCCCAGGCATTCTTTTTCAGCAACTTAATTTGTGGGATGGTGCTTTAAAATTTGTTCTCATTATTAGACAATGGGAAGTCAGAAGCACTTGCTGATTTGCTGGAAAGCGTCCAGAGTTCTTGTTGAGCCCAGTCTATCTTCTGCCCGTTCTTTCTCTAAGGCATTATAATAATGCCAAGTGTTATTGGTAGAGCTGTTCTTTTACCTGTAACTACATTACTTGGTGGGTATGGAGTCATGGGCTACATCTAGCAACCCACTAGCAGTGGAAGCAATTGGAAGACAATTGTCCAAAGGTCCTGAACGTTGCACACAACTCTAGTTAAGGAATCCGGCTGTCATTTACATAAAAGGAGTAACCGAGCGTCTCTACACAAGACTACTCTACCATAGCTACTTTTGGTGTTATTGCCGAATGAGGTCAGTGCAATCTCGCCACAGTACACAAAGAGTATTTCCTTTCTCGCTTTTCCACTAGATAAGTTCTAGATGTCACTGCGTCATAGCAGAACAGCCTTCACAAATAATACTACATTTTCCCAGCTCTATAAGAAATGGCCAAAAGGACAGTTTAAAGACATGAGTAAATCCGGAGGATCACAATACTATCTAGAGAACTGGTAAACAACTGTGAATAGGGAATAATAAGCATATGATAAAGGCTTTGCGTAACAAAGCTCACTGTCAATGCAGCAACACAACAGGCCCGTCCAAAACAGATTCTTGCTGCAGACCTGAGGCAGGTATCCAATGTCCACCTCCATGTTGCTGCCCTCTAGAGTTCCGTACAGCCATTCCATGTCTACATTCAGGGACCTGATGAAAGACACAAGAATAATCAGAAACGTGTGCCAAAGCAAGAACCTTTTATTAAACGGGTTTTTATTCATCTTGCTTTTCTGTCTGGAAAGTCCGATGGTGGGCTAACAGTCAAATGATAACAATTAAAACTTAAGTAACCCAAAAATGCAAGACATAAAGAACACAACAAACCCAGACCATAAGGAGACTGCAGTGGGCAAGATCCATTTACAGCTAATGAAAATCCTGCTCAAATGAGCTGGGCCTTTGCTGCATATTGAAAGGCCCAGCTGGGCCTCTCTCTTAGGAGGATGTTGCAGAATCCCGACGAACTGGTCCTGTCTCTCATGCCACCCTCTCAAAACTCAGATAGTGGGGCAATGCACAGCAGGACCTCTGGAGTAATATATGTGCATGGGCAAAAGTATATTAGCTGCTAAAAATATTTATATGCTGTCCAATAACAAAACTCTCTGAATGGCTTAGAACAAAATAAAAAGGTGAAACAGAAAGCTAAAAGTAAAATCAGTATAACAAAGACTTACACATACCCCAAGAAATTAAACATATCTGAGAGATTAAATTTAGAAAGGTGCTCAACTGACAATGAAAAGTTCCTACACCAGGTAGCCTCTCTTGGGAAGAGATGTTCAACCTGCTAAATAAACCAATCCTGATCTTCTGCAAGCAAACAACATTCAAAGTATTTTGTTTAAGTCTCAGATTCCAGATTTGAAATAATACAAAAGCAATACAATGTATTAAGTTTGCATGGGTTGAATAAAAAGGCAGTTGTATATTTACTTCTGGTCCATGAACAAAGCGGAAAAAACCTACCTGCTGTTAGGGACAAACAGCTTGAATTCTCGCACATGGGAGGAGTCCTTGGACAGGATAACATAGCCTGTGAACTGTGCAGGAGAAAACCAGAAGGGGAAATCCGGAGGCTCATTCAGCTGAAACTCTGCATGGATTCTGAAACAAAAGCCTGTCATCAGCCAAGGCATATCCTGAGGGCAAAGAAGCCACATACAACAGGCCAACACTAGGTCCAACAACTTTGCTATACAGCTAATGGTCTTTCCTTCTGGAAGAAAGGCCTGGCTGGCTGCAGTGGCATGAGAGCCCTAGACAGGACCATATTCTAGAGCAAGAATGCAAGAGTTCCTCCCAGATTTACCTACCTGCACATAAAGATCATCATCATGTCTTCCAGGTGCCTCCAGCATGAGGTGAGAGGCTATGAAAGGGCCCTTTTTTCTGCTGGTGCTCCATTTATGGAATGCCCTTCCAGAGAGGTTTGCCTGGCACCAAACTTACAGTCTTTTCAGCACCAGGTATTTTTTTTAACTTTCTCAGGTACTGTAAAACTGCTTTTGTTTGTGGCTCTAGGAGTTTAATCTGCCACATTTTAGTTTTAATTTGGTTTTCTGTGCTACAATGGTTTATTATTTGCTTCTGGTTCACTTTATTCTGCTGCAGTTTTATTCATTTTTTAATGTTTATATTTTAATATATTGCACACCAGAGAGAACATGTCAGTTAGTGTAAGGGCTAGGATGTGGGTGGTGGCTGGGACAGGCGGAACACCAGGACCAGGGTACCTATGCACAGTGGGTCTCCACAACCAGTTGGGGAACTGAGGCAAGCCCAAGTTACCAGTCCAAGGTGAAAGCCGGAGGAGACATTCAGTTAGAGCAAGGTGGGAACAACCCAGGGTCAAGAAGGAACAAACTGGAACAGAGTGGGAGCAAGGCAGAGGCCGGGCTCAGAAATGCGGGGGCCACAGCACAAGGAATCACCTTGCATTGCTGTGGCAAAACGCCCAGCACTGCCAGAAAGCCTTTCATTCCGGTCTCTAGGGCCTCCAGCTTCACCGCATAATTGCTTCTCAGTTTCCCTGCAAGTACCTGCAAGGGTGTTCTTGGTTCTGCAGGCACCTGAAGGGTCACTCATGCCCTGATCCTGCCAGTTACTGGGCAGTTTAAAAGTAAATAGGTAAGCAAACAAATCAACCTACCAGCACCTTCTTCGCAACGGACTTTACCTGAAGGCTATCTTGTAGTAGAAATCTGCAACCGCTTGAATGCAGGCAACAGCTCCCTGAGGAGCAAAGCGCGTCTTCACGAACGGTCGTGGGTGGAACATACTCAAGAGCTTGTGGATGATGATCTACAGAAAAGAAGTGGGGCGGAGCACGCAGAAAGTAGCGGTTAATGAATCCAAGAGCCACAAGACACCCCCTGCCAAGGCTAGGTTCAATTCTCAGCCTCTTGGCTCTGATTAAGGAGAGTTTGCCTTCCCTGTTTTCTTTTGATACCTCACAGCCTCCATATTTGCTAGGAGCGCTCTTGCCCTTAGTATACGCCATGTGCAAAATTTCAGTGCACAACTGCCAAGGACTAGAAACTGGCCTGCCCATTTCCAGTGTCTTCTTTTTTGTGCTGTATTGCCACATGCAAGGCTCCTTTGTACCTCTCCCACCCTCTCAAGCTGGGATCCAGGAACCTCTTGCAGGGCACCATCCTGCTCCTCTGGACCACCAGAACTGCAAGCATTCAATACAGCTCCTGATGGACAGAATTACAACCTCCAAAGAATTCCCTGCCTCGTCCTGGTTCCATGCAGATGTTTTGTATAGGCTGCACCTTCAGTCATTCCCAGCCAGCATGGCCAATGGCTTGGATTGATGGGAATTGCAGTCCAATACATTTTGAGGGCCACACATTGGGAAAGTCTGTTTATCAGAAGATTTCTCTTCGATCATTGCATTAAACTGGAGATAAACTTTTTATTTATTTCAAAATTCCAGTCATGTGCTCCAGCTTTCACATAATAAATTAAAAACTGAGATACGTATACCAGCCTACTTTACGATACTATTGTAAGAAAGTATTATACACATCAAGTGTTGAACACTGAAATGTGCAATGTGATGCTACTACAACTTATTATTATTAATAATAAGCACAGGGCTTACCTCTTTGCCTTTAGGAGCTGGAGGGTAAAAACGGTTATTGGGAAGGTATCCAGTAAAGATGTTTAGTTCACTGGGAATTACCCACCACAGATCACCAGGATCCAGTTTATTCTTTGGGGGAAGGAAGGCCTTGAATTGCTGGGCAAACATTACACTTAGAGGGGAAGCTGGAGCTGTCCAGTTTCGAAGCCCAGAAAGGGCAAAGTGGGAAATCTGGAAATGTAAACATGCTCATTAGTAAACCTGTTATTTTAGGTGTCTCCCTCATATAAAGACCTAGAGAGAGTTCGGCTCTCTCAGACCAGGGTCCATCTAGCCTAGCATTCTGTTCACACAGAGTTCAATCAGCTGCCCCATGGGATCCCACAAGTAGGACATGAAAGCAAAAGCACCCTCCCATTCATTCATTCAGGAATAACAGTAGGGATTCCACTTTAGTACAACACTTGTCCTGCCAACTGGGAGGGGAAGCAGCTCACAAAATATTCCCCTGGCATAGGTACAAGGTCAAAGATGTTGGCCAGGGATGCATCAGAGCATCACTGTGCTCTGATACATTCTTCTGGTACAGAACCCTCCAGATGTCAAGCATAAGACCAATAATTGCAGTTCATCAATTCAATCATCATGCAATCTTCAAAGTTAGCTAAAACTGTTATCCACAAATCCATATCAAACCATGGCTTGTGATTCCAGTTTGCCAGCAGCCTAAAAGCCATTCAGACATTAGGCCAAGCTAAGCTTAAATGTAAGCTTCTTTCCACATGAACTGAAGTTATGTTTCTACTATGTTATGGTAAGACGGAAAGGCTGACAGTTTCATTTGCACTCTTTATTACAGAAACAGGATAAAACCAAAACACAAACAAGTGTGACCCAAATTTGAAGACCTTTTCACTGAAGCCAACCCTTTCCTCACAACTTAATTAAGTAAACTTTTAGTTAATTAATCTACTGTCGAAAGTCTGCAACACTAATTAAATATGATACTCACTCCAAGGAAACCATCCTTGCTCTTTGTCATTGTTTCCATTAGCAGGGGTTGGAATTTTGCAAAGATAGTCAGGGTCTCTCCACTGGGATCCAGCACCTCTTCCTCTTCAATGTTAGAGACAGGGACAATGCCTGAACAGAACAATGGCAACACAATTTATTTATTTAAATCTGGGCAGTATCCCACACCAGCCCCACACTACCAGAACTGCACAAGAAGAACCAGTTCTTAAGACATCCAGAAATAAGTGCCAATGCTCGCTTTCAAAATCACATCAGTAGAGTTCATAAAAGGGGGATCTGTTAGCCTAACCCATTCTGGAAAAAGATGGGGCTTCTCATTTGGGGGTTATTTCAGGAAGTACTGGTTTGTAAAGCAGTAGCATTCCACTGTGCAGCAGAACTAGGAGAGGTGAGTTGGTATAAGCACTGGTATAAGATACCACCCATAATTTATTAACAGAGATCCCCAAATTACTGTGCATGAAAGGCAATGTCAGAAATACAAGGAAAAGCACTTTGCCACAGTGAATCCAAGATAGCAACTGTTATGCAGTCTAGAATGGCAACAGCTTCCTGAATGGAAAGCGTAATTATAAGCGTATTACTGCATCTTCTCTGTACAAAAAGTAAATGGATAAATTCCTACTACCAAAGGCTTACATGATCATGTGGAGCAGACTGAAATCTTTAAGAATGTATCCATCCCAGTACAAATTATCCTTTCACCTCTTTGGTTGCTTATCCCACACACACACGCACACGCGCACACACAGGTTCTTCAGATCCTGTCATTTCCTCAAAGCTGCCTTCTCTGTGTTGACCACAATGGATTTAGGTGCCAAAACTAAGATATTCTGTTTAATAAAGCAGCTAATATCAGCAGGCATTGTACAATAGTTACATAACCCGGGCCATATTGTAGGACTACAGCTTAAAAGTAAGACACTGTAAAGAGGAAAGGAGAATAAAAAGGAAGGAGACACAATTGGGGAAAGCTACAGTGAACTGCCAAACCAGACTTATGAAACAGCCTTTCCCTCTGGCAGCTGCTATTGCAATGCAGGAAGAAAAGGAGTGGGTGGCAAATGAGTCGGACAGGCAACGTACGGGCCCTGTTCTCTCTCCCACCCTTTCAGCTGCACTGCAGGATGACTGGCCATCGACTAACTCCAAGTGGATGAGCGGTAGATGTGCTGATTCCCACGAAGATATTGGCATGGTGAGAATACAGAATGGACCGATCGAGGCTCGTGGTGATTGAGTCACTGCTTCCCTGCGTGCCCAGTTTGCAACACAATGCAACACCTGCTTAACCTGAGGTAGGCAGAGTAACAGTATGTAGTACATGAGGGTTGAGGAGTGAGCTTGAGCTTTACCACAAACATGAATCTGTTCAGCCAAGATTCTTATCAGGTATATTGCTGTGTGAGCCAACCTCTGGCCTGGGAAGAAGCTAAGGAAAGGCAGAGCCGAGTGGTTCTACCTCCAAGCAGCATCAGGGGGCAGCAACAGACCATCAACAATGGTCTTGCATTCTTCTGTGAAATGGGGCGGGGGGGGATATTTTGGGCATGTCCTCAGCTCAATTATGCAAGTGTGCATGCAGCTTCAGCTCTACATGACATACTACAAATGGGCAACCAACTGCAAGCTTTCAGACTGCTGCCCAGCCTCGATCCGACTCCTGCCTGTCCTCCCGCCCCCTGCCCCGCAGTAAATCTCTGGCAAGAAGCAGGCGCAGTGCTATAGAGCTGCTTTAATGGTGCAAGGAGGGCTCCAGCACATCGACAGCTTAACCGGGCAGATCCCATGGGCTGAACAGGCAGGTGCTTGCTATCCTGAGCCATGCCCACTGGACCACTGACTTTGCTCTTGCCTGGTGTAACAGAGCAGGGTCAGAGATGTGAAGGCCCTTCAACTTGCCCTGGGAAGCCAGCTGCAAACAACTCAAGAATCCACCCCTGCTTCACAATCTGCTTGACCCACTCCAGGGCTGGGCAGGGGACAAGTGCAGACAATCCTCTTCTATCCATGGACCGTAGGTGCAATCAGGTACTTCGCCCAAACAAGCATCGTCAAGACTGCGAACAATCAGCGGATGGAAGTGTTGCAGTTTCCACATGCACAAGAGATTTCCTGGATCAGTGTGGCAGTCCGCTTGCGTCTCCACCAGCAGCTCTCCGGTTTCCGTAACCACAGAGCAGTATCTCTTGCCTTCAGCAGCTCTGAATCCCTTTTAAGCCCCAGACAAAGCCAATGTGTGCAGTTCTGCAAGTTCGACAATGGGAACTGCAGATTAAGAAAAACTGCCCTTTGTGAGAGAGGCGTCTAGCCCATAAGCCTTTTGAAAAACAGAGGAAGCTTAGCTGCCTCTTGTTGCGCAAATCAGCCTAGGGCGTGAGCAAAGAGAATTAAAGCAAGGGGGCAGCTCACGCACACAGGGAAAAATCTCCCACCTTTTATGTACTTATGACGGATTTACATGAAGCATTTTGCCAGGAAGCTACAAAAGGCAGGTCATTCACACTTCTGACAGGGAATTCAATATGGCACCATTTTAAAAACAGTCTCTGCAAAATCCTGGAGTTTGTTTTGGCCACTGGGCTGGCTCTCTTGCCACTTAATACAGCTGCAGGTCCCTGAACAGTTGCTCTAGAAGAAATGTGGAACAACTAATGCACGGCTACTTGTTGATGCTTTTGTGGTGCTTAACCCACACAAGTCTCCTTGCCAGGGCTGGAACTGCGGCCATCTCCTTCCTCCTGATTTGGTGGCAGTGGCTGATCTGGGGAGATTTCACTTTCTGAGAGCCCTTGCTGAGAAGGATTCTTCCAGTGGGTTGTTGCAAAAACCCCTGCTAATGGCATTCAGCTCTACTTCTCCTTTTTCTACAATCCAGACATAGGCTGTGGCCACAACCATACCCTGACTGCAGGCATAGATACAAAGATTTGCCCTTCTATTTCACAGAACTTTCCCCCAACTATTCCTTTCCCCATCTATCAGTATTTGTTATATCATATCACTGAAAATAATATGAAGTGATTATCAGAAAAAAAATTAAAATCAGGCATGGTAGTGAAGTCCAGAGCATCTGCCTACAGTCAGTAATTGACTGTAAGGGAGTAAATAAATTGAAGCACAATCCAATTGATATGGTAGGAGGCTGTGAGGCACAGGCTGTTACGGATTTAGATGTGGTCATATTCAGCTTGAAAGATAAGGATGACTACTTTTGGATTCAGCTTTGCCCCCAGGATTTCCAGGTATCAGGTGCACGCAGCAGTACTTTTCCTCCACTGCCACTCCAAAATGATCTCCAACAATAACAAAAAAAGTCTCAGTTCTCACAGCGTTTCAACCATGTGAAATAGGTACTGCTCCTACTGAGTTCTAAGACTGGAATGACCTTCCAAGCTTTACAGATGTACATCCAAGGTCAGAATGTAATCTTGACCCTCAAAAGTCACTCACTCCACTTATAGTTAGGCTTCTGGTAAAACCTGCTCATTTTGCCTGGGCTTTTCATGGCAATTGGTCAATTAGCTATTTCTTTTATATTCTCTCTCACTCCCTATGCCATGTTCTCTATTGCTGTGTTTGGAATTTTTGTCATCTTATATGGAAAGTGCTTTGCCCGTTTCTATTAATCCAAGTGAGGGACCTGGTCCAGCCAAGGTAGTCCACTGCAGTTTTAAGAATATTCGGGATCAAACCAAATCACTTGTAATAAAGCTGATATACAGTTAATTGAACACAATGACAAAGTACGGATGCAGAAAAGAAGCAAGCAAAAGCAGCTCATACCCCTCTTATCTGTGGCTGCATAGGCTCCCCTGAATGAGCTAGGGATGCCCTATGGGCCTCCAACGTTGTCTCGGTGAGTGATGCATCGATCCCTCTCCCCAAGCAACACCCTTTGTCATATATTCTATACAATCTCTTCCCACATTTCAGAGTCTGTCACTATGCATATAGGTCCTGAACCCCCTTCCTGAGAAAGCAGAGGAGGCAAACAGTTTTTCATCTCACAGCAAAAGCATCCTTTATCTACAGAATGACCGGGAAAGGCAGCTCCCAGGCAACAATCTCTGGTACTCTTCCCAACTAGTCAAAGGCATAAAGCATTGGCATGTCTACAAAAAATTATTTTGGTGATTCAGCACTGAGAAAGTTCATTACACCACCTGCTGAAGCTTAATAACCTCCACACCATTCTTTTGGTATGGCCCATCCAATTCACCTTTTATGGTAACAACACTGTGTAACTAATGAGTTGAAAGCTGCCTTGGGAAATACACTGCTGAAAAGAAGTAAAATGTTTTAAAGATATTAAGATAAAATATGCCTTTACCCACACATTTCTCCACTAGAATTTTACCACTGTTATGCTGGTGGAATTACCTCTGCAAGGTTCACACTTCCACAGTGTAGTTTGATTTCAATCCAGTTTAGTCAGCACTGAGAAGAACCAACATTAGTTCTCTGCACATGGAGAATGTTGCCCTCAGGCAGTAATAAACAAAAATGAGACAGTTTCAGAATCCAGAATAATAACTGTTTCAGAATCCAGAATAATTACTTCCAATTTTTCAGGTCAGAAAATCTGGCTGGCAAATCCTCTTCCTATTCTGAGGACAAGATAGACATCCGCAGTGAAAGGGGGGAAAGTAAGCACATAGGGGGTATAATTAGGAAGACTTAGACAAGCCATTTTAAAAAAATTAATAAGATACTGCTCTCTAAGGAACATGAATTAGACATCTGTGTACTCAAGGAATTAAAATGCCTACCGGCGAGTTTCTCTGCAATCGGCTTGAATTCCTCAGGACTGATGTACAGGTCATTGTTTATATCCAGGGAAGAGAACAGAAAAAAGCCTTCATTCCCCAGAGAATTCAGGGCCATCTCCTAGTTGGGGAAAAAAGAAAGGCTCTTCAGTTCACACGTTAATGGACTAACTCAGTGTAAGTTCTAGCAAACTGAGGTCCAAGGACACAGAATCTGTGCCAGCACTCACATAATTACTGATTTTTTTGGACACACACCTTGAAAAGGAAAGTTATTTCATGGGATATAAGAAACAGGCTGAGATTCAAAACAAATGTGATGTAAAACATGCATGGTCAGATCCCCCACCATGGGGCAGGAGAGGAAATTCTGGCTGAAGCAGCAGTGGGGCTGTGAGACTAGTTTTCCTGATTAAAATCCCACCCACCCAAAGATATTAGGCCTTCTGAGCTTCCTCTGTTCCTGAGGAGAGGAGAGGTACCTCACGTTCTATATGTCCTGCCAGCAGAGTCGATACTGACTTGGTCTGCATGTCATGGTACAGCTCATGGGGGTTATTTAAGCCATGACAAACTGTATATCCAACACCCACCTGGAGGGGGTTGTGTCATGTGACCCCATTGAACATGGAGTATAAAAGGGTTAAACAACCCTTAACTCTTGATGTGTTTGAGTTATACAAGGGTTATTTAACTCTTGACCGACCATGCTCACTGGGCCCCCCACTACCACCAAAAGGCAATAAGATATGCCAAAATGCGGCTACCAATGGCCCACATGCACCACAGCCTCAGCAATGTGCATGTCACAAGAACCAGCCAATTGTGTGCACGTGTGGAGAGGTACAGATCAAGAAAACAGTGAAGCAGGGGGAAGGGTTGAACCTCCTCTTGCAAAATGACAAAGGCAAACACCCCACCAATGCAGGCTGCTTTAAGGTGAGGCAGATAGACAGTCTGACATTAATGATGCGGTCATGCATATTTTGGCCTGGAGATGTTGGCATGATGTAAATGGGCCCATTTATATGCACTCAATGTCCCCCCTTTCACACCCTCCAAAGTTGTTTCCTGACCTTGGAGAGGCTAGGAGAGCAAGTGGGGCCAGAGCTCAGATTTCAAACTCGAGGGGTGGAGCACCTTCTCTGACCACAGGGAATCCCAAATACATCCTGATTGTACAGAATCCAAAATACTCTATAGCCCCTCAGACACTGTCTTGATCCCTTTCTGGATTTCTTTGGGGGCAATGTTATTGTTTATTGCAACTGGCGGATTGGTATATTTCATATCTATTTCACATAAACTCTCATCAAATTGTTGAACAGTCAATGTACTTGTCTAATGGGTTCTAATTTTTAATAGTGTTTATTATGCAAGACAGGTATTATGGACAGAGGTGGCTGTCACTCTAGTTGGACTGCTGTCTCTTTGCTTTCTGTCAACTGGTTTGTGTACAATGTGACAAGTGCAGCATAGAATCACAACTGACCAGCACTAAATGAACACAAACCACTGCCTTGCATCAGGTCAGGGGACTGGCTTAGTACTGCCTACACCAACCTTCCCCAACCTGTTGCCCTCCAGAAGTGCTGGGTTGTATGTGTTGCAATGCAACATTTCTGGAGGGCATCAGGGTGGGTAGGACTGATCTACAGTGCTTAACAGCAGCTCTCCATATAACTGCAGAGGCTACGAATTAGAGATGCTGGGAACTGAGCCTGTGGTTTTCTGCACAGAAACCGTGATCTCCACCACAGAGCTATCATGGGTCCCCCAAAATGCCTGAAAAACCTGAGATAGGAAAGAGCTGTCTACCCCAGGTCCTTCAAGCTTAGCATTATCTCTGCTGACTAATAATGGCTCCCTGGGCTTCCAGCAGGGGTCTTTTCTAGCCCTGCTTGATGGTATGCAAAGCTGAGGCTCTGAATATTATCTTCTGCATGCAAAGCAGAGGCTCTGCCACTGAGCTTCAGCCTTTCCCAATGAATATGCATTTTCCACACCAACACATTTCCAATTATTGAACCCAACAAACTCAAGATTTGTGTAGTGAATTGTGGAAACTGAAAATAATGAGCAATGCTTTTGATCAACTCACTTACAATGATTAGAAAATAAATACGGAGAGGGACTGTAACATTTTTAAGTTGTGTGTGAGAAGCAAAGGGTGCTGGAAGGGAGGGCAACCTATATAGCTGGCTGGCTGCTGTGGAACCAATGGTGACCATATTGGGGCAACAATAGGTGGCTCAGCACAAACATACACACATGCACTCTTTTTTAACACACACACAGTTTCTCTTCCCAGCTGCAGCACCCAAGAATCACATTTGCTGGTGAGGTGGAAGAGGGCTTAACCTTCCCTGCCCCTGATCCTGATCAGCGCTGCTTGATCTGCTCCCATAACATGGGGCTGGTAGCTGATCAGCCCGGTGTGCCGAAGAAAGCAGGCTAAACATAAAGCAGCGAAGGGCAGTAGGCTGCTTGCACGGGAAAGAGCAGACGTGGTGGGAGGAACTCTTCCCACCCAAATCACCCAAAGCCTCATGGAATGTGCCATCCCTGATTCTCAACATTTAGTAAGATGCAGCGTAAAAACCATTCCACCATTGTGCCCCTAACATTATAGAGCTAGGATGCGGCAATTGTTAAATAACCACTTATAGTCATGTTCTTGTTCCAAATTCCATTCATCTGTGTCATTCCAGGCAAAGTTCCCAATGGACGGCATCCACAACTTGCATTGTTTCATGCTACAATCACTACCCACTGCATTTGTTCAGGCCGTTCCAGGATATTAGAGGCCAGGCCCAATCCCTTAGTGGCGACATCACACCAAAAACCCATCATGCAAGTTGGGTTCCTCTTGGCAGCACAGGGAGATAAACCTCCCCACCCTGAGCAATGAGGTTTCTTCTCTGTAGTTCAAGCTGCAGTGATTCTGTGCTGCCTGCAACACCATTAGCTCCCAAATCCGTTTATTTTCCATCTGCCACCTGCCAGCCTAAAAGGATGCTAATGCTGCCTGGAAGGTGCTGCTTTTGTCAATTACAGGCAGGCAAGCACTCAAGTGCCTCCTAGGGCACATCCAGGATTGCATCGGGCACGTAAAAAGCTGATATGAGCTGGCAAAGGATGTGAAGCCTGGATTCAAAATAACTGGAAGCCAAGTAGAAGCTAGAAATCCAGCAGGCTATCCTGACACTACGTTGCTGGTACTGGATCAAAGCTATTGGAAGTGCACTGAGGAACAAATCTGGAATTGTGTTCTCACTGAGCCAGGCCCTCAGGGATGGTGTCACATTTGATTCTATTTACCAAAAAAAAAAAAAAAAAACTATCTGTGACTCACACCTTGTTGATTTAGAGAACAATCCCCTACTAAAGCATCACAAGTAAAGAATTTTCTGCACATGCAGATGATTCTTCAAAAGATGGCTGCAGGATCCTGCCACTACGCACAGAATGTCAATTTCCAGGACCTGGAACATGCCAGCATATTAACAAGGTTGATCCCTACTATATACACTTGGGTGGACTGGGAACCGTTTGACAGTTATTTATATCCACCTATATCAGTGATTTGGGGAGCAAACTTTCCTTTTTATTTTTCTGTGAAAATTTTCTGTTTCATAAGTTCATTCACAATTGTATTGGAAATGCAATATTAGGTAGTCTTGAAAATGTGAAAGTTGTACATTAGTATTTTTCAGATGATTATCCTTGGCAAGTACATGACAGCACACGTGTCATTAAAATACATATTTGTTTCAGAGTAAAATGGAACTTTTTTACTCTCTAGGGCAGGGTAGGGTAACTTCTAGCCCTCCTAATAGTTCTCATCAGTTGTGGAGAGTACTGCCACTGGGGAAGGATGGCATGAGTTATAGGCCAAAACTTCTGAAATTTTATTTATTTATACATACATACATACATACATTTATAGGCCACCTATAACTGCAGAGGCCTTCCTAGGCAGCTTACAATACATAAAACATATTAACAAAATAAAACCAATTAAAACACAATGAATTAAAACCTGCTGATGTTCTTATCTTTTGCCTATGATAAGGCAAAAGCAGAAAGGACAGAGTAATTTCTAAGTAAGTATAATCGGCAGAGCCCAAAATACCACTGGAGGGATGCAGGCCCATCCTTCAGCTAGGTCACCACTTCAGCTAGGTCACTTCTAATAAGGCAAATCAAAGAGCACAAGAAGAGAGAGAGCAAGAGCAGGCCATAAGGGAGCCCTGGGAAAGCCAGCTTTGGTTCTTCGGCCTGCATTACTGAACATCAAAGAATACGGCAGCTCTTGCACACAGTTGTGAATCTCTGTTCTCCCATGAAAATGCCATCATTGCTCTCAAAGCTATGCTTGTTACAGAGCAAACAGCCATACTATGTGACCTTGTCCATACTACAAACATATTGGTTTAAGATGGGAATTAGCTAAATGAAACTCTGAAAAGTCATCTTTAAAGATCTCTAGTTCCTTCCTCTAGAATTCTCACAGGGTTGCAGGACACTGTAAATTTACATGAAGCGGAACAGGAAACAAGAGTAGGGTATTAGTCCAGCCTTGATGCTAGTCTAAAAAATGCCTACCAGCTGATCTCCCCAGATGTTAGTCACATGCAGTTTTGAAGAAAAGAGCTGCCAGCTTTGGTAATGTCATCCCTGGCACAAGAGACCGATGTTTATTTGTCAAGAAGTGTTCTGGGAAAGTCTGATATTCCTCCATGGAATTCAATCCCTCTGGAGGCAGATTCACGAATTATGATGTATTCCTGCATCTTAAAAGTTGTGCGTACAATGTGGCAGGATGGTGCTTTCCTGAATAATCCTGCTGGAAAAACCCAATACAGATGGCTTATGCAAACACTACCTCAAGAAATGGATGGGAGCTCACAACTTTCAAGGAAGGAACGCAAGAGGAAGACTTTCCACATTTAGATAAACAAGTACCATAGACTACCAGCTTTTTCACAGCTACAATGACACCAAAGATTCAGAGCAGATGGGATCCTCCCAAGCACCCTGAATACCCATGGGGATCTTCCCAGAAGCTTCAGTTTCTAGCTAACCTCCAGCTCAAGTGTCTTTCAGCTGAGTCCTCCCAAACAGCTCAAACCGTATCAGCAAACCTGTTCCCTTCCCAGAAGAACTACAGCACCCATAGCAGCAAAGTCTCACAAACCTCTTAACACCTCCAGTCTTGCTGACCCCTGCTTCCCCTCTGCCCCAGTAAGGTAACCAGCCCTCTCTGTGTGTACTTGGTTTCTTTAGACTCTTCTTCTAAGTGCTATATTGGCATCATCATACAACTGCTAAGACTGTGAGTATAACATAGCGGTTAGTGTTGGACCCGGGACTCCCAAGATCTGGGTTCTACTCCCCAGAAGCTGCCATGAGCCCCACTGGGTAACCTTGGGCTGGTCACTAACTCTCAACCTAACCTACCTCATAGGGCTGTTGTGAGAATATAATGAAGAGGAGAAAGGCCATGTAAGCAGATCTGGGTTCCTTCCCTTTATTTTATAATAATAAAGAAAAAATAAATACCATTGCTACTCCTAAGTCCCTAAAGTTGAAAAGCATATATATGTACTTATCTGGAACAAAACACCACCGAATGAAACAGAACTTACTATTGAATAGACATATATAGCTCTTTACTCATCAGATATGCTTGACAGCAATTTCCATCATTCCCTGCCAGTACGTTTTAATATATTCCCATATTGGTTGGGGATGATGGAAGGGCACCAGGTGAGGGAAGACCGAGGAACCTGATTGGGCTGTTCTGCTGCATCCTTAAAGAAACGCTTACTTAGGACCATTCCCACTGAATTCAAGTGGGGCTTACTTCTACAAGGTCGCCCCATGTGACCTCAAACATGCACAGAGTGCCCACTCCCCAGCTGCTGTGAGTCCAGCCAGGGACAGTGTTAGGAAGGGGCCCACCAGGGCCAAGCGGAGGGGCCTCCAGGGGGTCCGCTGCATCCGTTCCCCCAGGACTGGCTGAATCCGGGCCCAACGGCGCTTCCCCTCCCGCTGCTCCCTCCTCGAATCTCTCCGGCTGTTTTCTTTCCCGAAATCGAAGCTGCCCACACACCCCTTTCCACACGCGCGGCTCTCCGAGGAGACGAGGCGCGCGCGTCCCGGACACAGAGCACGTGCAGATCGTAGGGCGAAACCGGGCGTTGCTTCGCCCCTGCCGGCCTGAGCCGCGCATCTCGTGGCACCGGCTCGGCCGCCGCGCAAGGCCCGCGCACTCCCTCCGCCCGCCCCGCCCGCGTCGGCCCGTCGCAGCCCCGCAAGGCCGCGCTCGCAGCCCCAAGCGCTGCCCCGCCCCGCACCGGCGCCTCCCGCTGCACGGGCGGCCCGCTCCCCCTCAGCCTTACCTGCCGCCGCGCCGCCTCGGAGTCCCGGTAGTGCTTCGCGGCCAGCAGCGCGACCAGCAGGGCCAAGGCCAGGCCCAGCCGCGGTAGCCCGGGTAGCGGGGCCGGCCCGCGCCGCGCCGCGCCGCCGCCGGCCTCCCCGGCCGGAGCGGGAGAGGCCTCGGGCGGCCTGCTCCCCTCGTCGCCCCCGGCCATCGCCCGACGGCCCCGCGCAGCCCCGCGGGCCCGCTTCCCCGCCCGCTCGCTCGCTCCCGCCGCGCGCCGCCCTGTCGGGCTGAGGCGGCGCCAGAGAGGCAGCGCCGCGGCCCGCTCGGCCCGCGGGCATCTCATCTCGGGCAGCCGGCCCCTGCCGGGCGGGCGTTGTTGTTGGTAGTCGGGAAGTCGTGTCCGACCCATCGCGGCCCCATGGACAACATTCCTTCAAGCTCTCCTGTCCTCCATCATCCCCCGGAGTCCACCTAAGCTCACACCGGCTGCTTCAGTGACTCCATCCAGCCACCTCATCCTCGGCCGCCCCCTCCTTCTTTTGCCATCTATTGTTCCCAGCATCAGGCTCTTCTCCAGGGAGTCCTTCCTTCTCATTAGGTGGCCAAAGTATTTGAGGTTCAGCACGTCGCAAACAGAGCAAACCATTTATTATTTGTATTTGTTGTCTACGAGCGACGTATTATTCCGATCCCTTTGCTCCATGCCCACAGTCCTTCGCGCACTCATTTTTAAAGCAGTCCGAACACGTCTACTCAGAAGTAAGCCCTGAGTGCACTGGGGCTTGCTCGCAGGTAAATAGGCATCTGAATGCATTCTTTAGTATACTGGTGCATTCCAGCATTCCAGTAAACGTGCAGCAACCGAAGTGCCTGCACAGCGAATAATAGCAATGATGCTACTCACTAGTATTAATCATTATTAACACGAATTTTATTGTTTTTGCTGTTACAGCAGTCCTTTATCATCTTCCACCTGTAAACTTCCACAGACCCCTTTGGCAGTGTGACTTTCAATAGAGTGGGGCTGACTTCCAAGCAAAGATGCTGCACTGCCTTCCATTGCCATGGTTAGCGATATTAGGGTGCAGGCCTATCCATGTTTAGACAGGGAAAAAGTCCAGCTTCTGGGAACAGGCTGGGAGTTGTAGGACATCTAAACATGTACAGGAATGCAGCCTTGGCATGCTGTTTATTTTTGCTGCTGTTTTTCAGCTTTACAGAAGTGTTTCCAGCCAGATACTTGACTGGTGAAGGTGTAGAAGCTGAAAAATAGTTCCAAGTACTTTATTTGTACAAACTGAGCTCAGCTGTTAAACATGAGAAGCATTCCAGTCCAGATGTTGCTGCAACCCACTATAGTGTACTCAATTGCATCATGTACTGTATTTCCAGGACTGGCCCCTTGAGGGTGGCCAGTAATGATCTCCAACCCATATTTTTTGTGCAACATTCACTAAATCATTAATGTTGCTCCCAGATGACAATTACAATAAGGCATTGGGGATTATAGACTCTGCACTCAACTCCAAACCATCCTAAATGGTACACCCAAACACCTTAGGAGATGGTACTGAGTTACATCTAGCCCAATGCTTTCTTTGGGTGAGGACTGTTGGCCCAATCTGTGTCATGTCATCTGTTGTAGGAGACATGTACATGTATCATCTGGATGACCCAAAGCTTCCTGTGTGATGTACAGTCCCATTTCAAAAATTTTCTACATCTTTTGGCTATTAAAGTCATTGGAACTTGTTTCTAAAAGATATCTGTGAATTTGGGATTTCTTGCTCCAATGTAATGAGGTTTTCTTTTGTTGCCCATCCATTCAATTTGGAAAAAATCTTTGGATCATGGCAGATAACAATTCCAATCGTCTTGGAAATAGTGGAATATTGACCAGCTAATCCTATTTGGAAACTTATAATTCCTGCATAGTTATGTGTTTTTCTACAATGAGGAAAAAGGCAGTTGTTTATTTTCTGTATTGTGTGACATGGCTGATCACGCATGGCATCTCCTTAGGTGTCAATCCTAAGGAGAAGCAACAGAATGGCAGCAATGAGGGTCAATGCACAAATACACTCCTACTAGCTCAGTAGACTGAAATACCTTACCGTCTAGCCACTTGTAGAAGCCCTGGGTGAGATGGTTTTTAGCATCTCAGGTTTTCCTGGCCTGATATTTTCTTTTTGCTCTGAGACCCTCAGCAGGGATTAGCATCTCGATCATTTTTCCTCAAACAAAGACATCTCAACTTTTCTGGTTCGCTGTTTTGTGTGTGGCAAAAACCATTTGGGACAAGGGATTTGTACACTGCCTGGTTAGAGCCAATGGGAAATGATCGAGATGACTGGGAGAATGCCTGTGAGTTAGAAGAATGAAAGCCAGTTCAAAATGTATATTCCAGCCATTTAACACGTGTTTTGTAGCTAGTAAACAAAGCCATCTTCTGATATCTATTGAGGTCTGCAGGTGGCCAAGGATCCCTTCTGATACATGAGGGCACCTGTGGATGTACCTGAATTTATTATCAGTCTACAAGTTCAAAACAATAAATATGCTAGTCTGTGTAAAGCTAATAGATTTATTGTGGTACAGGCTTCTGTTGCAACAGCTGCTGCTTCTCTTGACTTTGTTGCCTGACTGTTGATTCTGTCTAATTGGCTGCTTAGAGCACCTCCATCAGAGAGGGAAAGCAGGATAGAATATTTTAATATAAGCATTTCAGCATTTTGTGATTACTTCAAGAGTGGGAGAGGTAGATGGAAGGATTTAGATAAATTTTTAGTATAGCCTGCCTCCTGCTGGTCAGAACAGAACATGATGCAGCATGGAATGGCATTAGAGAAAAATGTCCAGGTACTGTTAAAATTGGACCAGAAAAATAGAAGTTGGCACCACTCTGCACCTTATCTGGAAGAGGAGAACCCAGCCCTCAAGAAGAGACAGGCCATATGAGAGAAATGCATCATGAACCTCAATAGAGGAGCTGGGGCTACTCATGATATCTCAGCCTCACCTCCTTTGTAGAGTTGTGATCACAAATGTGGGAGAACGGAGTACGCTGGCATGACTGGTTGGGACCCCAAAGGTGGGCTATAACTTTAATAAAGAGCATCCAGGAGCTACAGGGTGTGTTGAAGTTCCCTTCCCAAAACTGAAGTAACTGACTATGGGAAAGGAAGCTTGCATCTCAATCTCTCCCCATGCCCCAGTGCAGCCAGGGCAGGTGGCAGCTGTTTCCCAAGCTCAGAAAAACAAGCTAGGGAAGTGGAAGTTAAAAGGGGGCGTTCCAGGGGGATGAGGGAAGGAGAGACTGGACTTTGCTCCTCCTGTGACCTCCCCAGCCTCAGGCCTGGCGGCATGGCCTCTCCAGAATGTCTCCATCACTTCTCCCGCTGTGCTGACAGCCCGATACCTGTATGCCTCCAGTCCTGGAGTCTTCTGAGTGGGTGGGAATCCCTTATGATTGTGCACCACACTGCATGTTGATGTGTTTTATCGAGCAACCTTATTTTTAACAATAAAAGTTTTCTGCCCTCGGCTTATTCCTGCTGAGCTGTAAACAGTGTAATTGAGGTTTTAAGTAGTAGTAGTTGTGTGCTTCTGTTTTGACACATATACCAGAAATTTAGGTGATTCATGTCACATCTTGCTTAGAACTCATGAATTTTTGCATGTAGTGCTGTGAAAATGATCTAAGTTGGGCCTGCAGTGACACACTATGTATGTTAAATTTTGCAAAGATCTACTTGTTTTGTTGTTGTTAGTCCCAAAGTTGTGCCAACCCATCATGGACAACATTCCTCCAGGCTCTCCTGTCCTCCACCACCCCTTGGAGTCCATCCAAGCTCACACCCACTCTCCATCCAGCCACCTCATCCTCTGCCATCCCCTTCTCCTTTTGCCATCGTTTTCAGCATTGCTGCTCTTTTTAGGCCCACACTATTCCCAATCTTTCCCCCTGCTTGTATAGCTACACAAGGGACTCTCAGACCCTGTAATTTCTGACACAGAGCTGAGAGTTGTTTCCAGCCAGCTTGGATTAATTTCCTCCATCACCCCTTGTTATAACATTCTTTTGATATCACTGTCCTAAACCATTCTTCCCCCTAAAGGCTCCTTAGTTCCTTCTGCATGGATGTCACATTCCAGCTTAGCTAGCCGTTTGACCAAGCAATACATATTAAGTTCTTTTAATCTTCCTCCATAAATCACTGTCTCCTAGCCTTTTCCTGTGCTGTGCAGTCCTACCCTGTTTATGAAATCCACAGGCCGATAACTGAGATTTTGTGCCATTTCCTTGCTGCTTGGGGATGGGGGTAATAAAACCGTTTTTTTTAGCCTGTAGAAAGTAGTGAACAATATGAGAACCAAATGTTTTGAGGCCCATTTCCTTAATTTGCTTGATTTGTTGTTGCTTGTCCCCTCCTGCCCTTCGCCAGCCATGGAAGTACTAACAGTTTAACTCCAGTCAGCAGTCTTTAGAATGCTGCAAGACTGTCCTTTTTGCTATTGATGTATGATCTTTTATAATCCTGATCAAAAGAGGGTACTTGAGAGAGTTCAAGGGAAGTGATGAAATCATACTTGTGAACCAACGGCCTCATTTTAGTTTAGCATAAATACATATAAAACGAAGCCTGGAAAAAAGGATAGGTATTCTGTGCTTGGAAAGATGTGGAAAACATGCATGCAGACATTTCCATATTCACTACAGCACAGACTTCAGCTGGTGCAAGAGACATCTGCTCTGCGCAAGGGACCTAGAACCCTTCTGCATCACAACAAAGGCCCATCTAGTCCAGCATGCTGTTCCCAGAGAGGTCTGTAAGCAGGAAGGCCATAAGCAGGGCATGCATGCAACAGCAACAGCGCTCTCCTACCCATGTTGCCCAGGATCTCATAGAAATATTCTGCTGCGGATCCTGGATGTTGCTGACAAGCAGCCATTGGTCACCATATTTGTTGCATCACCATTTAACACTGTCTATAAGAATCCTGGGAAATACCGTTCTGTGAGGCAAGATTGATAGCAACCTCTAGTGCAGAACTCTTAGCACCCTGATCAAATGACAATTAATTTGTTCCAGATGTCTCCATATGCCTTGAGGGATGTTTGACTTTTGTTAAATCCATTCTGTGTCTTGCAACTTGTCAGGCATCCTTCATTCTGTTATTTGCTTACTGACAATTTGATTTTTTAGGGACATGCAAGAATCTAATTTCACTTGTGCAAGTACACATTAGAGTTAATGTAGATCTGTGCTACATTAGTACATTAACTCTGTAGTAAGACCCTGCTCTGAATGCAGAAGGTTGCATTTTAAATCCCTGGCATCTCCGTGCAAGACTAGGAGGGAATGCCGACTATCCTGTGACCACCAAACCAACCTGTTTCCTGGCTTGAACAAGCTTCAAAGCAGTTGACATACAATTCAATGAAACAAACCTTCACCTTTGTAAGATCTTGAGTTGTCAGAGTCGTGGCTTTTCAGGGTTCATCTCCCTGCCCCCCTCCTCAATGTCTGATGAATTTAAATCTCTGAATGCAGCGCGGGAGAGGTCCTCTTGCCTCCAAGTCACTCAAGTATGAATGTGTGCGTGTGAATGGTAGCATACCAAGCACTGCACAACCTGCCATTTTGCCCACTTGAAGTGGAGAAGGTTCATCTGGAATTGATGGTGGCCACAGACACACGTTGTCGGAGCAACACACACAGATATGTTGGGTAATGGCTCTCCTTCCCCCTGCCAGCATTGCCAGGGGACAGTCAAGGGAACCTGGCTTTGCACAGCCTTTGTTCAATACAGTGCAAAATCCTTACACAGCTGTCAGAGCTGAGTCCATTGTGCGTACCCAGTCTGGGCGAAGCATGCCTGCTGGCACCTCTGAGCACAGCCCCCACCATGGTGCACCCCCATAGCCCCATGGAAGGCGCTCTCCTCTCCATTTCTGGGGGCAGGCTGCCCCACAGCAGGGGGAAGGACAGCCATACATAATTGTCCCATACAACTGCAGATTTAAACGGGAGTCTGCCTCTCCCAAGGCTCCAGCCATACAGCATCAGAGCTCAGGCTCACCTAGTTTGGCCTTCTGTATACATGTTGGCCAACCAGCTCCCCGTGGGAAGCCCTGCAGCAAGGTCTGCATACAGGAGTACTATCCCATGCATGTTCCACAGAAATTGTTGTATGTAGGCCTACTGCTCTGAATCCTGGAGAAAGCATAAAGCCACCAGGAGACATGGCCACTGAGAGCCTTCTCCTCCATTAATGTGTCTACCTCCCATTTAAAGTCATGCAAATTGGTGGCCATTGTGGTAGCAAATGCCATAGTTTTACTATACACATAAATGAACTAATTAAAATGATAATGCGTGTATATATAATGTATTAAAGGAAAGCAATGCTTACAAATAGGTTTCTGCAACCAAGTACCCTCCAGATATTTTGAACTACAATTCCCATTATTTCCCAAAGCAGCATAGACAGTGGTAAGACAGACATAGCTCATCTGGAGAACACCAGGTTGGAGACCGCTGGCATAAGGGAAACAACAAATCTTTCCCATAAGGGTTATGGTGGTGTATAATTAGTGGGATACTAGTGGGGTTTTTATCATGTGGGTTACATGCAATCATATTGTCTTGCTTTAATAATCAGAACACTATAGTACTTAGCACAGTCGGGTAGCCACTTGTTTTTATGAATTAAAAATACAATATGTAGAAAATAAAATCAGCTGGGGCTCCAAACAGATATAATAAGAAACCTCCTGAACCTCCCCATACGCAAACCCTTCTGTGTCTTCTGTTTCATTTCCTTTTTGCTTTCATGTTTATGCGAATTTTGTGTGCAATTTGGATTAGGGTGGGGCAGGCAATTTTCTTTTATTTTCTGCAGATTATGTTGTCATATCACACTTCAAAAATCAATCAAAATTATAAATGAAGTAAAACTACAGAGCTGGAATGACACTCTTCAATTCATGTCAAAACAAAGCTTTTGATTCCACAAGCATATTTTAATCCACTGTAAAATTACTTTGGGCTAAGCTTATTTTCCTGCTATCAAAACCTCTCAATGGGATGACTCATTCCCAAAGCTTTTACTTACTAACAACTATCCATCTAGGAGAAGATTATTTGTCAGTCTCCTTATCCCCAAGATGAAATTAAAGTCCCCATCTGACAAGTCGTATTTCCTTCTGAAACTTCAAGAGGTGTGAATTCAAACTGAAACCTTTTGTCTTTTACAGTTTGCGTGATGTGTTTTTTTATTCCCCCTTTCTTTCATTTGTGTCTGTGAAGAAAGGAACCCACCAAATGTGACAAGAGGGGAGAAACGCTTCCAATGCAAATTATGTTTAGAATGCTCCATGTAGCATAGAGAGGGGGTGAGAGAACGGGACAATAATTCTACCTTTAAAGTGCATCTGGAATGGAAGCACTGAACACACAGAACCAGGAAGAAGGAACCTTGGCCTGCTGGGCATTGGTAGATTCCAACTTCCATCATCCCTAATCCAGATTGCTAGGGGTCAGGGATAAGATTGGTAGTCCAGTATTTGGAGAACAACAGACTCCTTACCTATGTTCTATCCCATGTATACCTATAGCCAGGCAAAAATGTAGCTTTCCCCAGCCATTTGGATGCTAGTCTATGGTCTGTCTGTTGTGGGCCGCTATTGCAGTGTTCATTCTAGGATATGAAATGATAGCGGGAAATTTTGTGCATCACGGATGAACACTTTTCATATTCATCATGTATTTATGGTTTCAGATCATGCATTTAGGGTTTTCATTTTGATTTGTATTGTTGTGTTTATAATGACTGGATTTTTCTTCTGTTATATTAATTATGCATCTCTATATTGTGCATGGAGGTTGCTTCAAGTCTGCTTTTTGTGGAAGGAAGCAAGAAATAAATTTAATAATTAAAAAGAAATGCAACGACAAGAGCACTATTATCAACAGCCACCACCTAACGCAGACTTCCCCAATCTGGTGCCTTGCAGATACCGACAGACTATAAATCTCATCATCCTTGACTATTCACCATGCTTTCTAGGGCTGATGGCAGCTGAAGTCCAACAAGCTGACCACTCCTGGTGTAAGCTGCACTCCCAGTTCACAAGAAGCTGCTGAAGCTCCCCACCTGGTGGTCTCCATCCAGTTGTCCCATCCCTTTCTTCTGCCATCGGGGTCTGTCTGCTCTTTCTAGAGCAGCAGAGATACTTCCATCTGCTCCCCAGTCCAGAGCACTGAAGGATCTGCTGAGGTTCCTGCTTCAGCCGGCCAGCTTTCTCCTGCATTTCATCTTCCGTGGCAGTAAGAGAGATCTGAGCCTTCCAGCCACACCTGATCTGACAGGAATTTTTATTCTATTTTCACTTCTCTGATTGTTACAGAAATGAAATCATTACAAGTGCCTTGTAATATTTAGCTTCAAATGAAAATAAAAACCAAACAAAACCCAAAGCAGGAAAACGCCAAACATTAGAAAGAAAAAAAAGCAAAAACAAAAACAAAAAAACAAACCTCCCCCCAAACAAACCCCACATGATGCAGGAAACATTTTAACAGCATATAGAGGAAAGAGGGAGTGGGAGAGAAATGTTTGGGATTCAGAATTTTGCAGACACTTTCTGGTCAATCATGGCATCGAGACCATTTAGATGCATGTTATTTTGAAAAAAGTGTAAATTAGAAAGGTGATAAAAATCAATTGTATATAAAAAGGAGAGCGCAGGATGGGAGGTGGGAGACAAGAAGAGTGGCACAAACCCACATCAGTTTTATGGCAAACTCCTGTTCCTTTGGCCACATGAAAACTAAGTCAATGGGTTCCATAGAAATTCTCCGTAGAAAGGAATGTCCATGATTTTGTGTGCATTATGACCCATAATCAACATGTCATTACCAGGCTTATAAAGTTTCCTCACAGAGGAAAAAAAACCCCACGAAGGTGCTTGTTTCACAGTTTTTATATTCCCAGATACTGTCCAGAATTGGATGAATGCCCCCAAAATACCCTTCTGGGAACACACACATCCCTTTATTGGAAAGGAGAGAGAAGGGGGAGAAAGCAAGGAACCTTCCACATCCCGCTGCCGAAGCAGGCACCCCTATTGCGTGGTCGTCTTTAGGAGAACGTCCGTATGGTTCACAGGCAAAGGGTGGGCTTCGGTGTTGAACACCCAGTCCTCAAAAGACAGCACATCATCTTCAGAGAACAGAAGATAGAGGTACCTGGAGCCAAGAAAAAGAGAAAAAGGCATGCCCAGATGAGACTGTCAAGCTGTGTAGTGTTCAGTCCTATCTGATGGAGCATCCGTTTGAAGATGATATTTTCAAACTGCATTCAAGGGAAACCAGGAACTGTTTGGACACCTGTCGTGATGTAATGGCAGACCGCCCCCCCCCCCCCAAAAAAGACACTTCATTCATCACTATTCATAGTCTGGGTTCCCCCGTCCCAACAAGTCACACCACGCAATTTCTTACACACACAGGCTTTTGTGTGGACTTGCCCCCAGAATGATCAGGCTCAGCGCAGCAGCTCTCCTCCCTTACGTCATTTTCTTCCCCCTCAGCCCACCAGGTGATGCCCAGGAGGAGCTGTGGAGAAGAATGAGGCTCCTTGCTCTGACAGCTGCGATCACAGCTTGCCACAGCTGTCAAGCAGTCCCTGCTGCACAAATGGCTCACGCCTTGAAGGGCGGCAGAGATGACAAGGAGCTGGCCAGGCACCCTCCCTTTCACAGAAACAGTCAGAAGGGGCCTCCTGGCCATCTAGTCTGACCCCCGGCTCCGGCCAGCTCCACTCATGACGTGCCTACCAGCTCCAGTGGGGACTGCTCGAGCATGAGGGGCAGACCAGCCCATGCTCAGGGAAGAGGTGGGGGAATCGGCTAGGCAACACTGCAGAAAGCAGCCACACAGCTCAACCGATTCCCCCTTTGCGTGTGCTGGAGAGGAGTGACTTGTGGGCCCGAAAGAGCCAACAGCCGGCTGAGAAGCGGCTGGGTGGTGGTGCCCAGTCTGCGGGCTGCGCACTGCAGCAGACTCCACCCTAAGCTTCCTTCTATTCAGAGACACCAAAAAATCCTCAGGACTTACTTTAAAGTCTCTGCCAGGAAAAAACTCTGTTGCATGTTGTCGTGACTTGGACTGGTGGTATAAACATCACGGATCCCAGAAAAACCAGCTTCTACTCGGCAGTATTTCTCAAGTGCCTGTTTGGGCAGAGAGTTGTGGGTTAGAATATCACGTTTCTTCCACTAATGGCAGAATAGCAAACAAGAAACTCATTTAGCAGAATCGGTTGTGTTTTACCCAACCAGGTATACAAGTGTGGTTCCAATTTTATCAAGGGGGTGTTCCCACTGATGAGCTTTTGCTGCTTATCCAGAGGTCTGAGAAAATAGGCTACCTTTGATTATTTGGGGGGAGCTGGACACTCAAGACAGCTGAGACTTCGTTACACCCAGTCTTCCGCAGCAGCTCACAGAGGGCCAGAAGGCACTTGGGCACAGTGGTTAGAGTACTGGATGAGGACTCAGGAGGCCAAGGTTCTAGTCCCCACAAGGCTATGCCACTCCCTGGGTGACTTTGGTTCAGCCACTTTCTCAGACTAACCTAGCTCACAGGGTTGTTATGAGAAGGAAAATCACATTCCCTTGCATGGAAAGAAGGTAGGACATCAAAATAACAGGCAAGCATTGACCACAAAAGCCCCTTCCCAAAATGCTGTATTATTGATACTGTCTGAAGCCTGACAGGCAACAGGGCCAACGGTATGTGAGACGGCAGCTTTCTTCGGCCACTTGGTCAGTCGCTGGGGGAAACCAGGAGTTGGACTAGGGTGGCCTTTCTCCTTGCTATGAGGGGCAGCTCCATCATGAGGCAAGGCGAAGGAGCTGCCACGTAAACCAGACTAGTCCTGGGGTCGCTGTTAAGGGCAGCAGTGCAGGGAAGGAAATGCTTGGAGCCACGTGGTCCAGTCCCTGGGGGGGCACGTGCTTCTTCCCCTGCGGTGAGCAGGGCTTGCGAGAGCCCAGGCCCACGTGTGTCACCGAGTCCACAACAGCATTAATTAGATTTTAAACATTCCAAATTCAGCAATTAGGAATGCAAGCCAAGCCAAACTTAATAAATAAAATATGTGCTTTAATCGCATTGTATAAATCTGCTTCATTTCACATCTGGCTCCAAAACGTGAGTTTGGGATTCTCACTCCCTCCACTACAAGTCAAAAAAATCACTGCACTGTAAGTGTTTCTCACTGCGCCACTTCTAAAAGGTGAGGTGACGGGGGACCAGCCAGCGGGACTGTCATGCCCTTGCTGTGCAGACGCCCTCCACCCTTGCCAGATGCACAGAGGCTTGGTTTTGGCTATCCAAGGGTGGGGGTGGCTGAGAAACAGTCAGCAGATACTTAGAGGCAACCCCTTCCTGAGGATGGCTTGCCCTGTCTGCAGCTTTGATTCGTGCCACTGATCACGCCAAAACACATCCTACGCTATAGCCACTTGTGGTTGCTGCTACTCATCCTGTGTGAAAGCAGCAGAACTCTTCACAGCCCCAAATTCCCCATACACACCCTTCCTGCCCATTTGCTAGGCCTGTTCTGTGCTGAAATGGAGGCCTCTGTTACCCTTTAACTTGGTTCAAGATTTAATCCTACTGAATCCTGCCCAGTGAAATCAGTGTGACTAACTCAAGTCCCATTGATTTCAATGGGTCTATTCTAGGCATGACTACATCTAAATCCAAACCTTCATGCTGCAGTTGCAGGTTTTTCTAGAAAGCTGTGTGTCTTGAACTACATGTGTACAGAATCTCATCTTTCTAGAAGTACTGAAAGCATTTTGGGATGCAAGAAATGTACAGAGCGGCTTGCAGATGTCCTGATTTCAGAATTTTCAACTAATCACTTCCAGCTTTCTAGGTAGGCCTGGGAGTGGTCTAACCATTTGCTGCTAAAATAAGTTTTTCATTTTTATAGGAGGAATTTACAAATGCCCCACTCCAGCCCATCAGGATTACCTGGGCTATGCCTGTACTATATTCCCACCCCGCACTAGTATACTTCCAGAAAACCATTCTAGCAGACAATTATAAACATGTTCAGTTTTCAGATTCTTCAACTAATTGGAATATCCAGGGCTAGGCAAATGCCAAAGTGCAGGGCACTAAACAAGCAGAGAAACAGTTTTCATATTCCTGTCAGCAAATGAGCGGCAGGTCCTAACCACTGTGTTACTGGGGCAAGAAGCTGACCTAATCACAGAGGGCAGCAGTTCAGCCCAAAGCAAGCTGGAGCATGGGGGCTCTGCTGCCTTTGCAGGCCTGCTCGTAGGGGAAGAAGCAGGACAGAGCAGAAGAGCCAGAAGCCTCTACCTGTGCTGGCAAAATGGAAGCTTTGCTTGCTATCTGAGTAAGAATTAGTGCCTTCCTGCTACTGGCAGGCTTTCTGCAACAAAAGCACCCCTTGTGTTGCTCAGAGCTCGGCTGCCCCCTGGTCCTGCCAGGGCGACTGCACGCTACCTGTTCCATTCCTCTACCCCACGGGGCTGTGATTTGGAAATGAACTCAGCCTAGCTTCCTGCTGCAGCTGCCTCTGTGCCGGCCATTTGTTCCTCTGCTGCTGCAGAGCATCTTGGCAACACTGCTGCCAAAATGTTTGCGTTCCAGCATTCTCCTTCTTGCTGTCCTCCTGTCTTTTTAAGAGACCTGGTTTATCGTCATGTCTCTGACCGTACCTGCACAGCTTCCCAGCCCCACTGCCGGTACTTGGGATCATGCGTCAACCTCCACATGTACAAGTAGCTTTCAACCACCTCGGGGCGCAGAATGTAATAGCGATCACTGAGTCGGGTGGCTAAGGCTTCACTGCCAGAATCAAAGCGAAAGGCTTCTGGCCCCAGCTTGGTATCTAGTAAAGGAACAGAGCAGACGTTAGAAATTCAGAGGAAGCTGGAGCTTTGATGCTTGTTGCATACCAAGAAGCTGAAGCATTTATTAAGCTGTATACGTGTGGTAATGGTGGGAATCCTAAAGAAGCAAGTATGCTCATCAGAGTTTGCTGGGGACTGTTTCCGAACCCACAGGAAGCCTTTAGAGTGAAATGGGAGGAGTGCCCCAAGCTTCGTGGTAGTGAGGGCGAGGCTGACAGCAGTCCTTAGCCTCAAGGAAACCGCACGTGCAACAGGTACTGGCAATGCCTTTGTCACTGCTGGGCTTGTTTTAGGAAGGGTTCTCTCTGATCTACCCGTGGCTAATAGGCCCAGCTGAATGCGCTGGGAAGGCAGCAGACAAAGAGCCCAGGAAGACAAGCCCCCGGATCTAACAGCCACTTCTGCAGCAACTGTCTCGAGGCTCTTTTCACCTGTGCTGTGGCCAAAGGACAACACCGGTCCCGGTGGTGCCAGTCATCCTGGCTTGCGTGTTTGTGTTCTGGGCCAATGCTCAATAGCTTTCCATTGCTGCTGCTGGGGGAAAAGGCCTGGAGGGCCGAGATACAAAGCTCCCCACACTCCAGGAGCTGCTAAATATTTCAGTACCTCCAAAGTCGTTAACTTGAGACAACAGCACGCTTCACGAGTCCACACAGTGGGACACGTCAATGCCGCCAGCAGATTTTGCCTTCTCTAACCTGACCCTGTGGAGTCAGCCAGTATCGCAGACAGTCTATGAACGGGCTGTTACTAAGGGAAGCTCCACGCCTGAGATGACAAATGTGGCTGCACGTACACTCATATTGTGCTGCTGCCTTTATCGGCAGGAAGTGCAAACTAACCGGAGTTTTCAACAGGCATTCATGTACTGCCTGGGAGGCCTGGCCCAAGCAGAGCTTTCAAGACCCATGTCCTTAGCATTGCTGGGGGCTGATGTGGCTAAAACTGGGAATGTACCGTCCATTCTGCAGGTGCGCCATATGCTGAGCCACCAGGCCCATCACAGGGGGCATCTGAATGGGGAGGGAAGGGTTTTCAGGCACTGAACTCACCGCACCTCCCTTTGTGGTCCGTTGAGAACTCCTGGACCATAAAACCATTTCCTGTTGGGCTGGGAGATTGCCTGGCCAACAACAGTGCTCCTGGTTGTGGCACGTTTTGGTGCCTTCTTCAGCTCTGACTCCCAGTTCCACTACCCACCTCCTGGCTGCCCTCTGACACACAAGCATCATGGGTACTATGAGCAACAGCAACGCGTGTCAACAGTAACTCCATTTGCTGTATAAAACAAGGTGCCTCCCTTGCTGAAGACGGGGGCAAGAAGACTCTGAACAGGAACGTGTACATTTGCTGCCTCTCCACGGTTTCTACTCAGAACCTGAGCCAAGCAAGGACTGAATTCTGCAAGGCAGAGGCATGGCGTTCCCTCTGCCTCCAGGGCTGGCTTGACTACCCAAGCAGACCAGGTAGTCGTCTAAGCGTGCACAATTCATGCGAAGTCTGTTTCTGCCATGATGAGTACCCACCACAAGCTGCTCCCCATCACAGAGAGTTCTGGGCATGCTCTAAGTGTCTTTGAGTGGAGCAAAAAAACCCAACCAACTCCTAAGCCAAGCTGACTATCACCTGCGGTTGGTGTGCGCAGATTTAAACACATGTAGCTGGGGGGGGGGGAGAGGGGGAGCTTTCCTGGCAGCCCTTTTCATTTGGTTTTATTTATTTATTTAAAACATTTCTATGCCGCCCCATTGCAACAAAGCCTCGGGGCGGCTCACAATATCCATAAATAAACATAAAAATACAATCAATAATTTAAAAACTGGTACCATCTTGGCTATATATATTAAAATCTATAAATACAATAATAATAAATTAACAGTTAAAATAACTTTTAAATAAAAAGGTCTTTGCCTGGTGCCGAAAAGCAAATAATGATGGCACCAGGCGGACCTCTCTGGGGAAAGGAAACCAGTTTTCCTGGTCGAGGAAAAGTATCACCGAAAATACAGTCAACAACATGAAAATGGAAAGCATCGTACAAGTGTTGTGTCCTTGGATGCAGCCAGGTGCGGTGTGCCCTACAGCAGCTTCAGATGGGCACTAAGCCCTGGCCAATGAGCTCGCATGGTCTAAAAGGAGCAGGATGGAGTACTGCACTGTACTGGACCACTCCCTGAGGCAGCTCCTGGGAGTCCTCTTGGCCACCGGGGTGCCCAATGCCATGTCCAAACAATGCAAGGCCCAGTATTGATCAGCCCGCCCTTCAGCAAGTATCCAGCTCCACAGTGATGTCTTTATTTATAGACTTCTCATCCCTTCTCACTGCTGACTTTTAGGGGTCCTGCTTTCCTTTACATCCCTGCCTACAATGCTGGCTTTTTGACTCCCAACTCAGCTGCCAAGGGACCTCTTGCACTCTTTAGTGATTTTTTCTCATGTTTTTATGTGTTGCTAGGAAGCAGAACTCCTTGGCAACACCTGCAAAAAGGCTACCTGTCAAACCGGCCCTCATGAGACTAAGCGTTTCACCCCTTATATCATCATCCCCAGATGAAATGAACCCAAAGCAGATGTCAGTGCATCCATCCTGTCCTTCTCCATATCCCTGGTCAGCACAATTTCAAACAGAAGCTCCTTGGGGCAGGAACTTGCCCATCCTGCTTATTTATCTAGAGCACCCGCGGACAGGGCTACAAGACATGCACATTCATGAAAAGGGCAGTGTAACTTAGGGCTGGGGCTGGAGGCAGACTTTCAGCACACACGGAGTTGCGGTGGATGAATGGGAACACCTTTCTTAAGCAGCTGGTGGGGAAAGCTGCCTGAACTGCCTTAAAGGAGGGGGCGCTGGGCACTCTGGCACAGCCCCTGTGCTCACCGGAGCGGGCGTACGACTCATGGCAGGTGTAGGTGATTTCTGCAGCCAGGTCCATATAGTGCTGCTTCTGCTCTTCCTCCGCCCCATGCTCAGCTCCAAGGGCTATCATGCCCCCGGAGAAGCAGGCCAGGTGGCCCATTTTGTGGTCCAAAACGCCTCCTCGCCACTCTGCAATGTAAGTCAGTCCACTGGCCGATTTTTTCACAAGGTGTTTTTCTATGGCCTAAAGGTAGCAACATGGAGAAGCAAAGACATGTGAGCGGCTTGCAAAGGTAGGCAGACAAGACTATTGAACAGCGCCAGTGCTGTCATGTAACATCGCAGAGTCAGTGTTTCAAGCAATGCCGAATTCTGTTTTACCCAGTCTTCCCTGGCCTGGCACCCTCCAGAGGAGTTTGACTGCATCTCCCAGCATCCCCAGGCAGTGCAGCCATGCCGGGAGTTGTATTCCCACTCATCTGGAGGGTGTCAGGTTGGAAAGGCTGATATCGTTCAGCTCCCTGCCAATGCGGGAAATTCACTCTCACAGCATCTTTTTCAAAACCCCCACCGAAGGCGAGTCTGTTACCTCCCATGATGTGTTCCAAACATTTCAGTTATCTGTTGATCAATAAAAAAAAAACAAACCAACCCCAAGGCACATGAAAATACAATATCAAACTGAAACCTCCTCCAACCAAAATAGTTTATAAAGTCTGCACTGCTTCAGTTCCTTTCCAGTCCATATATCCCTTCCCTTCCTGTCACCCAATCTTGGTAAATCAAATCATTATAATTCCATTTAACAGAAAGGATGGAAATGTCAAGCAGAAACAGGTGAAAAAATTGAGAGTAGACCTGGCATGTTCTTTTCCTCTGCAAATCTGTCTGGAAAGGGATCCCACTCAGTGACGGAGCCCCCACTTTGCTTGTGGAGGGCCCAGGCTCAACTCTCAGCATTTCCGGGCAAGGCTGGGAAAGGATCCCTGCAGAGCGGCTGCCAAACAGTGTTGGCTGTACTGAGCTAGGATGACAGTGACCTGATTCAGAGCAAGGCAGCTTCCCACTTTGAAACTTGCATGAAAGATGTTTAGTTCAGCAGCCCAGACAATGGATCTGCAGTCAAGGGGTTCTTTTTGTGTTGCTTTTGTTTCTGCCTTGTTTTTGCCTTCCTCCTTGTGTGGCAGGCACACTGCCTTTCCTTTTGAAATGTGCATATAGTTTTGTTTAAGCATCCATCTTTTATACTAACTGAAAGAACGAGAAACAAGTCTAGTAGGCATTTTTCACTCTGATGCAAAACTGTAACAGGAAGGGAGGAGAGGTGTTTTGCAATGTGGTCAAACAACGTCCTTCACAGTTCACTTTTTCCTCAACTCAGTCTGAAAATCTACAAAACTAAACTGAACACTCCCCTCCCCGCCCTAGAAAATTCTAAAATCAGTGCTTGCATTTAGAACAAGTCTTGGGCTTATGTGCTCTCCTCCTCTCTGGCGTTACCAGAATTGCCACCTCCATTTTTGATTAAATGCAGTTTGCTGTGCTGCTTGAGTGCAACAAACTACTGTTAGTTTTAACAATGGTTTATTTCAAACAAGCCAAGTTCAAATCACACATTATGAAGCTGGCTTGTTTATTCAGATCAGTTATGCTTAGCCACAGTTCAAGGATGACGCGCATAGTTAGGGATGCGGCTAATCCAAAACAGAAGCAAAATCTGCCAGCCCCTTTCTTGATGCTGCACCAGAAAAGCACACAAATCTTAAGACTCATTCCCAGGCTGATATACCATTGTTTATTGTGTCATCCAAACACAGCCATTTTGTCCTCATCCCAAGGCTGAAAGGCCTAAATTTATCCAATAACTCCTTGGCCAAGGAGTGACTTGCACCCACAGCTCACAGGGTTTAACATTCTGCATCCCAACTGGCGAGTCACATGCTGTTGTTCAGTTAGTCTGATAGTCCCCTCAAGAAGCCCAGCTGCCAAAGGAATCCAGCTTTGTTCTTACCTCCAGTGCTCTGCTATACATGAGCTTGGCTTCAATGTCCCTCTTGCCTGACATCACCCAAGATTTGACCAGGTACTCATAAAAACTATCGCCAAGGCCACCAATGGAAACATGATCTGTGGAAGTGAGAAACACACCATGCTGTGATCTGGGCTGTCACACCAGCAATCACTTCTTTCACACTGCATGGATTTTCAGAGTAGCGCAAATCATTTTGGACGGTGGTCAGCTGCAAAGTGTGTATGTGTCACAGCATGTGCCAACTTGGAAGAAGCAGCCTCCAATGGCAATGCCTTCCTTCTGCTGGTCCCACGGGGTACATGATGGAGCTGCCTTGCTGTACACCTAAGTCAGGGTAGTCAATGCCTGGGTGAGAACCCCAGGCACACCACCTTGGGTTCTGTGATGGAAGGAAGGTGAGATATACATATTCTAAAAAGACACACATGCATAGATACATACGCACACCTATGCCCCTGCTTGCTCCCTGATTTGGGGGACAGAACTGTTTTATTTGATCAAAAGGCCTTTAAACAGTCAATCAGACCATTTGTCTGTGCCCATGTTCTTTAAAAGCAAAACGAAACAGATCTACTTCGGAAGCAGAATTTTGCAGCAGGCACCATATCTGGCCCTCCTTCTGGATGACACCTTTACATCTAGTCCTGTTCCTATACTCCTATGTCAGCTGTTGCCTTTTATCTCGCAGAGGTGAAGCAACTGCAGAGGGTGAGGAAAAGCCGTCAGATGGCAGCATCAAAGCGGCAGTGTAGGGCTTGACCAGATTGCAAGTTCAGAACCTCCAGGCAACTGGCAAAGCCATCTACATTTTATGATGGTGCGTCTCTGCCTGGAGGGACAGACTAGAGTCCTGTGGAGGATCCTACAGCCTGAGCAGATTGACGTGGGCGGAGGTGGACTGAAGACAGCGCTACAATGCCAGGTGTGGAGATGTGCCCAGAATATTCAATTACAGTACTTTTCCAAGGCTACCTGTTCCGCATCCAGCTAGTCTGGGGAAAATCTGCTTGAGAAGCTGGCAGACAGATTTATAACTGTAAAGCACATCAGGGAAATGTAAGTTTTACATCCCAGCAAAGATTCTTCAGGGCAGCCAAAGATGTGCAAATCACCCTCCACCCTGTGTCCATCTGTCTCTCTCTCAAAATAAAAATAAAAAAAGATAAAAAGGGCAGAGAAAAGAGACCAGAATCTACTGCTGTCTATCTATTTCTACTACTGTCTCTGCCGAGTTGCAAGTGCACATAGTCTGCGTCTTTCCCCTTGTTAAGCCACATGGCTTCCTGTTGAAATGCAGGTTAATGTGTGGTGGGGATTTTTTGGGATTAGCTGGTTTCTCTGTTCCTTGCATGCTTTGAGGCTTATCAGAAATACGGAAATCTTGCTTTTGGAGAGACACGAACCCCCTGCTGCATCTCTCTGGCCACAGGCGTCATCAATATGCTTTGCTCTAGCAAAACATAAAGACCCAACAGCTGCGGATGCAACGGGAGGACGAGAACAGTCCACGATCGCAGGCTGCCCTGGATGTCAAAGAAAGGTGCGTGATCCTGCCCCGAGCAGCAGTGTGACTTGCCCACCCAACCGACAAATCTGCTCCTCCCTCCTCTGCCACCACACTCTCTTTTCCACTCTGCATCTTTTCTTCCACTGATCTTGAAGGCAAGACCTAAATCCGGATTAGCAGAAAAAAAGTATTTGCTCAGGGTTTGTTCTTGACTTGCAAATCCTGGCTTGTTGGGGAACAAGGCACCCAGGTTCAGCTGACACACTAAGCTAACCACTTTTGTGTAGCCACTTGTGCTAATGGGAGGTGGAAGTGAACAAGCCACGCGCCGCAGCACATGCCACAACAGCTCATTTACAGCAAGCCAGGCATCACTAGAATCCAGATGTTTCCTGGAAGCCGTCATCACAGTGGCAGTGCCCTCTCCCCACTGGAGCCGCACAGCACTTGACACCTGGCATCCTGCCTCAGAAAGGGTGGGCTTTCTTACACAGTGCGGCCAATTGCTACAGACACGCCTCTGCTTCTCCACGATCCTGATTTAATCACCTTTTACAGCAGCCTAAGGCAGCAGCCATCACCACAACTTGTGAAGTAAATTCTATAAATCAATGTGGGCATTGTGCAAAGAAGTACTTTCTTTTGCCTGCTGCCAGTCAATTCCCCGGTTGACTGAGCTGCAGGAAGCACCAAGGTTCTGGAAGCACTGTATAAATAATCATGATTTAAAGCAGAGCATGTGAACCTGGGTGGACGAGAAAATGGTGTTTGTTGGTGTCAGCAGTTGGGTTGTCAGCAAGCAGCTTTGTCCTGACACTGTGTGGTCTCTGGAATGCAGCTTCCAGAACCAACCCAGTTCACCACCGGAAGAATGATATATGGTGATCGCTTTGTGGTGCCACACTTTGTTTCTCAGATGCACCCAGAGTCCTTCTCCCACAATTGTTTCCTAACAGCAGCAGCAGCAGATTCCTCTTCATATTGTTATTTACATTTCCAGAATGTCCAACAGCCAAAGCTCTCTGGAAGGTTTACAAAAGATTAAAACCTTACCAGAATAATACATAAAACTATTTACACAGGAAAACAACTGAAACCCATCAAGAGCAGAAATCCCAGGGCAAGGGAACACCCGATCAGATCCTTCAGTGGCATGCTGCCTCGAAAGGTGGCCGATCCTCATGGCCAGCAACCAGTGACGGGCATCTTCTCCTCAGGAAGTGGAAGTCTTGTCCAAATGATGAGAAGAAAAGGGAACAGAAACACACATCTGCACAACACAGACCATTACTGCCAGGGTCCAAGGCCAGGACATGGGCAGCAGGAGATAAGGCAGAGGCATGGGAACCAGGACAACAGAACTTGAGCCACAACAGAGGGCAAAGTCCAGAAGCAAGGTTTAATGGCAAGCCCAAGGCACAGAGCAAGCCGGGGTCGGGAACCAGGAGTATGTCACAGGGTAGAACAAGGATGTGGTGATGAACAAACCAAGGGCCCAGAACAGGAAGACAACAGAGGAAGGATGACTGGGCAGGGTACATGGTAATGCAGCACACAGAACTAGGGTCCGGATGCAGCAAGGGGTGGGCGAGAGGCAGGAGCTGAACTGCACGACACTAGCAGGAAGACCTGCACTGCTGAGGTCAGACAGTGGGGCAGGATCTGGGGCAGACAAGATGGAGGCACTACAGCCAACAGGGATGAGCACCAGTTGAGGCAGCCGCTAAGATCTGCTCTTCCCCCAGAGCTCCTGTCACTGGGCTGACAGCTCCAGCAGGGCCTGAGACTGATCCTGTGAATACTGTGGTGACTGTCCTGGTTCTGTCCACCAGAGCAGCCCGGATCCTGACAATACGTGATGCAGCTTACTAAAAGAAACAGACCGGCAACAAAGGATTCTTTAAATACATTAGAAGCAGCAAACTGACAAGGGAGAAAGTAGAACTGTTGAGCAACAAGGGAGCTAAAAGTGTGCTAAAGCAGGCTGCTGAGACCCTGCCTGAAATCCTAGACGGCCGCTGCCACTCAATGCATGCAACGCCATGCTAGGTGGAGTAGCGCTTCCACACAGGAAAAGACTCACTGGCAAATTTTTCAATTAATGAATCTTCTGGCATCTACCCAGGAGTCCTTAAAGTGCTCAAACGTGAAACTGCTGATCAGAGAGGCGCAATAAGTAGACAGATTTCTCAATGCAGGAACTGAAGAAGAGGGTCACCCCAAGGGCCAGTGCTTTTAAACTTCCACGAGGGCCAAGTCTGCTGACAACACCAAAACATTCTGGTTGTTAAAAACAAAAAACTGATTGCATAGAGCTCCAAAATGATGTCTCTCAGCTGGCAAATGGGCAAGAAAACAGCAAATGCAGCTCAATGTAAGGAAGTGTAAAGTGACGCACCGTGTGCCAAGGGAGCCCTAATTTCACATATACACTGATGCAGCCGGGCGGAAGGGACTGACCAGAAACTAAATCCTGAAATTGTGTGCATTTAAGCTTGATGAAAAGATCAATCCAATATGAAGCAGCTATGAAAAACATGAATTCCATGCCAGGGATCACTGGGAAAGGGGGTCCAAAATGAAATAGCTGATCTTGCAACACCTTTGCACAAGTTAGTGGTGGAATCACACTTGGAAGACTGGGTACAGTCCTGGTTCCTGCATCTCAAAAATAACACTGAAGAGCTGGAATAAGTATAGCAGGAAGGACTGCTCTCAATGGCTATTAGCCTTGCTGGAGATGGACTACCTCTGTTATCAGAGAGCCAGTTGACTGAGGAGCACGGGCAGGGTGACCTCTTGCACCCCTCACTTCTTGAGGAATCCTGTGAACAGCTGGTTTGCCACCACGTGAACCGAGTGCTGATATAGACAGACCACTGGTCTGATCCAGCATGGCTTTTCTTCTTATTATTGTATAGAAGAGAAGCGCCAAAATAACCAGGGGGCTGGTTAACTCCCCTGTGAGGAAGGGCTACATTTGTGACTTCTTTGAAAAAGGGAGTCAAACATATATGTTTCTAGGATTATCTGTTGTATGGAGAAAGTAGATCATTTCTTCTCCTTCTCTAATATGAAGTCTTGAATTTTCCAGTGTAGCTAAATGGGGAGAGATTCAGGATAGGCAAAAGGAAACTTTTCTTCATACAGCGCAGAGTTGAAATTATAGAATTTGCTACCACAAGATGTCTTGACTGCCACCAGATTAGATGGCTTCAAAAGTGGCTCTGAGCATAGTGGCTAGTAACTCTACTATGTACAGTATCAGAGGCAGCATGCCCTGAACACCAACAGTGCCGGGGAACGCGAGTGGGAAGAAGCTGCTCCGGCACTCATGTTCTGCTTGTGGGCTTCTCAGGAGGGCATCTAATTGGCCATGGGGGAACTGAATGCTGGGCTACTGCTGGACTTTCCCCACAGAGGACTCCGGGCTGTAGCACTGCCACTGAAACCACCTGGGGGCATTTCCTGAGACATTCTCTCTGCCCTCACCCCAAGCTGACAAACAGCAGTTCTTTGGACTCTCCAACCCCAAAGCCACCTCCAGTGCCCTGATCAGAGCAGCCAGCCTACTACTGAAGCAAATCACAAGACCACTCTAGGCAGCTCCTGCTGCAAATGAGTGGCTACTGCAAACAGAGAGTATGTGTATGAACGGGAGAGGGAGAAGGGGAGGGAGAGGAGCTGTGGTCGAGGTGACTGAAGATGACTGGCCTTGAGTGAGGAACACTGTTTTATAGGATTCTTCCTGCTGGCAACTGGGGTGTTGTGTTCATCCTGCGGGGAGGGATGTGTGAAGACCCAACAGCTGGATGAAAAATGAACATTCTTTACTTACCAGTGAATGCCTGCTCTGCACAAGTGATGGAGGCCAGCTAGGAATGGGAAGGCCCTGCCTCCCTGGAGCTAACTGGCCTCTTGCACTTGTGAGAGAACTGGAAGTTTTTCACAGTTTGAACCCCCAGATGCTGTCTCACTAGCCTTGCACTGGCACTGACTCACTGTTCTGTGAGTCAAGCCAGCTTGTGGATTTCCATCTCTAAGACAAGCCGTGGTTTTCACATTTTTAAAAAAGTCAACACTAAGAACATGTGCAAGAATCACGTGTTGCACAAATTGTGCTATTTGTGCAAATTGTGTAAACTCACACAAACTACACCATTTGGTCACGTTTCCTTACTGGTTTAAAAATATGAGCAAACCATGGCCCATCTGAGAGAATGAAGTCTGTGGGGGGAAAACCTTCTTGGGTTGCTTTTGACCTTTAAATGGGAAGTGGGCAGGAGACTTTTCCAGCTCGAATGAGCCGGTGTCCCTGCAGGGGCCGCTCGTCCGTGGTGCTGGGGGTCTTTCTTGGGTTTGGGTGTCAAGAGGTCCTTGGCGGAGAGAAGGGCTCCAAGGGTGAGGGACGAGTCTTTTGCACTGATTCAGTAGAATCATTCTGAAGCGCATAATGAGCTCCTTGATCAGCATCAGCGAGGATTTTAATTTGGCAGCTAACGCTTTCTTGGCTTAGGGCCCTCACACTTGTAGAGGCGCTAGAAAGTTTGACACGCACCGATAAGCTTTCATTCAGCTTAGCCAAAGAATGTTTAATACTCACGCTGCACCCAGTTCCCAGTGACTGGACTGAGGAAGTTAGGATAAAGTCCCTGCGGTTTCTCAATTCTGTTCAGCACTTTGCGGATGTTCATCACCTACAATGGCAGGGGGAGGGGGGTGAAGAGAAGCCAGATAAGCCTCTGTTTTCCTCATCCACAAATGCAATTTTGAAGAAGACAAACAAGCCACCCACCAGATCTTAAAGCAGCATCCCCTACCAAGCACCTTTAGTTTCAGCCAGCTCTGCAGGTTCACTGTCCTTCACTGCAAAGGCCAATGGTATCCTTTGTTTTTGAATTTCTCATCTTAGGGAGAAGGCATATTACAAAACATGCTACTCTTGTGTAAAAGGAATCTTAAGCCTTCTATCTGCCAGAGCAGGTATACGTTTTTGGCACTTGTTTACAAAGCCCTGACCTGCCCGATCACCTGGCTGCCTGTCCCTTGCTGCACTCACCTGCTAATACTTTCCCTGGTGGTGCCCCAAAATTCATGTATTTGGTCCCTGATGGGTCAGAACAGAACCACTGGCATCACACTGCTCACCTCTCCAGAACTCCCTAGGGGTCCAAATTATAAGGACATCCACATTTCTGGGTTTTCAGTGCCTGCTGAAAACATAGTTTTCGCAACAAGTGTTCTGAGGAAGATAATTTACTGGCTGGGTTCCGGCAACATGATCACCCACACTCAGGAGCTGAGACTGGATGGCCACTGAAACATGGATTATTGTATGGTCTGAAACCAGCTGCACTAAAAAAACAAACAAACCAAGATTAGCCACCAAGAATTCACAGTTCAATCACCAACCATGGGTTCTTAGAATGAGTTGCTTGTGCTTAACAAATCATGGCTTGCTAGTGGCTCAGACAACTTATTACCCATGTTTCAACAATAACCCACAGTTCGATGGCAGTCTACACTCAGTCTGGAGTGTGGGTTACTCTGTATTGTTTGAACATCACTCAACCTTTCTTTTAAATTAAGTGATTCATAAACTGCTCAGAATCAGGAATGGATGATGATGAGCATTTTCCATTGGTTGCCGCCAGCTTCTGGTACTCCAAAGTATATTGCTTGAAAGCATGAAGGTTTCAGATGGCTATGAAGGGTAATATTCACTGACAGACCTATCCTACGGTGGCTATTGCTTGCCAGCAAATCCTATACATCTGCTTCAGGGTCCATGAAGGCTAAAGGCATGGGGCTGACAAATAAAGACCTTTCTGGTCAGCCCCTTCCAGCCCAGCAAGTAGACAGAAAAGAAGCAGACACAACAGGAAGTGTCCTATAAGGCTGCCCATTGGATGAGAAGGGGGTAAGCAACTGCAGTCTGTGTCTATCAAGTTCCTACACATACCTTTAGCCACAAAGCTCTGGAAGGTTTGGAGATTTGTAGCCCTAGGCAACCAAAGAGCGAAGAACAACAGTTAAAGAGCAGCTATGAATGGGCAAGGTCTGGCTTGAAAGTTGTCAACTGCCAACTGCTGCTGCATGGTCCTATTATAGGAATGGGCAGCTTGTGACCTTCCATATGTTTCGGCCTATAACTCCAGTCAAACTTAGCTGGCATATGCACTAGTAAGGGATAGGGAGAGTCATAAGCCAAAATGTGGGAGGCCACAATTTGCCCGTTCCTGCCATAACTGGCCACAGCAAAGATCCTTGGTGATAAATAGGTCCAGAGCAGAAAGAAATCAGGCAGGTGGTCTTGCACAACTCCCACTGAACTCAACAGGGTTTGCTTTTATGGGAAGTGTTTTTGGTAAATTATGCCTTTTATCTTTTACGGAAACAAGCTAAACTGACCGTCTGCAGACAGGATACTTAACCATGGTTTAAGGTTTAATGCACAGTTGGGTTAAGCTGTAGTATCACCCCATTTGCTACAAGTGAGGATGTGAAACTATGCTTTAAAATCGAGTTTGCAAACTACAGTTTGCACTGTACTCTGTTATGCCTCTCTTAAGCAAACACAGTTACAAAAGCTTAACTCTGAGGTGGATTGCCAGGTGAAAGCAACAAAACAGATTTATGATGGAGGTTTTCAAAAGGAAAAAAAAGCAGGCTTAAATGTTATTGCTGCATTGGGCTATTATCAACTGAAAGGTTGGTCTCAGACACAAAGTCGTGAGACGCTGGCTCAAAGGAAGAAGGTGGCATAGTAACAACATGCCAGAGGCCAGATGCAGATTGGCAACGCGCTGTGAAAATGGCCCGTAAGTCGCTGGCTGTGAGCTAATGAGCTGCTCTGCTTTTTGGAAGCCCATCTCCCTTCGGATGGCTGTTTGAAACTGGCTCCTCCTGCGTGCTTTGTTTTCTCACACGGCTTTAGCTTTAATCTACAGCGTGTTCCGGGTGGGTGAATCCATTAACAAGCCAGTTCTCACACTTATTGATTGGCTGGACTTATTAACAGAATGGAGATGCAATTGGTCTCTTGAAAAAGCGTTAAGGAAAGAACCTCGTCCCCTCTGCACAAATTCAGTGGACTCCCCATACACAGACCGGTATGTCAGGAACCAGACACTTCTGAGTTAATCCTAAATTCCAGTAGGGTTTCATTCCTTCTCCCTGGCGTGTCTGTGTGCCTTGTTTCCTTCCTCCTATCTTCTGTGCCTGCCCTTTCCTTCAAATGTTCTATTTTCCAGTCCACATCGTCATCCTGATATAGCAGTATTTCCACTACTCTACTTCATCCATACTGTATCTTCTCTGCTCCATTCCCCGGTTTCCCACTGCCCTGCTGCCCTGGCTGATTCCCTCTTCCTTCCCAAGCTCTCCCTGCACCCTGCTTGCATCTGGTCCTCCTACAGGCCCTATTTCCTGCCACCAAGTGGACAGAGGAGTGCCCACCAGCAATGGATTGATCTTGGGAACCGGCTGCTCTGGGGCTGTTCCATCAAAATAACAGGGAGAATTATCAATGCTTTTTTATGCCATGAGTGGCCAACCTGTTCAGCTGGACTTGAGGTATTTGTTCTGATACTAATTGGAATAATTTGTCTCCTTCAGAGTAGGCTATTCCAGGACTGTTGAGGTGGAGGAAAGCCAATGAGAGATGCTCTCCAGCAGCAAATCTAGTTCTTCATGCACTCACATATACTATTACGAGAGCACAGAATGAAACCTTGAGGTAAAATCTAGTAAGATTGTTAGCAGAAAGTGACTCCTAAAGAATTCCAATAATCCTCTGGAAAAAAGATGCTTCATAATCACAAAATACAGCGTGCACCCACAGCTACAACCCATCAGGCTGCTTAACAGCTACTTCTGCATGCCTAAAACATTTGGAGAGGGCAGTAGGTGAGTCTCCAGCCTCCCTGGAAATGGCCCATAAAATTGTCATAAAGGTGCTCACAGAAAGAACTGGAGCTTGGCCATAAATGTGCATGGGAAAAGCCTCTCTGTCAGCCAGAGCTCGGTCATCTGAGGGTTTCACAGCCAAATCATTTGCAGCATCTTCATCATGCCAGGCAGTGCCTCGATTTGCTGAGGATGGCCAAAAGATGCCCAGATACAGCAGCTGGGCTTCACCCCCATCAGGCTTTACTCTGACAGATCCCTGGGTCTTGGTGCTGGACAGACTGCTGGCAGAAGAGGTTCTCAAGCAACTCGAGGCATCTCACCAGAGTCTCACTGCCACAGCCTTAAGCACACCCAGCCAGGCAACCATGCACTTGCTCTCAATCAATGAGGAGGCAATGGGTGGATTGGGGTGCACCAGTGCTGCCCAGTACCATCTCACAAACTTCCATGATGTCCCACGGGTACAGCAGCGAGCAAACACATAAAGAACAAGGGAAATACTTGCCTTTTCAGCATATATTGAATTCCCAGACAGCTCTGAGAGGTGCAGAAATTCTAGGTGGAGGCTGCCAAATTCGGCTAAAATGCTGCTTCCAGCAGATGCCCATCCCCAGCTCCAGCTCATCCCGCTGTAGGAACAGGAAAAAGAACCCCAAAAAAATCCTTAAGCACATGAAGCAGAATTTGATGATGCCCTCTGCAAACCTAGCATGGCACCAGGGCTCCACTGGCAGGGTCCTTTGAAGAGAAGGCCAGTAGCGCTCCAGAGACTGCTGACCCCTGGCTGTTCTGCACACCGGCCACTACAGAGTCCCAGGGGCCTGCCAAGTGCACTCCCGGGGCAGGATGACTTTACACAGGAAACATCTCCAGGGCAGGGAACACGGCATGCAGAAGGTTCGCAAGTTCCTTTCCAGGGAAAGGAACAGGGACAGCAGGCAAAAGCCTCCACCTAAATGCCTGGGGAGCCACTGCCTCTCCAAGTAGACTGTACTGGACTGGAACCAGTATGCAGCAGAGGTTAGTGTTAGACTGAAGGCCTGGCTTATTTAGAAGGCCCAAAAGAATCCTACACTTTTTAATGCTAGGCTCCAGGGACTGCTGCTTTGCAATAGCCAGTTCTTGCACTGTGAATGCATGGAGTGCTTTACCTGGATAGGGGCCTGCGCATCCATAAAACTAGCACAGACAAACACAGATCCACACAGGGATGGCCAACGAGAGCATTGCATACACTTCTGCATGTATGTATCTGTGTTCACAAGGAATGTACATATGGGCAAGTCATCAGGCATCAAGAGCAACAGGATCTTCCCAAAGCTGGCTTGAAAGAGAAATCCACAGCCTCAGATCCAAGCCCGTAAGCAAACAGATCCTGCTTCTTCCCTTATCCAAAACAGCTCGTCTGGTCCTGCATCTTCTGAGCGCTGTAAGGTGCACTATGGCATCAGAAGAAGAGACTTTCTGTGGTTTTGCCATCCTGCCTGGGTGTTTCAATCTCTCCACACAGCATCTTTGATTATAGCCTTTTAAAATCATCTTAGCCTCTTCAGCTTATGTGCTGCAACCTATGTCTTCAGGGTCCAATCTGAAAATAGCCTCTGCAGCTGCTGGCCTGGCAGAAACTCAGCACTTTTCACTGCAGGAGAGATGCAGGCCTGGTTCTGGGATTTCTTGATTAGCATGATTATGGGTGGCAGATTGCTGTTAATCCCCCCCCCCCCACACACACACACCATTTCAAAGCAGGAATTACTGTTGCTCCAACTGGGGGTAGGCAGCAGATGGCACCAAAAGGCTTGTGCACCAGTTCCAAGTGCTGCCACTAGTTCAGGGTTTAAAAACATGTGCTCCTTTGCTGAAACACCATCTCTTTTTTGGAGAGATGCGGGAGTGGATGAATGGGCTTTGGGAAAACGAGGCATTCTTAGGGGCAGAATTTGATCCAAATTCGTGAAAAGGTCTGTCAGCAGCCCTGATGGCTCAATGGAACATCCACGCCACACGTTGGGGGAGAAGCAACAGGAGGAGACTGTCGTGTTCATGCTCTGAGCCCATGGAAACAAGATGCTGGGACTTGAAGGGTGCGCCTATATTTAAAAGAGGTCCTTAAAAGCTCTCCATGAAGGTTTCTTATTTTCTGACATGAAAGGAGTAAGACTCAGAGCCTACAATTTTAGGCTGATGTTATTAGCCAAGTCAAAACCTGTTGCCACCAGGACCTGCCTCTCCCCATATCATTAACCACAGGCTGTATTTCTCTGCAAGGTCACACAGTCCCTGACTGCCCACCCTGCACCTGAAGCTGGATGTTGACCAACTCTGGCAATGCGACTTCAGGAACCTGTCTTACTCCGCTCAAGGCTCCTAGGATGGGATAGAATCCAATGGGACCCTGGGCAGACTGATGCAAACTGGAGCTCACTCCGGGACAGCTGTTGTCTCAGCAGCAGGCAGAAGCTTTAGGAAAACTGGCCAGGCTGAGCTTGCTGTTAACCCTAGCCCTTTTGGATTTTGCCTGGTTCTACAATTGCGGGCTCTCCAGCATGGAGACAGGAAGACCTCTTGGCAGTGGGAAGGTGGGCCCCCTGACTCCAGTCTCATCAAGCCAAATCTTCTGGGCTGAAAGGCCATAGGTAGCAATCAATGCCTCACTGGATTATGGCTCTTCCAGCCTGGGAGTCCTTCTCTGAGCCAGACGGTATGAGATCAAGGCAAAGAATGTGCAGCACAGCAACCAAGCCTTCCCTCAACCCTGAAGCTGGAAAGGGGGCAGGCAGGGCTGTCCAGGTGCTGGGCCTGGCCTGCCATACCTCCGCAGCTCTAAGGTTGGGATGAAGGCAGGGCCTTCTCACACTCACAAGCAAACATGTGGGCACCTAAGACAGAACCTTCTGCTCCTTGCAGCCTTCAACAGCTGATTTCAGGGCCAGTCTGAGCTATTTTGCATCACACAATCTGAAAGACGCAACTGTCCAATCCACAGTCTCTTGTAAGGTTGCTGAGACTTAGCTCTCTGGGGCAATGCCTACCCTGTGGCACCTCCACGGAACCTCTGCAGCACCCTGGCAGGCGCTTGGGGCATTTCTTTCAGAACAGGGCCCCAGAAACTTTGGGTCAGTGGGCACATTTGGAACTTCGGGAGAATGTGTGGCTGCTCCCACAAAATGACTGCCATGGGGAGGCTGCCCATTCCTAAAATGGCTACCATGGTGGGGACAGACAGTCGCAAAGCAGTCCTTTCCCAGGAGGAGGACTAGTGAGGCCAAAAGAGAAGTAATTTGCCCAATAACCGAAGTACATGACAGAGCTGAGATCTGAGCTACAAAACACAGAACCACTCTTTGGAACTAAAATGATGATGGAGCTGGAGGGCAGAACATTGCTTTGCTTCCTCCCACTTTATTAAAAAACAAACAAAGCCCTCTCACAAAACCAAGAGGGCCAGGGAACCCAGAATGAGCCGAGAGAGGTATCCATGCACTGATGCCCAGGCACACCATGCTGGAGACCCCTCTCTGCTCCACAGCTATTCCTGGCAGCTGAGTTCTGTTCTCTCACTGGGTGGAGGGGGATGACCCATTCAGCCAAGTTGAATGTGGATTTAGTTCTGACTTTAAAGCACATTTTTTCCCCTCAGTGGTCTTCTCAGGCTGACCTTCCTCTTTCCTCTACCATTCACTCCAATCCCCGTCCTTTGTGGATCTAGACTCAGACTAAAGCCCAAGGCAAGCCCTGTGCCTCTTGCTTTGTTTCACACTGGCCAGTTCGTGTGCACACTCTGGAAATAAACATCAAATTAAATGCAGAAATGTTGGGATCAACATTTTGCTATGGCTTTCTTTTTAGAATATTTTTTAGGATGGTGGTTGCCTAGCAATCCATCCTCTGTACCACTGCAGCTAAAGCAAGATTAATAGGGTCAAGTTGTATGAAATTTCTTGGGTCATAAATCCTGCTTGATTTCCCTCTAGTAATGGGTCCCAGTTATGATTTTAAATAACAGAAAACTGAAAGGTAATGTGTGTGGGGGAGGGGGGAGAGATTCTGGCTGGCTTTAGTTAGCAGCAGGAGCACTTGGGCTGCTTTCCTCTGCTCACCGCCACCGTGCGCTGCAGAAAGATTTCTTGCACCCCTTTGGGTTTGTGCTCAGATATGTTCATTCAGCACTTGCAGAATCTCCAAACCCTCCAATCAAAGGCTTGTTGTTTGTTTGGAGACGTAAAGAGTCAAAAAGCCTCCAAACATTTCAGCATTAGCCAAGGTCACCAGGGGACGTTTGGGGATGTAGCAACTGGGGTTGGTAGTTTATTTAAAAAGCCCTCTGGCGAGAGCAGCCTAAACTTCCCCCAGCAGCTGTCTGTGCAGGAAAGAGAGACAGAGAGAGCAAAGGGTTTGGCACAGAGAGAGAGTGAGAGAGCACAAGGGCTGGAAGAAAATGAGAAAAAGAGAGGGAGAAAAAGGGTGATAAAAAGAGATGAGTTTGGCAAGAAGAAAGTGAGAAAACAGTGGATGAAAAAGAGAAAGAGAGTGGGGAAAGGTGTAGCAGAGAGAGGGAGAGACACATGCAGAGAGAGAGACAGAGGTGACTAAGGAAGAGGGAGAGAGAAAGGGGGCAGAAAAAGGTAGACAAGGGGATAGCATGGAGAGAGAGGGGGAAGGAGAAGGGATTGTTTCCCTAAGCGAATGTGGCCCTCAAAAGAAAAAAAAAATATTATCCACCCTAGTCTACAGCGATATTCTTGTCCTCTCAACTGCCTTCATGAAGGACCTGGCAGGCTGACCAAAGCTTTCCTGATAAAGGATTCAGGCAGACTAAAAATGCGGAAACTGAATCTTCAAAAGAACAGCATCCTGACCCAAACCTTGATAGTGAATGGAATTGCGGGGAGGGGAACAAGTGTTTTCAGTGAAGTGAGATGAAAAGAGGACCAAAACATGAGCGTATGACCTCCCAGGTAACAGGGCTGGCCATAGGTCCACTTTAGCCCAGAATCCACCCCCCCCCACCCCAGTTTGGTTGACTTTGACCTTTCCTTGTTTAAGGCCTCAAGCCACCTCACATATATTTACTTATTTGCATTTTTTTAAAGAAAAACACACCATTAAGAACAATGAAAACCAAGCTTTCCTTGAACTATTCCAGCACACCCAAAATAGCTAAAGCCCTTTGGCAGCCACACTCAGACCAGCTGGCCATTAATTCAGTTCCTGTTAGGCAGGGGAAGGCACAGACTCCCAGCAGCTGCTGGCCTTCTGTGCAGAGGCTGTGCCCACATTCTTCCCTTCACTGAAGGGCCTGAGGCTGGATTCTTCCACGAGCCAGTGGCTCCAGAGGGGTGGAACGCTCCCAACTCTTCCTTTGGAAGATGCAAACTTGGGAGAATTCCATCTCCCACACCCATAGCTTCTCTCCTTGTCTCAGCTGCTGTGCGTGGGTGGGAGGGAACAAGAAACCCTTTTAAAATGACCCCCAACCTGTATCTGGAGGTGGAAAAATTGACCGGGGGGGGGGGCGGATGAGTGAAAGCTGACAGAGGGGAAGTGAGATCTTTCTGAATATTGTTTGGAAGAGAACTGCAGAGATGGAGGGAAAGTATGATAAATTATGCATGATACAGAGAAAATGGAGAGCCTCCCCCCCACCTTAACTCTGCGACTTGTGATTATATTAAAATGGCGTTAAGAGCAGGAGGTGGATGGTGCTAAGAAGGCTCAAACTAAGGGCTTGAACAAAGAAATGCTTCAGGGCAGGTTTCGGAAGCTAGTAAAACTCACTCAAAACTGATCCAAATGGATTAGATTGTGGTTTAGGAAAATTCAGGTATAAACCACTCCACATCAAAAGAAATCAGAACCACATATAACAACTAAAATATAAGATACAAAGCAAAATAATAAAGGCAGAAAGGACATTCTGCAGGATGGGAGCCAACAGGCTACAGGCCCTTCTCCTGGTGGGTTCGGAGTGGATCTTTGACCCATGTGGCACCACCAGGTGTGGCTCCTCAGAAGGCTTACATGATTAAGGGTGGTGGCATTTTCTTAAGGATCCCAGTCCCAAGAGAGTCCAGGACAGGCCCAGGGGCAATAGGTGGTCAGTGCAGAGTCCTCTGTGGCCAAGAAGGAGCAGCATCTGGGTAACAAGAGGACTTTCTGCACCAGCTGAAGCTTCCTGACCAGCCTAGAGGACAATCCCACTTATTATTTCTTTGAGGGCCAGTGAGCTGCCTGGAGTGTTATTTATCTATTAGATTTATACACCACCTTTTCCTTTCTTTAAGAAGTCAAAGCAACTCACTTCATTCTCCTCCATCTGCTCTCAATGTTATCCCCACAACAACAACAACCCTGTGAAGTAGGTTGGCCCAAAGCTACCCAGTGGGCTCCATGGCTGGGTGGGGGCTAGAACCCAGGCCACTTCAGTCCCACACCCACACTATTAACCACTACACCACACTGCCTCTCAAGTGTATTAGGCTGGGTCTCAGGAAACCTGGGTTCTAGTCCCTAATCAGCCACGAAACTTTATGTGCGCGTTTGGGCCAGTCGCTGTGCCTACGGTGTATCCCAGGCTGTTGTGAGGATAAAATGGAGAGGCAAGCCAACTTAGCCACACTGGGTTCCCCGCAAGTGGAATAAAAGCAAGACATGCATCAACATGATGTATTCTTCTCCTCTACAAAATTATTCCCAGATTTATTTCTGGGTGTGAAAACTGCCCCACATCTAGAATCTTATGGAGGTGGCACTGAAGTCACTGTTGACTTAGTTGAAACACTGTTCTCAATGCTGGGAATAAATAATAGCAGAAGGTTGTCACCTTCATAACAGCTGGTACAGCACAGTGGGAAGGGTGCCTGGTTGCGGAGTCAGGATCTCGTATGATTCTCTACTTGTGCTTCCTGGGAAAAGTCCTGCTGAAGATCACTCAGTAATATGCATAGCTGGTTTTATTAAGTACCCTGCCACTGGTGCCAGCCCTGGGCAAGCTACATGGCTCTGACGGTCCATCCGCACCCCATCCACGGAGTGGGAAAACTATGAGCCTGACAAGACAGAGAGGCGCCCGGAAGCCTGTGTGGTGCGGTGGTTCGAGTGAGGGACCAGGGACCTCAGAGATCCGAGTTCCAGCCCCCACTTGGCCATGAAGCTCTCTGGGTGACTTTGGACCAGCCACGCACAACGCAGCCTAGCCAACCTCATAAGGCTGTTGTTGCAAGAAAAAAAAGGATGTGAGAGAACTATGTAAGCCACCTTGGGTTCCTTATGAGAGGAAAAAAGGGCGGACACGTCTGAGATCCTTGGAGGCATCTGGCTGGCCACTGATGAAAACAGGGAAGCTGGACAAGGTAGACATTTAGTCTGACCAAATGAGATGCGCCTGTATTTTTAGTAGGTGGTACATTTGTTTGTTTGATTGATTTATATCCTGCCTTTTTCCTACAAAGGGCTCAAGGCAGCTACATCTCCTCCTCTATCTCATCCCCACAACCACAACCCTGTGAGGTAGGTTGGGCTGAGAGTCTGTAATTGGCCCAAAGTCACCCAGTTGGCTCCATGGCCGAGCGGGGACTAGAACCCAGATTGTCGGAGTCCCAGTCCCATACTCTTAACCACTACGCCAGACTGGCTCTCAGCCCAACCTATCTCACAGGGTTGTTAGAGATAGAGAATAGAGAATTTGTTAGAGATAGAAATAGAGACAGAGAACTTGTTAGAGATAAGAGAATAATGATATATGCCTTGCCTGCCCAGGTTTATGACTCCCCGTGGGATACCCGTTGGTGTGTTGAAGGCTGGCAGAAGCTTCTCGCCAAGTTCTAGAGCCTTGCTCCTGAAGATCTGTTGAAAGAAATAGAGAAGGTCATTTGAAATTTAAAAAGGAGGAAAAAAGGACTGTCTGGAGATTGCAAAATTGTGCTGGATTTCTAAATATACCCCTTCATAATTTCAACCACTGGGAGAATCTAGGTTTCTTTTCACTCCACACGGACACATCAGTGCGTCTTGGTGCTTTTGCTCAGCGTGACTTCAGAGAGCCTGGGCTGACCGCTAGCATGCCAGCAGCGAAAAGCTCATGATCAAAACGAGCTGAGAAATCTTCACAGGACTTGCTTTGTGGTGGTGATGGTGGCAAAGTCATCTTGCTTCCCCACCCCTTTTGCATTAGTCCAATGTAAGAGCATAAGAGCTGTGCTGGATCAGGCAAAGTTCATCTAGTCGAGCATTTTGTTCACACAGCGGCCAGAGACCAGCAAATGCTTTTTTCAGCAAGCTGAAGGCGGTGTGAAGGAGGCACCGCTGTCTGTGGCATGTCTATTTCTTCCTGCTCTCATCTCTGGTAAACTGCAAAACCTCCTATGACCAGAGATGATAGGGAGACTGGGAAGAGATGAGCATCCAGGCCACAGGCAAGGGTGTCTCTTCCAAACCATTTTCAACCATTAAACTGATCTCCATCTCCAGTGCAAGCGGCCAGGAGACGTCAACACAGAAGTACTACAAATATTGCCATCCTGCACCTGTATCCTCAGACATAAACCTCACTGGGTTGAAAGTAGGGAACCATTTCTAGAAAGGTGTGCAGAGGGTCACAGCTTAATCCAGCCTGCTTCAATCTGGTGCCCACCACACGTGCTGGACTACAGCACCCAGCCTGCCCCAACCAGCCATGCAACCACGGATCACTGTCAAGCAACCTTACCTTGGGCCAAGGATAAGGAATGCTTTTTTTTTGGGGGGGGGGGTGTCCAAGGCTGAATTCCCTGGGACTAATCTATCCGAAGGTGCATGCTGGGAGTGGATGGGCCAGAATCAGGACCAGGCAGGACCACCCCTTTCCCGGTTTCTGTTTTCCTATTATCTCTTTGGCATTCGCATCGCTGCTCTGCATGCAGAAGGCCCCACGTTCATCTCCAGCTCCTCCAGGAAGGACTAGGAAAGAAGCCTGCCTGAACCCCTGCAGAGCAGCTGCCAGTCCATGGCCACAATCCTGAGAGATCGGTTGCAGAGGCTTTTGAAAATGGGCCGCAGGCTGCAGGTTGCCCACCCCTGCCTTAAAAGGGTAGAGCAACATGGCTTTTACATCCACATAAATAAAGGAGAGGGGAGTGTATCTGATGCATAGAGAATGTTAAAAGGATTCCAGTGCATTGGTGCTGTTAACTCAAAAGCATCCTCCTTTCTGTTGGCCTGCCTCTTGGCATTCTCCCCCCTCTGCTCCCACTGCACCACGCATAATTTCTCTTTACAAGCAGGCCTTGCATTATCAGGGGAAATGGACGATGAAGTGGATTATGCAAAAGTGTGTGTCTGCATCTGGCAGGAAAAACGTGGCATCTCCTCGTGCGCCTCCTAAGTCACCGGAGCTGCTCCTTTAAACCAACTGAGTAAAGACTAACCAGGCGAGTCAAAGGTTTCAGCTTCCAATCCTGGCACCTGAACGTCTGCCAACTGGGAGAGGCTGGCTTATGGCTTTTCTCCGCATATTCTTATGCTAATGCCTTGGCAGGCCTGCCTTAACTCGGCTTAGGGAAGTGTGATCAGAGAGCAACATTCATGTGATTGCGGTGGCTCTTAGGAGGGTGAGGAGGTGCTGCATGAAGAAACTTCCATGCCAAGGACAAATAACGTTTCAGCAAACAGGAACCACGAGAGGTTTAAACCACTGAACCCAGCCACAACTGTTCCCAATAGCGGTCAGTAAACCAGCCCTGCACAGCCTTCTGCTGACAGCTTATTCCTACACAAACAGTAGTATCTGGACCTGTATGTCCATGGTTATCTTCTCTCCCCTGCCAATCCCTCTGTCAACTGTTTACTGTTCTAGTCAATTTATCTGTTTACATTATTTGTACACTGCTCCATTTCTCAGCAAATTTAAAATTCCTCTCCTCCCCACTTTTTTAATGTGGCAAGTTGCTTCTTGGCCTGAACCCTCCAAATGGGGACCTGCTCAAATGGAGGCAAGTTGCACCCACTTCGTTTGAGAGCAAACTACTAGCAGTGGTAATCTGTGCTCAAGAGATTACTCAAGATAAAGAGGGAGCTTCTTAAGTGACTTAAGAGATCAAGCCCAACCCTTTTAGTTCTAGCCCCTCTAGACCAGCCCAATCTGCCATCAATGACTTCAAGAGGGCAGGAGATCCCACTGCAGGAAAAGTCCACCCAGACTGCTTCCCGTGTGCTTCCAGGCCTTTACAGGCTACCAGAGATTTTATTCAAAAAGGAAAAAGAGACAGACAGACTGACGCACTGGGTTAGCTTCAGCTGTACTGAACCCCAACCACATCTGTGAAGCTGCTGGTGGTGGCAGATAGGCTGCTGGGAAGCCCTCCCCAACCTGATGCCTTCCAGACGGGTTATGTTGGGACTTATACTCCAACACATCTGAGCTGCACCACATTGGAGAAAGTGTCTGAAAGGGAAACCTTGCCCAACATCCACAGCCCTTTCACACATGTAAAATCCCAGATACCCAAATCCAAGAGCAGCTGGATCAGCAGGTGTTATAGTGAAAATCTTTCTTTTTAAGAAATCTAAGATTTTAAGCAGTGGCATTTCCTAAGAAATCAATTGTTTTTCCTAAGAAATCCTTTCTGGAGTAATTTCTGATGCATTCTAATGATCCATAAGAAAACTACTGGCAAGCAAGTCTGTGAAAAGAATAGTTGATAAACAAGTTTACTTAAAAGAGTATTAATTATATTGTTGGCTTTTCAATATTTTAAATATTTCTACATGTTTTGAAAGTCTGCTATTCAGATACAGGAAGTCCCCAGGTTACAAATGAGTTCTGCTCCTGAGAAAACAGAAATTCATTTTTTAGTTCAATCTGTATATACGTTGGATCACGTATGGTCGGCCTTCCACATTAACAGGAGTTAGGGGTACAGGACCCATGAAAGTGAAAAAACTGCAAATATTTCTGCACCCCCCCCGCCACCACCCCAAGAAAATGTGGGAGAGGTTTCCTTCTCCAGATAGGCAGGGCAGGAAGACCTGCTTTGGAGGCCTCCCTCTCAACCCTTTTGCCTCCTCTCTCTATGGTGATGCTTTGGAGGCCTTCCTTCTCTCCCCTTCTGCTTCCTCTCTCTCTATGATGAAAATGATTTCCTGCAGTAATTTTAAAAAATAGGCTTTCTAGCAGTTCGTTTGTAAGTATGGGTCATTCATAAATTGTACATTTGTAACCAGAGACTGCCTGTGCAACGACAATTGTTTATTGATGGTTTTACAATTGTGACCACAAGGGTATTATATCAGCACATTGTTATATGAATCCATAGTCCTGAAGGAACTTCTCAGCTCACAATCCACAGTAGTTTCTTAAGAAAACAAAGCCTTTCCTGGTAACACCTTTGTGTAAAAGCTCCTTCGGTCTTTAGAACTGGCTCAGTGCTGCTCTCTCATTGTGACATGCAAAACCACTACCAGAATTAAAAGGATGGCAGCTTGTTGTTCACTCATCTCTGCTCTGAATATTTTCTGCAATCACTCGATGCCTTTCCTGACAAATACATGGTAAGAACAGTCTCTGCCCATACTAGGAAGCCGTGCAGAAATAAGGAGGAATTAGATTGCGGTGGCATTTTATTGCTCAGCAAAATTCATCTTGGTAAGGGAGATTAATCTTTGTTGGGCTGGAGGCAGTCTCATCTTTGGAAAGCAGATGGTATTTACTCTTGGGAAAGAAACATCCTTGGAGGGACATTTCATCAGAGGCAGGCCAGGGGAGAAGGGAGGTCAATGAAGCCTCTATTTCCCCCCCTCCCCTCCCCACGCGCACACACACACTCCAGAGTCAGACTGCTTATCAGCATCTGCACAGATGTGCAAAACAAACTCCCCATTCAAAGCCTGCCAACTAAAAGCAAGGATTGGGGCCAAAAGGCAGCCCAGTTCCTCAGGGCCTGGATAGGCAGCTAGTTCCCCCTCTGGGGTCGACTATTTATTTTAAGCTGTGCATCAAGGTCTTGGGGAGGAGGAGGGAACCATCAGGAAAGGCAGGGCAAGGTGGCACTGGGCACAGCTTGCCCTCACCCTGTTCGTCATGGGGAGGGGCACCGAAGGCCCTGTTTCCCAGGTCTTGGCAACTGTATAGAGAGAAGCCCTTCAGTGACTTTTCACACCTCCCCAAAGGTTGCCTTAGAAGGCTCACTTTGCAACTGTGAGAGTTTTATTCCTCTTCAATGAACTCTTCCACAGAATGAGAACAGTTCAGGGACCAGTCCTGAATACTGGGCCTTTCTGCCCGGCACAGTAAGACATCTGTCTGGGCCATCAGAACACTTGCTGCAAGAAGAGAGATTCAGCCATGGCCGCACACATGACTCTACCAGCGACTCTCCCAGGGATTCGAAGTCTGCAGCTGTCTTCCCGCATGCGGAGGAGGACGGCAGCAGCCTTCACACAGGGCTCCTCAGCGAGTGGTCCTCAGATGTGCACTGCCTCTGCAGCCTCACAGTCCCATGCAGCCACTGTGACTGGCCGCCCCTGATAGTCACTTGTCTAATCCCCCTTTAAAGTTGTCCAAGCAATAGCTTCCCTCACTGTAATGCCTAAGCAGTTATCTGCTAACATCTGTGTTTCGTGAAGGAGGCTGCCCAAACAATTTGGTTACATGCTGTTCAGAAAAGGGCTTAATGCTAAAATCAATAAACTTCCTCCCAATAAATGCAAATCCTACAGCAGGGGTGGGGAGCCCCTTGCAGCCTGAGGGCTGTGTTCAACTGCAGAGAAGCTGAGTGGGAGGGGGCGGACCCAAGGGAGACCCAAAATGCTAGCTCATTTTATCTCACAGCTCTTAAATGTCAGCGACGAAGTCATATAAGGAGCATCTCAGGCTTTCAGAATGACGGTTTGGGGAAAGGGGGTGGCCATCTCAGAAACCCCTGAGGGCTGGGCTGGAATTCCTGACTCTGGTACCCAGGTATGAAGTTCCCCACCCTCATCCTAATGGGATTAAGGATTTATCTTTGGAGATAGCCTTGGTGAGGCTGCAAAACCCCAGGGGCTTCACGAGGCGTGTGTGCTGTGCCCTGTTCTCTGGAATGGAGGAACACCCTTGGAGGGCAAAAAGGGGGGCTGAGGCCCATGCCCTTTGGACCTGGGATGCTCATGACAGAATGCTCTGATTTTTGGCAGGAAAGCTGAAACAGCTGCTACTGAAAACGACAGTCACCCACTGCAATGTTTTATATGACCTTGTGGGGCCTATGAAAGTTCCTTTCTCCAACATCAAGGAAATTAACAAGTTCCCAGTGCAAGGCTGAGATCGCAGCAAATGGCCTTTCAGCAGGGACCAATGTACCAAACTGAAGAGCTATCTAAGAGAAATGGTCCACAGGAGGAAATACCTACACAGATGAGCCAGGCAAAGTAATTACGTGAGATTTAATTAACAGACATCATCAGTATTTAAATATTCACACAGAAGTTATTCTTTTAGCTTGTTGAGGCAAAGGGAATTATTTTGAAGGGGCTGGTGGTATGATTGCATGGTGGGGTATGCACACGCATGTAGCTTTCTCATACAGAAAAGTACTCCATAAGTGAATAAGTGCAAACATGCTGGAACAAACCTCTTCGCCCGTTAGGTAAAATGCAGCCAAAAGCCCTCCAACGTAGCGGATGTTCACTTCGAACAAGGAAGCTTCACCACTCTGTGGAAAACAAGGCAGTATGGTTTGTGATCATATGTTAGCCAAAATGTAAACAGTAAGACAAGATAGTCTCCGACTGAAAATGGCACAAAAGGGCACATTCAGTGTTCCTAAAATGATTTTCTCTATGACGGAACTTCTGGGGGATACAAAGAACGCAAGCTGCCACCAAAAGCAAAAACCCTGCATTTCCTCCCTGCCTCCCACTCCTGCAGGATCATGTAGAAAATTTCAGGTTCCCCTTATAGCCTTCCATTGGCTGATGCTTATACCCTTCACACAATAACACAGCACTGTGTCTTCCATGGTTGACAGGGGGAGATGGGACAAGGCTATCATCTGTCCTCTGCATCACCCAGTTTTGGCTTGCGTATGCACCAGCATGTAGGTGACAGGATGCCCGAGTGGGCCATGGCCTTTCATCCTCCTCCATCATGCTTTGGATGTAAGTTGGAGGCCACATGTGTAAATTTTGGAGATATTCTCCCTTACATAAGCCATTGCTCACCCTAAAGTGGGTGACAGTTGACTACTGGGTGCTTTTCAGGTAGAGTGGACAGCTGGGTGCTTTTACACACAGGTTTGTTCAATTTTCAAGATGCCACACGCACTGGGGGAGAACACAGATATCCACAATTTGCTTCCGTGTCAATGGTATGCATAACTGACTTGCTAGAGCCACGTGTGGACTGTGCTTCACTCAAGGAATTACTGTTTAGCGCTTTAAAGAAAGAAAAGGCCTTACAAGTCTTTCTTGATTTCTGTAAAAGTCACAGATCATGGCCAGCAGACACTTGCCAAAAGCCACCAACTGAGAATTTCATGTTATAATATCAATGGGATACAGAATCAGTGGTGGAAGAAAAATAGCGAGCATGATGAAATGCTCTCTCTGTGCTCCATGCCTTTATCATCGCTTGAAGAGCCCACATATCCAATCCATTCAAAGCATGGTGAGGTACTTTATGGGTGGCCATAACACCATTCATCCTAACCATGCTTACTCCAGAGACAATTCCACCGAAATCAACAGGATGTTTCTCAGTAAATGTGCTTAAGCCAGCAAGAGGCAGGAGGAGGGCTTGTGCCACATTCACCCCCAACCCTTTACTTTTGTGGGCATACACTGATGTGGTAGTTCGAATTTTTGAGATAGGCCTTTACCTGGAGCTAGTTATGATCTATAATAATTCAACTTTGGATCAGTGAAATGTCAAAGCAATTGCAGTCAAATTGTCCCTTTCAAAAAATTCACTTCTGAAGTCTTATCCTGCATGCCAATTCAATCTGGCTTTCTGAACAAATATCAGCTGCTTATAAACACACAAACCCTGTAGGTAGAACAGCTATTTCAGAGATGAGAGGAAGTACCATTATAAAAGGGGAAAGGAACAGCAGTGCAAGCAGGTACCATACACTGACCTGAAGGAAGGGTCCTTTCCTCACCCTGGCTATGGAAAGGAACCTTCTTTTAGTCTTTCACTCTCTCTTTCACACGCACGCACGCACACACACAACACACACACACCTGCTGCACAATCCTGGGCTTTGGGTACAGAATCTTGCAGGGTTTGCAAAAGGTTGTTTCTGCCCTTCTTCCAGAGAACTGTCTGACTGCAACTCAATCTTTCTTCTGTTTTTTTGAATAATGTACCTCACCCGTGTTCCCTCTTAAAACTGCTCTGTCATGTTTAAGTTTCTTTCTAGTTCTCTGCCTGTTCTTAAAAGAACTAAAAATGTCACAATGAAGACTTTGCAGAGCAACAAGGACATGCTCAAGCTGCAGGTTTCTGAAACATGACACAAACCCTCTGCACAGAGAGCACAGTGGGACTGAATGCTGACACCATCATCCCCAGCTCTTGTTATTGCAGTCCTCTCTCCCCAGTCCCGGTCTCTTGCTCTACCTCTCCCCCCCCATCCCCCGCTTTAACCTTGTCATTAAGTGTGATGGCTTCCTCTCCCCTCTGGTTCCTCCACTGGTTGTCTTCTGCTTTTAAGTCAGTCTCAGGAAAAGATGTTCCTTATGTTTTACCCATGTAAACTGTGCAGCATATTGCTAGTGCTATATAAATATAAGATTATAATAGTGGGCACACCTGCATTTGGAGGAGACCCAACTGGGCCCACAGGAGCAGGAAGGTGCTGCCAACCCCACTTCTTCCTCATACTTATGATGATTAAGAAGGGAAACTTCCTATCCCTGTGTACTGCTGCATACTGAGTAGCCTCCTCTCTGTCCTTGTGATGCTTCTGCTACCATGGCAAGCAAGGACAACATTTCTCCATTCCATCCTTCTACACCTGGATTAGTAAGCGAAGAAGAAGCTGGCTAGACAAGGAAGGAAGGAAGGAAGGTCCTGCTGAGAAAAGGAGGGGCTTCCCTTCCCCTGGTGACCATGATGAAGTCGCTCTTGTTCTTCCACAGCGGCATCAACCATGTGACAGTTTCTGGCTCACGTGGCCCATTCCCTTCTGCCTCTAAGGGGGAGGAGGCGCACAGACCCAAAGGCCGGCATGACCAAATGACCGAAGCCAGAGACTAGCGAACAGTTTGTGCAGCACTTCCACCATCCTTTTCTCAGCCACAGGCAGCACTGCTGGATAGACAAGCTCTCTTGCCCTGGGCACCTGATGGCCAGCAATGTCTGCTGCTGGTGATCAACTGCAGCACGGGGTGAATGCTCAAAGACCGATACGAAGAAAAGGAAGCTTTGGCTTGTTTGGCCTGATGTGTGACCACCAGCCACCAAACTGAGGAGGGTCATGGCCATGGGAGCTGGAGGTTATTGTGCACCAGCAAATGGACCCAGTTTCAAACAGGCTGGCAAAGCCCTTGGTTTGATACAAACCAGCAAGCAAACTGAGTGAGGGGCCTATCCAGAGAGACCTGCTGTACATCAGTGTGTGTGTGTGGGGGGGAGAGCATACAATGCCATTTCTCATCCTAGTACTCTTCCTCATTTCTGATTCCTCCGAGACCATGTGCTAATTACAGAAGGCTGCCCCTACTGGCTGAAGTTCCAGATGTGCTGGGTTTCACGGGCTTGGCAGACACTGCACTCATCTTCTTTCACCACTATAGATAGTAAATGAAGGATAAGACTCTCGCCCAAGGATTTTCAGTTGCAGCTGAGCTAATTTGGAACCTGGGTCTCCCATTTCTAAGCCAGTTGCTTTCAAGGATAACCCTATTCTGAAATCGTGAATATTCAAAGAAATGTTCCCAGCCTTTGGGAACAATGCCCTGCACGACTTTTATTTAACAAATGTTTCAACTCGGTTTGGTAGGTTGGTTCTGTTCTATCACAACTGACTGTACTATAAAAAAAAGAAAATCTGTAATGCGGTTTTAGTTCTTTTCTGCATCACATCCTGTGATCTGTTTATCTGCATTTGCAGATTGATCTGTGGGGGTGGATGGGGCAGGAGGAAGAGCTTTTGTGAAAATACAGATCAATTATCATTCTCTATTTTGTCTCTTGGCCTATCGATCGGATACCAAACACAAAACACTCCACCAAATTTATTAAATGTGACTGTCCATTTGCAGGCCCGAGCTGGGTATCCCTTTTGAAACAATGCTTTTCTAAGAAGAAGCCACCACATTTGCTGCTCCGGCTTTAAGTGAAGGGCCAGCCTTGCTGCAAGAATCACAATGCAGCTGGAATAAGAAGTTCCACGCTAGCTCAGTACATGCAACATTTGAGCTCCCAGCTGCTCTTAAGCCCGGGACTGAAGGAGCGGTGGGTCGTCACCCAGCACTGATCCTAGAAGGGCTCTGCAGAGGGACTAGCAGCAGTGCTACAGAGAGCGGTGGGGAACCTCTGGCTCACAGGACCTTTCCCCACAACCCCATTCCCCTCTGGCACTGCTGCTGCTCAGCTGATTGGAAAAAAGCTTAGTAGTGCAGAACGAGAGACACTCTGCTGTGTCACTGGCTGCAATACTGGCCATGGGGATAAGTAGCTATTTCTTCCAACAGGCTCTGTTTTACCGGCCTGAATTTGGTGGTGGGGTGGGGCAAAGAAAATGCATGAGTGTGTGTGTCTGTGTGTGCACCAGTGGTAATTACAGCTCCCGCTCACTCTGGTGCCCACCACTGGGATCTGGCCCCCAACAGATTCCCATGGAGGATACACATCATTGCCACAGAGAACCTGCCTGGAGATTCCAGGTCCCAGGAAGATTTCAGCATCTCTCGATGGGGCTGGAAGAACCCTGCAGGCCAGTGCCAATCCATGCAGACCAGCCATTCCCACCTCAGCACCCTACAACTCCCAGAATCCCCAGCCAGGATGTTCACTGGGGATGATGGGAATAGCCATGGTACAATACATCTGTGGGGCACAGCACTGGGAAGGCTAGGATAGACAAGGGATGGGCAGAGAGTAGCTCCCTCTGGCCACACTGGGAGCCGAAGCCAAAAACAGCTGGGCTCTACTTCCTGCCCATCCCTGATGAAGGCACTGAGTGAGAAGGCTGCAGGCCCTGCTCTGCCTAAGGCAGCTTCCTATTGGGAACTGGCCAGAGCAGGTTACGGGCTGCTGCCCAGCCCCTTCAGCAGCTGCTAGTTCAGGCTTCCTCATTGGTCTGAACGAAGGGGCTCAGCTGCTCCTGGCCTGCTGCCAACTGCTGGCATGCTGCCATCCCACCCCAACTTCACCCCTGGTGCCTTCCAAGCTCTCACTCTTGTGGGTGGGCAACCAACAAAACTGCAAACTAAGGCACGGCATTGGGGTGGGGAAATATTTACAGACGGTATACCCCATCCCTTATAAAAGCTTTCAAGCCAAGAGGGGAAGAGAAGCCATTAGGATGGGCTTTAAAAGGTGACCAGGCAAACTCACGAAGGTTAAGGCTATCGATGGCTGTTGGTCTTGAAAGCTAAGCGCTACCTCCAAAATGAAAGCAGAATGCCTCTGAACAGCCATCCTAGGAAAGACAAACGGAAGGGGCTGGTTGACCACAGCAGGAACTAGTCCTGGAAATAGTTTTCCCCCCATTCTTGGAAAAACCAAGCAGTCTTAGCTTAAAGTATTGCAGTTATTCAATTACCTTGTCTTACTGCAAGAACTTCATTATAAGGCTGCACTGGATTATGCCTAGTTATGTTATGCTTCATTTTTAAATGAGGATTATCTAAAAGACAAGATTCAGAAGCACATCTATGCTTGTCAGACACCAGCTTGAAATTGATATGCTCACAGGGCAGCCACTGTGATCTTGTGGATTATGATTTAGGTTTAGATCCCCTCCTCTGGTATGGGCTCATTCTGTGGGCTTGGGGAAAGCAGACTATTTCCAGACTTAGCTCTCTCCTCTGTAAAGTGGTAATAACTTTTTTGACTTACTTTTTAAGGTTGTTATGATGCCAGTACAATAAAAACAATAATGTAAACAATGCAATGTAAATGAAAATTATTCAGTCTTTTAATGACTGAACTAAAAATATTTGCACACTTTGTGTTTTCAGTCTAGCAATCTGCTCAGTGGAGTAACAGCACAAGTTAGAGATGGAAAGAGGTGGCACTTGAAGAGGTGGGTCCGATAGAAACAGACACTGATTGGGTTTTCTCTTCTACTTCTTCTCTTATCTGGTAAATCAAGTTATGTGGCAGAAGAAGAAGAACAATCCATGCTACGTTCTTTTTAGTATTTTTGTCTGTTTGCCTCCCCACGCAAGTGCACATTCCCCCTTCTCAGCTTGTTTCTATTAGATGTGTGGGTCAGAACCCAAGGTCAAAACATCAGGGTCCAACGCATACCAGGCAGTTTCCACAGCACAGAGAAGCATATTCAAAGACTGACTCACCACATTCAAGTCAAAGCTCTTCTCCACCCAATCTTTGGCTTCTTGGAATTCTTCCTGCAGCTCCATGACATACAAGGTATCTAAGGCATCCACCACTGTTGCTCCCCGGAGACCTCCTGCATCAGCAGAAAACAGAACAGCTTGAATCATTCCTTTGTGGAATGTGCATGCATGAGTGCGCGTGCGCGCATGCATACGCTTATGTGGGATTGCTTCAAACAAACTGCTACCAATACATAATTTACCACTGATATCATCATCGTTATTATATACGGTGCCACCTATATGCACAGCATTATTTACATGGTTTTGCAAAGCAAAGACAATGGATTCCTCTCCCAAGAAGCTTGGGAACCCTAAAGGCAACATCTGCAGAATCAGACAGGAAGGCGGGGATAGTGTCAGCATTGTAGTTTTAATATTTACATCCCCTTGTTAAAAACATTGTGTTTGGCCTGTTCTTGAGGATCTGAAAGTCCAGATCAGTTAATCAGTACACCTGGTACAAGCAGTCCATCATATGCATTATTGGAGAATAGAGCTTAGAGCAAAAATTTTCCATACAGAAGCACAGGAACCTCCTCAGAGAGGTGTAAGCACCTCCCCTTGATCTCCCTGCTGCAAGCCAGGATCCTGGAATCACCCCTCTCCATCGCTGTGGCAGGCTGCGTTGACCCTATCAAGTGAGCCACCTCAATCCCAAAATCCCTTTTCTGGTCATTCTTTGGCAGGAGAGGGCCACTGGCAGCACCTCAACATTCGCTTTTACTTTCAACATCCTGAACAAATTGCTCTAGCCCATACTTGCATAACCTCCTCTTCCTGTTCTTTAACTGCTTCCAGCCTATAAGAGGATTTGGCCCTTTTATCCCACAGCTTCTTTCTTTCTGAGCCTTTGGCTAGTGATTTTCTCAAAAGGTTTTCATGTCTATGAAGTTGCCGCTTTTTGCATACCTGCCAACTACCTCAGACCATCTAAAAGGTCAGTGAGCTGGGCCTCCTTCTGCAGATGCCATGCCTACTCATCATCAACTTTGTTTCATTAGGAACAAGCCAGAGTCAGACCATGACCTAACCACAAATAAGGGCAAAATGCCAAATGCTGGGTGAATAAAAGCAGAAGTGCATGCTTCTGAAGTCCTCTGAGAGCTGTGCCCCAGGAGGAGGGCAGAGAACAGCACCAGTCCAAGATTCAGTGCTGCATTTCTTTCAGCCTGGGGGCTGGACTTCTTCTTGGAACACCTTGTTTGTGGGGGGGGGGGGATTCCAGTGGTGGATATGGCTGAAGACAAAGGGACGTGTACTGGCAAAATACCAGTACTTTTCAACTTAAAGTTCTTACTGCCAGTTGCTAAGCCTCAAGAGAGAGATTCCAACCTTTTGCATAAGGAAAAGGCATCACAAAAGCCAGAGAGCCATCAAGAGATCAATTATCAGAGTAAAGGGAGGGAGGCCAAGGGAAGGGGTGGGGGAGGCCATCTGGGCAACCTCCAATGGCTGGATTTGATGCTGGGCCTGAGTTTCTGCACCTCCGGTTCACTGTGGCATCTAAACCACATGTTGTGAGCCGCCCCGAGGCTTCGGCGAATGGGGCGGCATAGAAATTTTCTAAATAAATAAATAAATAAAAATAAATAAACCATCAACAGCTTCTCCAGGCTCTTTTTCCACAAAACACATCCTCCCCACAGCTGCCTACCAAGAGCAAGGAAGCGCTCGCTTGTGGAAATACCTGGCATACAAGCTCAGATGGCTCTCATAATGGCACACCATTTGTTCTGTCAGACATCGAATGCACATTTCTAGTGAGAAGTGACTCACAGCTTTCCAGTACCAATATAAATCTAAGGGATGACATCAGCTGGCAACAGCGGGATTCTAAACAAACACTTTGGGTGTCCGAAACAGACCGTGTCAAAGAAGAGCTCTGCTGGCTTAGTGGAGCCTGGATATGGCTGCTACTGTGGCTCCTCTCCAGCAGGGGGCAACAGCGTATACGCAGACTAAGCACAATGCATTGTGCCACCCGGACTCCACAACCTTTAACCCACCAAGCAGAAGAGCATCCTTCAGCCCCATATTTTCGCTTTCCCTCTTGAAATGCAGCAGGGCCAGGGATACTGAGCCTCTGCTGGGTTGGACTAATAGGCTGGAGGGATGAACTTGGCTTGATGGGCCAGAAGCTGTACAGAACTGTTCTAAATATTGTGATTTTTCAGACGCACAGTGAGACCTTCAAACGTGCAGTACAGCCCTGAAGCTGATCAATGAGATCCAACAATGTGAGGCTGCATTAGCAGAGGCTGCATTGTGTGTTTGCATGTGCATGCAAACACATTAAGAAAAGAGGTGGGGGAAGACATGGGAACACATAAGAGGATTACTGAATTCCTGCAGAGAGAAGGGGTTGTACTTGATGATCTACAAAATCTTCTCTAACTCTATGGTTCTATGATGGCAGAAATCCCAGCTCAGTCCTGATGAACTCTCTGGACTTTTGGTTAAGCCATATCTACTCAACTGCAGCTCCAGAATGATAGTGGTTGGTTAATTGGTTTCCAACATAAAATTAAGCTTACAAGAGCAGTATAAAATGTCATTTTGCATGACATATAATACCTTTCAGAAGGTTAGAAACGCATGGAATAATGAATTGGAATATTCTATATAGTTAATCAATGGAAAGCTGCCTTCGCTTCCATATGTCATATTTCTATAGATTTAAAACATAATTTGTTTCAACAAAAATCATGTTTCATGTATACTGGACACCATGAATCCTTGCTAAGAAGCTGGACAATGCCTCATTGGGGCATATGATGTGGGCATGTCCCGCAGCAGCTTCTTTCTGGTTGGATGTCACTACTTTGTAAATGTTGTTCTTGAAAAATCTCTGATATGAGCAGATGCACATGCACTTTTAAATTGCACCCCTGTGATGCGGGAATTAACAGATGGACAACAACAGCGGGTACTGATGAGAACTTTTGCAGAGAGACTTATACTCCAAGCTTGAAAGGAAAACACCCACCTCCCATCATTCAAGAACTTGCTGCTCTTGCTTCATTTGGGCATATCTCCTACAACTCTCCAAGTTGTATGGATACTTCTTTAGATATATGCTTATTTAGATATACAGACTACTTATATTTTTAAAGGAACTTTCCCTCCTTGCATTCTTTCAATTTTTCCAGCTGCGTTTCCACCAGGGACTAAGGACTGGGTCCAGCTCTACTTAGTATGGTAGCAAAAAATGTTACAGTGTGTGAAGCAGCTTTACAACTGTCTGTCTCCAAAATGGCTTTTCTGTACATCTGTGTCAGCACCCTGTTCACTCAGTTCCAATCCCAGTCCTGGTTTCGTATCGACTCCTGTGTACACAGCTGCCTGCAAGCAAGTGCTCACCACCAGGGTACTGGACATTAATGGATATTCTGCCTTTAATTCCAAAATATGGACCCAAGGATTATCCCAGCTGTAAAAGCAGTAATAAACTGGTTAGTGGAAGGGTGCAATGAATGTGCTGCAGTGCAGTCTTAACTACTGCAGTGGAACAAAAGTCACAATACATGCAAGTAAGAAAAATATGGAAGGAGACAAAACATACCACCACACATGGAACATGTGCCACCATTCATTGGTGGCACGTACACCACTTAGGGTACATGTAAGGACACCCTCATGTGGCTGAGTGCCAGAGATCAAATGCAGATGCCACCAACAGAATGAGAAATGGCATGTTCTTAGCTTTCCCTTCTGCCACTGGAATGGCTGGTCTACTCATTACCTAGCCTTGCACCATCTGTAGACCAAAAGGGCAACTGCCCCAACATGTGGCTCAGGCTTCTCATCCAGCTGAGTAATAAGGATGTCATCACGGGTGGCAGTGGAAATTTAGGGACTGATTCAGGCTCCATTCCCTTTATTCTTGTTGTGTGTGTTATAATAACTTGCCTAAGCCTGTACAGACTGCTGCTTTCCATCAGCCACTGGGGAAGGCAGTCCAACAGTTTTGAAGAATGATTACCAAACCAACACAATCTGAAGGGAGCTCAGAACGGATGGAGTGGAGCCTCCACCCCCGCTTCCCAATCGACAAGCTTTTCCCAAAAAGGCTGATGCTTCTGTAGCATGTTTATGAAAGGCAGTGACCATGAAAATCAACACTGCAACAGCCAGTGCTCGCCTCTCCTTTTATCAGCTCTAATGATTCTGCAATATTAATGATTATGTGATTTTTATGCTCTTTCCCATTAGTGGAAGAAATGTGCCATCCCAATGCAACATGGGACACTGGTAAAAATTTTTAAAAAACTGGCAAAGATGGTCAAATACACACACAGAGAGACAAACCCCACGAAGCAGTGCCTGAGGCACAAACTATTACTGTGATATTGCAAAAGTTACACACTAATGGGCTTGATTTAATTTGATGATATAATCCACAAAGCCCTTCAGAAAGAACACAGAGAAACAATGAAGAAGTTGGATTCCTTCCTCTTCCCTCTGAAATGAAGAGGGACTGAGAGACAAACATAAAAGTATTTTTTCCAGCCTGCTTAATTGAGATGAAAGGGGGAAAATAGTTTGAATTTGTAAAAGGCTTCTGTGTAAAGTAAATGCCTTTAAATACACGAAATGCACTGAGGGATTAGTAACAGGCTCTGCTCTTTTATCCAGCATCATGAATGGCTTTGCCTTCCCTGATGCTGTGTATTGTACATAAGAGAAAACGGGTTTTGCTGATGGATTGTCCTTTGTATTGCACAAAGCTATCATTTCATCCTGTTCCTTGAATGCTTGATGTCCAATGATTCAAGAACTCTAGGCAAGGTCTGTATTTTGTACAAGGAGGCTTTGGGCACATCCCTTTCTATGCTGCATCTTTGATTAGATCTGTAAAAATCATGACTGGCAGCAGATCAGAGGAAGCTGCCCCGGCTGGTTTAGGAACTCTGGAATGCAAGCAGCCATGCTCCTAGGGAGCAAGTGAATAGGGGGTGCAAACAGGAGTTTGGTGGGGGGGGTCCCTAACTTTTTTCTCCTCCCCCCCTTAGTTCTCCCCTAGTCCCCAAATTTTCTTCCTTGTAACACTCTCCCATTTACTGGTAGGACT